TTAATCTGAATTACTCTTGGTGTATGTAGGGGCATGGGCTTATAATGTAGTTTATATTGTAAAAGATTATTTTGGTACTTTTATAAGTTCGCATCTACTTCTGCTGGCTTCTTTTTGCTTGTCTGTAATATAATACAGGAAACTTTCCACTTGGGAAAAGAGGAATTGGTGTTAAAGGAGGTGGTTATCATGTACTTTCTTAACTCCTTGTGCTTCCCCACTTACCATATTCATTTTGTACCATATATTGTGCTTCATTTGTGTATTTAGTTTAACACTCATTAAATGAAGTTCTCAAATCATAGGGTTAAAAAATATATTTTTAAAATCTTAAAAATACTTATATTTCTCTGTATTAGTAAACTAGTATATTTCATCCATAAATTATTTGCAGTAAAATTGTGTTTAATAAATAAGCAAAGAAAGTGTTTCGCCTTCCCTGCTACTTAAAGTACAAATTTTTAAAATAATTTTTTAATGAGTTCCTTACCTTATCCAAACACTGAGAAACCCAACCATGTTTATTGAGACCTTCAATGGCTTGGACATAGTTCTGGTTTTGCTAGAGTATCAGTGAGCCATAAAACTTGTTCCTATGGATTTAAGATAATATACTTGTGACATTTATCAAAATATGCAGCGTAAGGAATTAGAAAAACTTAGTTACAGATAGCAAGCAACTGAAGCAGCACTAATAGTCAAGGTCTCTAGATCCTGTGAATTTAGAATATAAATCTTAAACTGGGGGTAAAAGAGTATAGAATTGATACCTATTTCTGTTTTTATTCCAATAGCATTATAAAAATGTATATTGAATTTTGATTTTTGAATGTACTAATTTTTTATATAGTCATTGTAGTTTTATTTAAAATAACAATTTTTGTGTGAAGAGTTTTGAAGTCAGTAAGGAAAATCTAAATATTCTTCACGAACAGATTGAGATGCAATTCCCAGTAAATTTTCCACAACTTTATTAAGGTAAATGCAATATAGCATAAAAGTTCTTTCTAAAAAATTGCTTGATTTCTTGTAATAAACCCTCCATTCTAGCATATAGAAATTTTATGCTGTTCTCAAGTAACCATGTTCCTTCTTTCCTTGTATAAAAATGAAGTCATTTTTGTCAAAATCATTTCATTCTTTTTCTATATGCATTTTCTTTGAATACTTACAGTGTCTTTCATCAGTAATTTTGATTTGGCGCCAAAAAATTTGGTTATTCTGAGGTTTTTTAAATATAAAATAAGTTTGGTGAGGGTCAGATAGAAGTTCAACAATTTGAATGCACACTTTCCATATAGGAAGTCAGGGTTCAATCTCTAGAACTGTATGGTTCCTCAAGCATTGCACGTGTGTCTCCCAAGAGGGGAGCTTGAAGTGGCCTGTGCACACCACTGTATGTGGCATAATGCCCCTCACGTGCGTGTTTTTTTTGGCTAATACCTGGTAGTTCTTATGAACCATCATTCCCTGCTAATATATAATATATTAATATATATTATACATTTAAACTTTTTATTGAATCACCATGAGACACAGTTATAAAGCTTTCCTGTTCAGGTTTTAGTCATACAATATTCCAACACCCATTATTCCACCAGTGTACATTTCTCACCAGCTATGTACCCAGTAACCCTATTGCCATGCCCCCTCCCCTCCTTGTTACGTGCTTGCACGCGTGCTTGCACACACGCCCACACACACACCCCTGCTTGTCTTTAATGGCAGGCACTTTTCTTCTTTCTCTCTGCTTTTGGGCGGTATGACTTGCAGTACAGATACTAAGAGTCTATCATGTTTGGTCCTTTACCCACTTTCAGCACTCATCTCCCTTCCCGAGTGATCCATCCAACCATCACTGTCATAGTGGTTCCTCTCTCTCCCACATACCACTCCCCCTAGCACTTGATGAAGGCTTCCAAATCAAAACAACAATGAGATATCATCTTACACCACAGAGAAGGCACATATCAAAACAGAACAAACAGGAACAACCAATCTTTGTGTAGATTGAGGGAGAAAGGGACTCCCATTCATTGTTGGTTGGGAATGCTAACTGCTTTAGCCTTTTTGGAAAATAATACGGGCATTCAAAAAAGTAGAAATTGAAGCTTTGATATTACCCAGCAATACCACTGCAGGGCATGTATTCCAGGGGTGCAGAAGAACACCGGAGAAATGACATCTGCATTGTCTGTTCATTGCAGCACTGTTCACAATAGCCAGAATCTGGAAACAACCCGAGTGCCCAAGAACAGATGACTGGTTAAAGAAACTTTGGTACATCTACACAATGGAATGCTGTGCAGCTGTTAGAAAAAAAAAATCAAGTGACGAAATGTGCTTATAAATGAATGGACATGGAGAGTATCATGCTAAGTGAAATGATTCAAAGGAGAAGGATAGATGTGGAATGACGGCACTAGTCTGTGGGATATAAAATAACATAGAATGACACCAGCACCCAAGGATAGTAGTTATAGAGCCAGGAGGAATGGTCCTAGCCAATATTAATAAGAGATTCTTCTCAGAGTATCCTGTTTGAGTGTGTGTGTCTATTTGTATTGGAAATAGTAAAAAACCTAAATGATCTTCTGTAAAAAAGAAATATCTTCCCCAGTATATTTGCATATCATATAAAGGATATGATATTTAATGTTAAGTACATGCTAATTCAGTAAAGCAGTTTTACCTATTAGAGATGTGACCTTGAACAGCAGGAAAATAGCAATTTCTCATTTAAATTTTTTTTTGTTTGGGGGAGGCTGCACCCTGCACTGCTTAGGGCTTACTCCCAGTGGGGAGCATCTGGGGTGCTAGGGATTCGACCTGTGTCAGCTACATGCAAGGCAAGTGCTCTACTCACTGTATTACTCGTTGGGCCCCAGTTTCTGGTATTTTAAGGTATAAAAATTAAAATTGTTTTTCGTAGGCCTACACCCAGTATTGCTCAGAATTTACTCCTGACTCTATGCTCAGAAATTATTCCTGGTGGTGCTCAGTGGACCATATGGGGCGCCGGGGATCAAACCCAGGTCGTTCATGTGAAAGGCAAATATCCTCCCTACCCACTGTACTATCTCTGGCCACAAATTTTTTATTCAAGGTTTTGTTTTTGCCCATGATTGTAGCTCTGTGATAAGCAGTTATGTGCTTGTGAGAGGCCCGTCTCCTCCCAAAATATATAGAACTCATTTTTGATATTTAGTGAGTATGCATAAAAATAACTGCATTCCAGGTTATTAATTAACTTTGGTGTCTGTTTTATTAACTTATTAGGGGGAGGTCACTTCAGACAGTGCTCACAGCTTTTTCTGGTTTTTGTGTCCAGGAGTCACTCCTGCCATTGCTCAGGGGACTATTTGCGGTATTGGGGTTCAAACTCAGGTTTGCTACTTGCAAGGAATTTTGGGTGTGGGGACTCACTCAGCTGTACTGCTGGCTCTTTGTTTACTTTTGGCTCTGTGCTTGAGTATCACTCATGGTGCGTGGGGGAACATCTTGTTGTGCCAGGAATTTTATATCTATTCTTAATACTCCCTAGATTCGTGAAGTAAATTCCTGATCATTTTAGTATTTGTTTATATAATAAACTTTTCTCATCAGATTGGAAAAGCACATGTTTTATATCTTAATTTGTGAGCAGACCTGTGACAAGGAATTTCCAAGCCAAACTTTACTCACTCCATTTCTGGCTTTCATTAATTTCTTATTACTGAATCCGGTATAAGTAACTATATATGAAGTAGTTCTCAGTTTTTGGTCTGCACAGAGACCAACAGACCATTTCAGGATTTCAAAGAGGTCAACAATTATTTCATCATAATGCTAGCAAGTTATTTTCCTTTATCACCACATTCATGTTTGATAACTGATAATTTATAGTTTTCACATTTGATATTGATACTTGCAAGAGCAGTAATAGGTAAAACCCAATGGTCAAGGCCATGTCACCCTATTGTACTTGTTTCGTATTTACTGTCAAGTACTTATAATTTAAATGAAATATTAAGCACTTTCACCTTTAGAATGATCTCGGGAATTAGGTTTATTCTGGTAAAATATATACTTAATGTAATACACTCAGAACTATTATAAACCAATGTTGCTTCACTGAAAAATTTAAAAGAATGATTCTGATACCAATTTTATAAAACCTTCATTTTAAAAAATGTGTTATTTTTACATTGCTGTGCACAGTACAATGATACTTGCATATAAAATACTTCTATGTATGAGAATAAGGAATTTGTTGCCAAGCACCTTTTTAAAAGTTTGGGTGGATTAATTGCTCTTTTCTATGAAATGTGATTTTTTTCCTGGAAAATACAATTTGTAGGCATATGTAGGTTGTAAGATTTACATATTTGTCAAATGTCCTCAGAAATGATTAAAATGAACCAGGATTCTGTTCTGTGAAGTGCAAGGGGAAAATCATTAAGAGTTATTTGTTGTGATAGAAATTTGAACATTTAAAAGCACAGATTAGAATTTTAGGGATTGTTTTTGCCTGATATTGATGCCTTTTGAAACTTAACTTTTGATGAAACCAGTGTTGATAATAGCTGTGATTTTTTTTTTTAATGTTGTGTTTGATTTTAAATTTGGCCAATATTATTAAATAGTGCCCTTTATATCTGAAGCCTTTGAGGGTTCAATACTTGTTAAGTGTGCAAGTCAATCCTGAGAACAGAGCATAAAAATAGCTGGTATAGGTACTGTACTGAAGAGCCAGTAGTTTTCAGTGGTAACTTTACAGCGTACCCTATTCTCAACCTACCAATTTAAAGTTGAAAAGAATGCACTTTATTTTACTTAAAATATTGGAATGTGATTCATGCATTCTTAAATACTACAGATTCCTAAAAACAGTGGGTTTGTATGTCACTGACTTTATTTGGGGTTTCATTGTTTAGATGTTTACAATAAACTTTTTTTCTCTTTCTGTTTCTTTTTCTTTTTCCATTTTTCCCTTCCCCTTTTTGACATTCGTTTCATAGGTGGAGTCTTTCATTTTGGATCAGGATGATTTGGAAAATCCAATGCTGGAAACGGCTTCCAAGTTGCTCTTATCAGGTACTGCTGATGGTGCGGACCTTAGGACAGTAGATCCAGAAACACAGGCTAGACTGGAAGCTTTACTTGAAGCTGCAGGTGAGTCTGCAGACTTTCTTTTTTGTCAACCTTGTTTTTCGAACTTATAGTAAATCTCTGACAAAACTTTGTCATTCTAAATCTTGCCTTAAGAGTTAGGAATGGCTCAGTTGTTGAGTTTGGTGCCCTTTCGCCAAAAGTAGTAATATATCATCTTGGATATTTAAAAATTATATGGAACATTTCATTATCATTGATTCAAGTATCATTTTATTGGGGCCAGAGCGATAGCACAGCAGACCAGGCAGCTTGCCTTGTGAAACTTACCGATTTTGATCCTCAGCACCACAGATATGGTCCACCTGTCTACCACCCCAAGTCCCACCAGGAATGATTACTGAGCACAGAGACAGGAATAAGCCCTGAGCACCGCCGGGTTGTGGCCCCAAAACAATGTCTAATTTTATTTATCAAAGTAAAGTCTGCATATTTCTTTCAACCTTAGAAACACTTTTTTTTTTTTAGGGGGGGAGCCACATCTGCTTTGCTCAGGGCTTACCCCTGATTATGTGCTCAGGGATTGTTCTAGGCAGTCCTCAGGGATTGAACTCAGGTTGGCCTGCATGAAAGGCAATCCATACATGCTCTACTATCTTTTTCTGACCCTTTAGTTTTGTTGATTTTCTTCACTGTTAAATGCTGTTTGCAAAGTCACCTATATGGTAGAAACCCCCCAAATCTGTAAGTCCTTTCTCTGTGATACTCAGTATTTTGAGGGAGATGTCTTTCAGTTTTGTTCGGTGAATTGCAAACCAGGCTGTTAGAATTTAGGGAAAATGCTGAGGCTTTCACTGTGTATCGTGTATATATTCACTTAATACCAGTTTTCAATTTAGTATCTGATCTCTGTGTTTGAGGCCTTACTAGTCCAGGACCTTTCTTAATCCTTTCTTCAGAGCAGTGTTTCTTGACATTTCTCTGACCATGTCCCCTTCTGACCTGGGGACTCTCTGCTTTAGCATCTGCCCCCCATTTGTTGCTAGGAAGATGGCTCATGGGACTGCAGTGCTGCCAGCTATGCAGGGGGCCCTGGGTTTGATCCCTAGTGCAGTACTCCCTCTGGGGCATTTCTGGTATAGCCCTACAGCACTCATGGCTTGGGAAGGCATCCTCCAAAACAAAACAGATGAAAAAAAGGAGTATTTCCTCTTTGAAATAATTTTATCCTGTTGTTCATTTGGCTGTCAGAATTCAGAAAAGATTTCAGACACAGTAACAAGTCTCAAAATGGAGACGTTATGGGCCCACTTGAGCAAATTGAACAATGGGAGGACAGTGACAGTGACCTTATTGGTTACTTTATACTAACTAGTGCATATTATAATGATGTATAAATCTGGTTATTTAAAATTAGTACGAAGGGATACTAGGGTGCTCCAGAGTAGTTAATGTAAGTCAATTTTCTATTGCACTTGATTCATTTTAATGTCTACCATTTATATTTTAGGCTGCTAATTTATATTTACTGAAATAGACTACCTTAGAAGACAGGGATTCATAAAAATGTAATATAAAATATTTTTCCCTTTTTTTTTTTTAAGAGATTACCTTGTACTGAAAAGGTGTATTCCATTGCTTAATTTTGTTGCTTTTACTGATAAGCAGTTATATAGCTCATTTGCTTTGACTAGAAAATTGGAGATGATTTTCCCAAGTCAAAATGCATCTGGGTCTTGCCCTTATTAATAATGCCTTAGAATATTTTACTAATCATAGATAACTATATTGAATAAACATGTAGCACATTCAGACTGGTTAATAATATTAATGACAAATTATCCAGTAGGGATGTCAATTTTTTAGGTTGACAATTTTTGTATCCTTCTCACTTGTAACAGCAAATATTCAGTATGATCTTAACATTTGTTACATCTCAGTAATAAAAACTTATGACCAGATTTCTTTCATGTGTGATGAGACATGATATTTTATATTTTCTAGTTTTCAGGATGAAAGGCAAACTATATAAAATTTAAACATAATTTATATTATTGAGCCCTTATTAGAAATCTACACATTTTTATTGGTTTGTTTAATTCCATAAGATTTGTTCTACATCCTATAATAGTGTTACTTAATATTTTATGTACATTTGAATGACTCCTATATCATTTTTTTTAAAATGTAGGCTTTAGATCAATAAATCTTGGGGCCAGCATCTTGGGAATTCACATTTCCAACAGTCCTCCAAGATTATGGCAATGCTTTTAGGACATGAACCGTGAAATGAGTAGCAGAAGTCTTTAATATCTATCATAACATTGAGATGTTTATGTTCAAGTTTGAGCACTTCTTAATCCTTGCTAAATATATAGGTTGCAAACTTCTCGTTTCTAAGTACTGAGTAATGGGATATAGGACAACTCAACACCTGTATTTTTAACAAGTATATGGAAATTAGAATAAAAAAGATTCTATATTTGTATTATAACAGTATCTGGAAAAGCAGCAAATTGCATTGCATGCTTATGGTTTCTGAATTTTTTTGCTATTAAAAATTTTTATATGGTACTTGTAAGTATAATATTGAGTAAATTTAGTAAGAATTGCATACAGATTAGAAAGGGTAGGTCAATCTGGCTGGAGATATTTATTATATGTGTTAAGGCTTTCTTGCCTTTAGATGGTTATTTGGTCTACCCTGGTTTGATCCCTTGAGTACCACCAGAGGTCTCTCCTGAGCAGAGTCTGAAATAGCCCTTAAGGCACTCCTAATTGTGGCCTAAGGAGCCTCCCCCGCACCCCCCAATCCTCTTGTGCCATAAAAAAAGAAACAATAGGTATTCATTCACATTTGCCTATTAGACCATACTTGGTCAATTTTTGTAATAGATGGAATTAATTTCTGGCACTGCTGGCGTTGATGCATCAAAATACATTCATTTCTTGCTGCTCTCTTTCCTGTTTCTTTTCACTGCTTTTCTTTATTGGCATATTTTAGGAAGCCGTTAAAAAAATTTTTTTTTTTGGTCACATCCAACAGTGCTTAGGGGTTATTCCTGGCTCTGCACTAAGGGATCATTCCTGGCAAGCTTGGGGGAATCATCTGGAATGCAAGGGATAGAACCCAGCCTAGCGAGTGCAAGGCAAGCGCTCCACTTACTGTTCTATCTTTATAGCCCCCTAAAAAAATTTTTTTTAGGTGATATAGAGGCCAAGTGGCTCAAGACTCAAATGTTAGCAATTTTTCAGTGTTTAAATATAGCTTCTTCTTTTAAAGCTATGACAGAAATCAGAGTGATGGCTCTTAATTGTCCTAGTATAGACCAAATGTCCAGATCTGTCACCATAGGGTCTCATAGGTTTAAGTACTTACGAACCACAGAGAAGGAAAAAGGTTATGACATAACTGGTAATGGTAATTTCTCCTAAGATTCAGGGCAGATAATGAGTATCTTCAATGCACTAATCGGAGGGTGTTTAACATACATAGTTTAGTAACTTGATTATTTTTTGCTTTTCCTCTCGGGTATATCTATACTGGTGTGAACATTACATAATAGGAATAGGCAAATTATCCACGGCTGATGGTAAAGCCTTTGCAGATCCTGAAGTGCTTCGGAGGTTGACATCATCTGTTAGTTGTGCGTTGGATGAAGCTGCTGCTGCACTTACCCGTATGAGAGCTGAAAGCACAGCAAATGCAGGGCAGTCGGACAAGTAAGTACATTTTTATGATGATCAGTAAAAATATTTTCATAAAATTAGCTTGCACTTACTATTTATTTTGTAGCTGGCTCTGTACCTATCACCTTACATGTGATATGATATACATAAAAAGCTCAAGTATGGATTTTGGGTTTTTTTTTTTTAACTCCCATTTTTAGTTAGAAAAACTCAAGACAGAAGAGTTACTTAATCTGAGTCTAAATAAATGACAGAAAGCAGAGCTGAGATACTAATGTCTGTCTGAGTACATCGCTGAACTTTTCATCTGTGTGTTAAGTCCTTTTGCTCATTCAGATTTTGTCTTATCTGACAATAATACTTTCAAGTTTTTCCATTTTTCAGTTCCATTCAAGCCATTTAAAATGGATAGGTTTTTATTTTGTGAACAAAGTCATAAATCTGTTTCCTTTAATTTGAATGTATGCCAGTCCCAGCAATTTACAGATTTGTTTATTCTATTTCTTTTGTATAGTATTTCACAGTTAATTTGGATTCAGTAAATATCTTGTGAGTTGGCTTCTTGTTTTCTGAAAAATGTTCAGATAAATTTACACTGTTATACAAAAACAATTTGGGATAATATAGTAAAATATCTATTAACTTTAAAAAAGTATTTGCAAAAGAGTCAATTGTCTTTTCTTTTTCAGTCATCTACTTTATAAACCAGTTACTTTAAAACATTAATTCCATGCAATCTTTAAGCCTTTAAAAAAACTATCAATTTATAAACCTGATCAAAAAAACAGATTATTGGCATTAAAAATGAATTGTTGTTTAACATTAAATCATGATCTGAGAGTTATGCTTTTCAAGAATTTTAAGACTGAGGTTAGTTAGTTTGTAATTGTGGCTATACAAAGATTTATGCCCCGTATAAAATGGAGGATTCATTTAAATGTCTTACAGCATTTATCCATTGTTAAGAGGGGAAAAAGGAGCAGTTTTACAGTTTAGCAGTTGCCTTTAAGTTTCTGAGATAATGAGAAATTTATATATGGAGTTAGAGAACAAATAGTAGCGTTAAAGAAATGGACGTTTTGTATAATAGTGTTTTGTTTTGTGTTTTAAGAACATGAATGGGTAGTATTGACAAGAGTATGAATTCGCTGTTTATTAATCTTTATCTTGGCTTTTTAATTCCATGGGCAACTCTGGATTGTTTGTTGTGGTAGGTGTGGGAGGGCATTTAGTACCTGGGATCGGACCCGGGTCCTCACACGTGAAAGTCATCTGGCCTGCCACCTGAATCCTACTGGGGCCTAGATTTTTTTTTTTTTGGCTTTTATTTATTTATTTATTTATTTATTTATTTTTTAATAGTGAGACACCATGAAGTACAGTTGTAGACTTACACATTTTTGTGCTTGGGTTTCAATTATACAATGATCAAACACCCATCCCTCCACCAGTGTGCATTTCCCACCACCACAGATCCCAGATCCCCCTCCCCCCTCCCCCCAGCCCCCATCCCACCCTGCCTCTGTGGCAGGGCATTTCCCTGGGGCGTAGATTTTTGTTCCTTTCAAAATTCTTTACTATTCTCACTGTATGGATTCTAGTAAGTTTGAGTTTCATTCTTAAATTAACATGAGTGTTACTAGTCTAGAATTTTAATGATATTTAAATACTTTTTAATGTTGTGCTCCGTCAGACTGATAATAGAAAAAACATTGTTCTTAAAATTAATGCTTAAAATTAATGTTAGCGAAAGAGTAGGTCATATTTGTCTCAATTGATGCTTATTTAGCAAAGCTTCCAAACTGCAGTGGAGTAGAGCTGAGTACTGTGCACCAGATTTCATATTAGTTGAGTGGAATGCCAGTGCCAGATTTCATGTTGTACCCTTTGCTTTTTGAAGTTCACGTGTTGCTGGAGTAGTTCCTAAAGATTGCTTTAAAGTTAGCAAACGTGTAGAAATTGAAAGTCCAGAAGAGAAAGTAGAGGAAAGCGCATGCATGATTAGGGGAGAAGAGACTGGGATGATAATAAAGATGAGCTTTTATTCAAGAACCCTCATAGGAAGATTTGTCCTATACTTGCCTTATGTGATAACGAACACTGGGTTTAGGGACTGTCATTGTCCTATAAATTGGAAATTAAGAGATAAGCATCACTGTATCACTGTCATCCTGTTGTTCGTTGATTGCCTCGAGCAGGCCCCGGTAATGTCTCCTTCGTCCTAGCCTTGAGATTTTAAAAAGTGCCACATTCAAGGCTCTTTCGGGGTCAAGAGAATGAGACCCATCATTGTTACTGGTTTTTGGCATATTGAATATGCCACGGGGAGTTGGCCAGACTGCCATGTGAGCAGGATACTTTCAGTAACCTGCCATGTTCTCCAGAGTGAGAACTGGATAATAAGTCGCGCTTGCCGCTGCACACTTCCGGGAGCAGGGTTTTATATTTTCTGGGTCTTGGCCATTGATGGGATTACACAGCACCCCGGGGGCAGTTGGTGGGTGTAACGTCTACATACTGGAAGACCAGGGATCTGGGTAGAGGAGGCCCCAGGCCCAAGCAGGCTTGGAGATCCACTCCCCGGGTCCTGCACATAATATAGCAAGCAGTACTACAAACTACAGAGAAAAATGTAAGTGCTAAGATAGTGTTTGAATTGAAGGTCATGTTGCATTTTTAATAGGGTGGTCAGGGAATTCTCACTTGAAAGGTGATATTTTTAGCAAAGATCTGAAAAAAATAAGTATGTGAATTCTTACAAATTATGATTCTTAGCAGAAGGACAGGAAGTGTGTTGAGCTTGGAATTGGAGTTTATTTAGCATTTTTGATAATATGGAAGGAAAGCCATGTGTAAAATAAGTAAAAAGTAGTAGGCTATAAATAAGAGTCAGATACATTTGGTTGTATTGCTGCTCAGAAGGGGTCACATGCTTGTTTGCGGTACCTAGAGAAGATCACATACTTTGTGACTTCAAAGATCCCAAATAGCAGAGGCACACTGAAGCAGGAATATTGGTGCCCAGGGAATCAGTTTGGGACCTCACCATCCTACTGCTGATCTAACAGTCCAGGCCTAGTGGGGTTATTTTTTCCAATTTTTTCAATTTTTATTAATGCACCACAATTTGCAAAGTTATTCGTAGTTTTAGACATACAGTATTGCGACACTTATCCCACTCCCAATGTCAGCTTTCCTCCACCACTGTATTTTTTTTTTTAAGAAATGAATTTTATCCAAAAGTAAAGAGAATTTTCAGAACTGTGCATAGAATTTAAAGAATCTGTCAAGAGTATAAAAACTTTATTCTCAGACTAATTTTCTACTTTTTATGCTCTACATTTTTTGTTTTCCTTTTGCTTAAAACAGTTAGCTGTTGCTTTCCTCTTGGTAATTATTTGGACATACTATATTGGTATTAAAAAATACTTAAAAGACTCCTTATAGTTAAGGCAGGTACATTAATCCCTGTAATAACTCTCCCACTCCTGTGTTTAGATTTTAAGGTTAAGCTGAATCCTTTCCCATTTCTTTTTGTTATGGATTATAGAGAAGTAATCATTTAATATATTGATACATGAGTTTCTGTATTATACCCCAATATTACTTGTATTCTTCTCCTTATAGCCGCAGTTTGGCCGAAGCTTGTTCAGAAGGAGATGTAAATGCTGTGCGAAAGTTACTCATAGAAGGGCGAAGTGTTAATGAACACACTGAGGAAGGGGAGAGCCTTCTTTGTTTAGCTTGTTCCGCTGGATATTATGAGCTTGCACAGGTTTGTATTATCAAGATAAAGCTAATTTCTTTCTTTTTATCTGACATAGTTACAGGGAAATGAACTGTGAGGGGGCAGGTGGGAGGGGGCGTCATCCAGGGCTACTTGGGCTCTTCCTGGTTCTGCGCTTTCGTAGTGCCCAGAAAGCCTTGTGGTACAGGGCATCAACCAGGTTGTTTGCATGGGTGTCCTTACATCTGTCCTCTCAGGCGTTAAGGAAATAAATTTGACCATTCTATTCATTTCAAACATTTTATACGATGCATTTTAGTATTCATTGACTCACTATATTATAAGTAGTAAGTGTTACTATTAAGTATTTAGATATATTGATGAATGGCCAGGGATGGGACCTTGCATTTCTGAAACATAGATTCCGTCCCTGGTACCCGTGAAAACAAAACATAGCAAACTCTTTCTAATTTCCTTTAAACTTCTTTTTCATTAGGTTTTGTTGGCAATGCACGCAAATGTGGAAGATAGGGGAATCAAAGGTGACATTACACCTTTAATGGCTGCTGCTAATGGAGGACATGTCAAAATTGTGAAGTTGCTGCTAGCTCATAAAGCTGATGTCAATGCACAATCTTCAACAGGTTATGCATTTTTATTTTCAGTTTTGTTAAAGTCCTTTGGTAATTATTGAAAATTGACATAAACATGATCATTTATGATAATTTTGTGATTTTATGGTGGGTGCTGCATATTTGCAAAAGCAGTGTTGAACTCTAATATACACATACTATTTTGAATGATATTTCACTGTATCATGTATGAGGGTTACGATTTGGCCTTTAAAGTTTCCGAGAGAGAGAGAGAGAGAGAGAGAGAGAGAGAGAGAGAACAAAAAGGAATGCCCTGCCACAGAGGTGGGGTGGGCTGAGGGGGATGGAGGTGGGTGGGGGATACTGGGATCATTGGTGGTGGAGAAGGGGCACTGGTGGAGGGATGGGTACTCGATCATTGTATAGCTGAAACTCAAGCACAAAAATTTGTAAGTCTACAACTGTACCTCATGATGGTTCACTGATAAAAAAAAGTTTCCTTTAGATATTAAGAATTAATTTAATCACTGGAGTAGTTAGAAAGACCTTTTTTGAAGAAAAGTTCTAGAATCCAGGCTCCACAGTTTTCTAGTGGAAAGAGAAGAAGGCTAGAATGAGTACGAACATAAAAAAGGGCTACCATTGCCTTGTCTTACTAACTTCTGCATTAGAAAAAGAAAGTAATGAGAACATTGTTTCTCGGAATGGCTATAGCTTTCCAAAGGTCCCCGTGCTCTCTCAGTTAGGCGTTTATAGATTTGGGTAGAGCTCTTGAGCGTATGTAAACATACGTTTTGTAAATTTCCTTCACCTATGATTTTTTTCTATTTTGTTTTATGTTTTGGGGCTACACCTCGCAGTGCTCAGGAATTTATTTGGTCTGAAGGTGTGAACTAAGGAACTTCCTCTGTATTTGGGGGACTATAAATGGGGTGCTAGATCAAACCATGTTAGGTACATGCAAGGCACACATCCTGTTCAGTGTGCAATCTGCCCCTGTAAGATTTTTGTTGTTGATTTTGGTCTACAACTAGTGGTTCTAAGGAGTTACTTCAGGCTCTGTTCTGAGGGGTCCCTCCTGGCTGGTGTGGACGACCATGTGAGGTGCCTGTAAGGCGAGTCACTTACTTACTGTACTGTCACTTTGGTCCCTGGTCCCTAAGATTTTTAAGCTTACTAAGTATTTACTGATAATTTTAACAGCTTTAGTTTCTAGTTTGAAGGTCTTTAAAAATTATTATTTTATCCAGATTGGCTTTTTTTATTTTAAACTTGTTACATATGAGATTTTAATTATCCAAAGGGCATGTTTTTGAAATTATTTAAACTTTAGTTAATTTCTGTTTGAAGTTGTAGTGAAAACAAGTATATGATTAAAAGGAGTAGTATGATTTCTTTTAATTCATATATCTATGGATCACGAATAGCAAATTAGGAATTAGGCTTGTGATTAAAATTATAACAGATGTAATTTTCTCATATGAAACGTTAGCTTCAGTTCTTTTATAATTCTAAGTTGTGGTGAGATACTTTTATTTCCCATGTGCTTTTATCCCTAATTTTAAGTGGAAAGAACTAGGAGTTGATTTCAGTAAGATAAGATGCAAGTGGAAAATGAGGTGAGGAAGAGGGCATTTGTGTGTGTGTAAAATCTAACTTAATTAATGTTATAGTCTCCCATTTTAGTTTTTGTCCTGTATGTTACGGTAGACTGCTCTATTTGGGCATTTTATTTTAATATCTTGTTTTTCTTTGTTCAAATAGGCAATACAGCACTTACATATGCTTGTGCTGGAGGCTATGTAGATGTTGTAAAGGTGCTCTTGGAATCTGGTGCTAGTATTGAGGACCATAATGAAAATGGTCATACTCCTCTTATGGAAGCTGGAAGTGCTGGACATGTGGAAGTAGCCAGATTGCTGCTAGAAAACGGGGCTGGCATTAATACCCATTCCAATGAATTTAAAGAGAGTGCCCTTACATTAGCTTGTTACAAAGGTATAGTATATATATTTAATCATTTATTATTTTTTTCAGTAGTAATGGGGATTGAAACTTAGGTCCCATATGTGCAGTAAACAGCATTTTATAAACACATGAAATGATCTGTAATAATATGTAGTGTGAAATTAATTGTTAAATTTTCAAGTTTAATATGTAAATGTTTGTATAGACTGACATTGTTGATGAAAACTGACTGTTGACCTAGTTGTTTTGTTGGAAATGGGAATTTGATATTGATGTGCACTTTATTACATACTGACTTTGTGTCAGAATATTTTTTTCATGGTTTAAATAGAAAAGTTGAAATCAGAATTATTCTATAAATTTAACTAGTCACAGTAATCTGTTAACAATACAATATTTTAATTTTTTAAAAGGTTCTAGGAAAAAAGGTAACAATTGAAGGGAAAGGATAATATTTTGAGATAGAACATTTTAAAGTGTTGGATGAATTTAAATGCAAAAGAACAGTTTTTTAGTATCACTAATAGTTAAAAGGAAAAGCTGGTTGAAAATGAGAAAACCAACTAATGTGTAGTCATGAAAAGGAAGAACATATTTTAAATATCAGTGATTAAAAAAATGATAGTTCAGAAAAAAATGCTCTTTCAGAGAAGCAGAACAGTTGTCAGAAAAAAGTGCTTGAAAATTTAGCTAGTCTAATACTCTAGATTATTCTAGGTTCTAAATGTATCATTAGAAACAAACATTTTTCATACTATTTTAAATGATAGATAAATGAGTATGAAGAAACTATTGAAAAGCAAATTTAATACAATTTTGATCTGATTATTAGTACTCAGTGTTTCTTAAAATCTGCAGCAATGGCATGTTTTATATTACATTAATTATATTATATACCAAGGGGTTCACGGGTATATAATCATCTAAATCATCTAAATGGAGGGTATATAATCATCTAAATCATCTAAATGGAGGGTCCACGGATTAAGATTAGAGGAGTAGTCATAGAAGGACACAAGGGCTATAGGAATGAAATGAAGTCAGAAGTGAGGGAGGGTGGTTGGGGAAAAGCTTGATGAATCCTGACTACAGGCATTACAAAACAGCTTTTGAAAGCCTGTGGAAACAATCTTTAGTTATAAATCTCTACATACACCCTCCTCCCCCAGAACCCCCACATTAATTTTTAAGGCTCTTTGACCTAGAATACTGTTAGATAGTTTCCAGTATCACACCACCACTAGAATATAAGCTTCCCTCCACCAGTCCCCCATGGACCCCTCCATTCAGATCAGTTTGGTAGGCCAGTTCTCAGATTCTGTTACTTGCATAGTTTCGTGAATTGAGTGCCTCTGACATTTTGCACCCAGAGGTTTCGTCACCTCTCTCTCGTTTGGACCTGGTGTTTGATTAATGTTTCATTCTGTTTCGTAGTGGCCAGTGTGTTGTACTTGCTTTTGGAAATAATTTCGTAAAAATGGATATAATCATAGAGATATACATAGCTGAAATTTAAATTTGAAAATAGGCTCTGTCTTTAAATACTTTTGATTTTTGTGGCGGGTGTTAAATATTTTCAGGGTAAGGGTAGTTAGGGAGTGCAGCAGAGGTCCCTTACACATCCCCTAGTTCTAGGTGATCATTAGAAAAAAGCCTGATTGTCTTTGGGTTGAAAAACCTAGGGAGAGCTTATCTAGCGCTCGCTGATAGATTGGGTGGCTCTCTCCCCATCTCACAAAATCTTTGTGAACCCAGGTCTGACTGCATTTTACGGTTCAGTCCCTGCTGAGTAGAACAACTTTGAGATGGTGGGGTTACATGTAACTACTCTTCCCTCTCTCCTTTACTTGTAGCCCCACTGTGCTTTCCAAAAGGGGCATCTTTGGTTGGGGCTTGCAGGCTTTAATTAGAAGCTGGATATAGAACTGAGTTGGTGGAGAACATCTCTGCTACTTCCAGGGATCCATGGACCTTCTTCCTTTCCTCTATTTCTGGTGAGATCTCTTAGGACATAGATTAACAAGGCCGAGATAGAAATTGATAGGACTCAGTTGAGACTAAACATGGATAGGAATCTTTGGGGAAGGGACAATAACAGGAAAGAAAGGTAGGTAGGTAGCATTGAACAGCATGTAGCAAGATGGTAGGTGCTCTTATCAGAATCAGTTTTAACTGTGAGTTTACTAACCACTCCTTTTCCTTCAGTCACGTTTGACTGAGAATGACTTCTATAGCATATTACAGATAAAGTTTTGGAAGAAAATAGCCATTTCACTGTTTTTTATATGTTATTGGGGGAGGTGGACGAGGAGAGAGTTTTAGTTGTCCACACTGATAATTCTTGGGGCCTTCATAGTCACTCACACCCAGTAATGCGTGGGAGACTTTGTGGTGCCAGGGATGACCCCCTCCCCCCAAAAAACCCCCTATATTGTCTAATCAGCACTAAAGTGTCTTAAGGGAAAAAAATACATGTTTTATACTCAGAAGATGTCTTTATGTGAACTGAGGTACAGATGGCTTATTTGAAGCTAGATATATCCAGATATATGTGTTTGTATGTATACTTATGTGTAAATAGATTTATATATAACGTAAATGGTATAATTTCTGGAGTACTTTTATAGGTGAAGTTTACAACTTCAAAGCAGGTTATTCTGAGAAATGTTTTTGAGGTAATTATTGAACTCAAAACACATTTAATCGTCAAAGAAGTTAGTTACTACTCCATTCTTCTAGTTTTTGATAGTAATTTCTTTCCTCCTATACATATAATAATGCTAGAGTGCCTGGATAGAGGTGGTACTATGGGTTTTAAATGTTAATGGCATCTACTCAGAATAAAATAGCAAAAACAGTATAATTTGTTTTTATATGGAGGGTAGCTTGTAGCTGACTTTAGTATTGTAAATTTATTGCTATAAGTTTAATATAACCTTTTAAGGTATCAAAGCTTTCTTATATGTTGGGGGGGTATAAAAATGTTAAGTAATCTTATACACTTTTACTTTAGGACATCTAGAGATGGTGCGATTTCTTTTGGAAGCAGGCGCAGATCAAGAGCATAAAACAGATGAAATGCACACTGCTTTAATGGAGGCTTGCATGGTAAGATTAGTGAAATGGATACATGAAATAAGCTTGTTAAGTAGAAAGAGACAACTAGTGTACAGTGGTACCTTCTCATTAACTTCAAAGATTCTGTTCATTTCAAATGACTTACAGAGCAAAACCCGAGGTATATGAATTATTAATAATTTTCAAAATTAATTCTACTATGTTAACTTCTGCTAATGGTGGTTTTTGAACTTTATAGTGCTATCTTCATTTTTTCTTAGCCTCACTTAATTATTCTGTTTTTATGTAGTTGACGCAAAAAATATCTTCCTAAAAGTGAACTGATATTAAAGAGGAGAATAGAGTCTATAAAGTATGCAGATATGCTTAGGGTAATATGTTCATTAGATCAAACATTTATAAAAAATTAATAATCAATCTTATTTTATATAACTATTACCTGCCTGTTTGTCAAGTATTCCTGAGCCATGTATTTCTTTTTTAAAGTATTTTGGTATAGAGTTATAATTACGGAACACTTTATGCTCTTAGAACCTCTGTATGTCAGTGTGATTTTTGGCAAAGATGTATCAGAATAACAATATAAAAAAATTTATGAGGGGTAAGGTGCTAAAGTAGATTTATACCTCAAATGAATTTGGTGTTTCTTATGTTCCCTGTATATATTAGTTTGTGAAAAGATTATTTGCATTGAATTTTACTAATTTGAAAATACATTAGGTAGCCATTTAAATTTTTTCTTTGCTTTTCTTATTACTGGTCCATTGTTTACATTACTTGTTTTGAGCAAGCTTTTTTTTTTTTTAAGATTCAAGTTTGTCACCTATTAAAATGTTTTTAATGTTAAAATGTTCGATGAGATGATAATAGCCTTCTCAGGGCTTCTGTAAGGATTAAATGAGATGATATTTTTAAGAAATATTACTGCTATTACTAACAGAAGTAGTTGTTACTGTGTCCCTGTGTAAATAGCTTAAGACATAAGGCCATATATTTCCCACTAGAGAAGCAAACCTATATGTAGATTAAGAATTAAAATGAAATACTCTATAGACCTAAACAGCACACACCAGAAATAAGTATTTCTGGAATGCATATTTCTAGAGGTATCATTTTATTAGCAAACATGTAGAAGCTTTGTTTAAAAGAATAAGATTTTAAATTAGATGTCATGGAAAATGTAAGGAGTTGAGAATTAATGTAGGAAAAAAATTTCGAGCTGGAGGAGTACAAAAGTGACAAAAACAAATTGTTTGACATGTTCAAATAAAAATTAGATACCTGTTGGAGATGACATAAAATGAAAAGGTATGTAATAGGGAAAAAGAGGAAAAAGAGAACCTAGTGTCTCCAATAGTTAAAAAAGCTATGGGGAAAGTGAGTCTAGTAAAGTATATGATAAGAAATAACTTTCTTTTGTGATTTTCACTGGTAGACATAAATTGAACAGCCAAGGAAGAACCTTTAGCACAGTGTATTTCCTTTTGCCTACAATTAAAGCAACAGTTTGGGACAAGCCGCTCTTGTACAGGCAAGCAGCGTGCATATCTGCTGCCAGAATCACACCCTGCGATGTATTCTTTTCTCTCCTTTCATCATTTTTCTTCAAAATGAATCTATTTCACTTCAAAAATAAAATCATCCACAGTTCTGTAACTCCTTCCAAAAGTATTGTGCTTTTTACCTTATGTTTGATTTTCCTTAAGGTTTCTGTAAAAATCCTATTGTTTTCTGAACTTCATTCTTTTTTAAGTTTCTGCCCTGTAGTGTTGCTATTAACTGTGGTATCATAGCACATTTCTTGATGGTTTAATATGTTTGATTGAGCTCATTCTTTTTCTGCATTCTCGGTTTTGATTTCCTGTATTGTATTAAAGAAAAAACATAGGTAGACCTTAATAAATACTGGTTTAGTCAGTGTTTAATGCTGATTTATTCATTTTGAATGTAGATTAGTTAGCTTCATTATTTGCTAGTTATTGTATTCATAATTTAAAGATAATTTTGATGGTGCTGATTGAATTTTTTTTATTACGTTGTAATTAGGATGGTCATGTTGAAGTAGCTAGGTTACTTCTTGACAGTGGTGCCCAAGTAAACATGCCTGCTGATTCCTTTGAGTCACCATTGACTTTGGCTGCGTGTGGTGGGCATGTGGAGCTTGCAGCTTTACTTATTGAAAGAGGAGCTAGCCTGGAAGAAGTCAATGATGAAGGTTATACACCATTGATGGAAGCAGCTCGAGAAGGACATGAAGAAATGGTAGCATTACTTCTAGGCCAAGGTAAACAAGACAAAACAGATATAAGCAGATATTTACAGTGTCTTATTAAGCCCAGCATAGGAAATCCTACCATAAGAACTAATGAGAATGCAAAGATTACAGAAATACAAGAAGTTCAGTGCCTGGACTTCTTTTGAAAAATACTGTGTTAAGATATCTTCAGTTTAGAATTCAGTTTCCACTTTCACCAGTATTTGCAGCCTCTTAAGTGTTGTTTTTTTTTTAAACTTTTTAATTGAATCACTGTGAGATAGACTCTTGCAAAGCTGTTCATGATTAGGTTTCAATCATACAGGATTCCAACACCCATCCCTCCACCAGTGGACATTTCCCAGCACCAGTGTTCCCAGGTTCCCTCCCAGCATCTTAGTTTTAGAAGCCAGCTTGTTGGGGCCTCCCTACGTGATAGTACGGTATGTAGTACATTTGCTAAGAGTAGCATGAGCACCACGGAGAGTGGCCCCATAAAAAATAATAATAATGCCATGGGGCTAGAGATAATGGGTAGGGTGTTTACCTTGTTTGTGGCCAATCTGGGTTCGGTCCCCAGCACACTGTATGGTTCCCCAAGTCTATCAGGAGTAACCCCTGAGTGCAGAGCTAGGCCTAACCACTGAACACTGCTGAATGCGCCCCAAACCAAACCATCCTCCCCTCCTGCTACCCCAATCTCAACCAAAAAAAATTTTTTTCTTTTTAGATAAATATAAAAGGATTGCTACATATAAAAAAAAAAGAAATTCTAGGGGTTATGGTCTCAAGGATCTAATATTGAGATAATGTTGGTTAGAATTCCGAAAGCATAGGTTTTGCAGTGACTTTCGTAGCTTGCCTTGCCATTTTGAATTATAGGCAAGTTTTGAACCACTGTGCCTCAGTTTTCATAGGGTTATTGTGTGAGTTAATACATATTTGCTTAAAGCTCGTAAAATGCAATGTCTGTTATAAGTTAACTGTGGTGATGGTGTTAGTGGTAATGATGATGATGTCATTTTGACACTGGGCAAATTAATTGACCTCTTATGTGTTCCCTTATGTGTAAAATACAGCTAATAGCATAAAATTGTTAACTATTTGGTGGCAGATGTAATAGTTTGTTAAAACTTGTTTCTGTCATCAACATTTTTTATCATTTTTTTATTTTTAATATTTATAATGAAGGAGTGTAGTATACTATTCTCTAAAATGTCTTGATTTGTCATCTCTGGTACCTCCTGGCAGAATAAAGCTAATTACAGCCGTATATAGCAAATACGAACTAGTGGGTTCAAATTCAAAATAAATAGCTTTATTTATAACTCTCAAGAGGTAGAGGCATTTTATCATTTAATAAAGTAATGTTTGTTTTTGATGTATAGTTGGTTAAGAAACGACATGTTTTGCTTTCTTTAAATAACTAGAATCTTTATTTTAGGAGCAAATATCAATGCACAGACAGAAGAAACCCAAGAAACTGCATTGACTCTGGCTTGCTGTGGAGGCTTTCTGGAAGTGGCTGATTTTCTAATTAAGGCTGGAGCTGATATAGAACTAGGATGTTCCACTCCTTTAATGGAAGCTGCTCAGGAGGGTCATTTGGAGCTAGTCAAATACTTACTGGCTGCAGGTAGGTATTTTGATATTTGAAGAAATTTTGTTAGCATGACAGTGCAGATATTTTCTGTGTTTTGATCTATAGAATATGTGAAAAAAGTCTGATAAGCTTTTATTTATTTTGAATAACTGGCATTTGATCTTATGGCTTTAATTGTTGGATGAAGTCTCATTTTTTTTTCTTAAGGATGCTGACTATTTTTTTTTCAGAAGTGACTATGTATTGTTTCAGTTAAAGACTTACTACATCTAGAAAAAATTTTGATGCTATCATTTGTCTTACAATTTTTAATACCGTGTTTTGTTTGACTCGTAATATAGGAGCTAATGTTCATGCAACAACAGCAACAGGAGATACGGCACTAACGTATGCCTGTGAAAATGGTCATACTGATGTAGCAGATGTCTTACTTCAGGCAGGAGCAGATCTGGTAAGCTATATAACATTATATTCTAATGTTTAAAATAAAGACCTCCCTACCGTCACCCCTCAAAAACAAAGTAAAATAAAAATAATTTAAAATTTAGTGATTGTAAACAAAATGCTTCTGATTGTTTCCCTTTTCCACACATTAGAATTCTACATTAAAAAAAAATTTCCACATTAAAATTGTATGGCATATGCTAAAGCTTTATTATAGAGGCTGAGGTATTTGCGTTGCACACAGCTGACCTGGGTTCTGTCCCTGGCATTCCACATGATTTCCTGAGCACTGCCAGTAGATTTCTGAGCATAATCAGATGTGTTATTAAAACACGCGCATGTATTGCAGACACATTTTCTTATTTACTTGGTTATTTTTAGAAAGCTTACCTTATTTTTTATAAAAAGACAAACCAGTTTATAGACACTTCATTGCAGCTTAGAAAATACGTTGTACCTGCACTTTTTATTGCATTATTACATCATAGGGAAGTTAAACATGCTAAATAGTTTAATGTATTTTCCCTCTTGTAACTTTGAATAAAGGTAAAGGCAAAGGCCCTCCCGTTGATCGTCGATTTGCTCGAGCGGGCCCAGTAACGTCTCCATTGGAGACTTTGTTGTTACTGTGTTTTGCATATCGAATACTCTCGGTAGCTTGCCGGGCTCCCCGAGAGGGGCGGAGGAATCGAACTCGGGTTGGCCATGTTGGCCGCTTGTAAGGCGAACGCCCTACCGCTGTGCTAATAACAAGTATGAAATCTGATGCCATAATCCAGTGGATTATATTTAGGAAACTAATAAAAGAGTAAAGAAGCTTAGGATGGGTAAAAAGATGTCATGTAAGAAATTGTATTTTGGCTGTGTGAAAGAAGGATACAATATAACTATTTATATAAAAAAATTCCACTATTCCACTTGAAAGAAAAATAAGAGTACAGCTTGAAAAATAGGAAAGCACAGAGCAAACGTGTGTGGAATGGCGCAGGACGTGGTTTAGTGCTCAAAGTGCATTTTTCCCGTGCCTGAGAACTGGGTTCAGTCCCTGGCACTTTGCTAAGAGGTACTGCAAGTGTATGTAAGGAGAATGTTTATCTTAGAATTTAGCCCTTGAAAGGGGTAGTGAGGCATGAAAATTAGGTTTTCATAAAGATGTAAAGGTAAAAAGGTAAAGGCCCTCCCATTGTTTGTCGATTTGCTCGAGCGGGCCCAGTAATGTCTCCATTGGAGACTTCGTTGTTACTGTGTTTGGCATATCGAATACGTCACGGGGAGCTTGCCAGGCTCTGCCGTGCGGGCGAGATAAGCACCAAAATGTATTCATGGGCTTGAGATTAATATTTAAGTGTATTTTCTTATAGAAATTATAGTTTATGAAATAAATTTATATAGAGACAGAAATAGCTCCTCCATGAACTAGTTTCATAAACTTAATATATTCAGTCTGTCATTATTGAAGGAAAAGTGTTGAATTAGATTAGATCAGTATTGTTGATTTTCTCACCTGAATGTTACTGACCCAACTCTGTAAGCATGTTTTATTGTACTTTTATGTATATTTTCCCCTAATTTAATTTTGACATTTAGCTTAGGAACTAAATTTGTAGTGTTTATCATAGTGGCTGTGAAACATAGGCAGTGAAAGCAAACTTGTAGAAACTTGTGTTAGAAAAATGTGATTTCATAGAACCATGAGTTGGTTGTTCATTACATATTAATGTTAGCCTCTATATTTGTTATGTGTTACAAAGTTAAAATGTGTAATACTTTAAAAATAGTACTTTTTCCTCAAGCTTTAATATTCTAAGATGTGAAAATTTTTCATATAGTCTCAATTGCTCAGTGATAACAAGATATAATAGATTGGCCAACCATTTAACTCCAGGAATCTTTAGTAATATCTTTAAGTTTATGATTTGAGGTATATGGATTGTTCCTAGCCTTGTTTTCATGAGAGGAAAAAAGGAAAACGAGGCCAGAGCGGGTAAGGGTTTGCCTTGAACTTGGCAGACTCCCGGTAGCTTTGCCCTTCCTATGATTCCCTGAGCACCTCCAGGTAAGGCCCAAAACCCAAAGTAAATAAACAACAAAAGATATTAGAAGTATATAAAAAGAGGAAGTTTGGTGGCTGGAGAGATTGTACAGGAGATAAGGTGCATACCTTGCATGTAGTTGACCCTGGTATCATCTCTGCCATCCCAAATTTATCAAAAGAGGAAATTATTATAGACAGTGAATTTACAACAGGAAAATTCACTTGAATTAGAGGAAGGATAGTGAAATTAGAGAGGGCTCTGTGGTGCCCTTAACTGTTAAGCTTCCAAATCCTATTTGTAGAAAGAGAAAGAAAAATTTATCCATTTGCATTTAGGAGAGGGTGTCAGAATCACATAAATAAAATTCCAGGTCTTAAATTATTTACTTAGGATATGTTTCCAGTTTGAATATGTATTTCTTAGTATGCTTTAGATTCTGATGTCTAAATCAGTTCATTTCTTTGCCCTTGGATTTTGCAAAGGACTATTGTTGTTCAGTGGCATTAAATATTAATTAAGTCTATATTTTAAACAGGAACACGAATCTGAAGGTGGAAGAACTCCCTTAATGAAAGCTGCAAGAGCTGGTCATGTTTGTACAGTTCAGTTCTTAATCAGCAAAGGTAGGTGTATGGAAAGAAGTTTTGTTTTCTATCCCCGTTTCTGTTTCCTGCCCTCAAATATTTATGGAGATCGAGAGGTTAAGAACACTTTTGGATATCAATTAGTAGAGAGAATCCAGTGGCAGTTTAGATTGCTAAATTGATCAACATCATGCAAGGACTGTTAAACACCTCTTTAAAGGGGGGAAAAAAACTCTTAGTAAAACTAGGTTTGATGACTTTTTCTTTCCTTGTAATATATATCATTCAGTAATACACATGCAATAATAATAATACATGTGATAATATATCTTAAAATCTGGATAGTTATGTTTACACTGAGCAACTTGAGACCCAAATCACTTGTAACATTTTTACTTTATATTTCCTTGTACTCAACGTTTCCTTTGTTATAATAGGAAGGTGGTAATATTTATGACATGACAAAGACACCAGACCTAAAACTGAATTTTGAAAAATACCCAAAATGGATTGAATTATTTTTCATGATACATATACTTTAAATACATAAAACCTTAGCTATATATATATAGAGAGAGAGAGAGAGAGAGATTTTCTTTAAATTATTTCCTAGAAATTTACTAAAATTTCCTAGATATTTACTACTTAAGCTGTAATTTATATTAGAAGTAACATACTTTCATTCTTATCTTTGCTACATTCTGATGTATATATATTTATGGAAGAAATTGTTTTGTGTTTATTTGGGATTTGGGCTGGAGCAATAGCACAGCGGTAGGGCGTTTGCCTTGTGCACAGTCAACCTGGCCAAGCCGGGTTTGATTCCTCTGCCCCTCTCAGAGCGATAGCACAGCGGGTAGGGCATTCGCCTTACAAGCGGCCAACATGGCCGACCCGAGTTCGATTCCTCCGCCCCTCTCGGAGAGCCCGGCACACTACCGAGAGTACTCGATATGCCAGACACAGTAACAACAAAGTCTCCAATGGAGACGTTACTGGGCCCGCTCGAGCAAATCGACGTTCAACGGGAGGGCCCCTCTCAGAGAGCCTGGCAAGCTACCAAGAGTATCTCACCTGCACGGCAAAGCCTGGCAAGCTACCTGTAACGTATTCAATATGCCAAACACAGTAACAACAAGTCTCACAATAGAGATGTTACTGGGCCCACTCCAGCAAATCGATGAACAGGAGGACAGTGCTACAGTGCAGTGCTTCTAATGCCGGGGTACCACTTTGCTTATAGACATTCTTATGAGCCCGGCAAGCTACCAAGAGGATATATCACCCGCACAGCAAAGATTGGCATGCTACCCTGATGATATGCCAAACACAGTAACAACAAGTCTCACAATTGAGACGTTACTGGGCCCGTTCGAGCAAATCGATAAACGGGAAGACAGTGCTACTGTGCTTATTTGGGATTTGCTTTTGAAAATTCAGAATGAGAGGAGAATTGATAGGGGTCATATGTGAAATGAAATTGGCTGTGTGAGTTGAGTAGTGAGTATGTGGACTTTATTATACTAAACCCTCGACACTTTATACTTGAAAATCACGATAATTTAAGAAGCTACACTATCAGCATGATTTTTTTCCTGCTTTTCTGTTTTTAGGAGCAAATGTGAATAGAACCACAGCAAATAATGACCACACAGTACTCTCCTTGGCTTGTGCTGGAGGTCATCTGGCAGTTGTGGAACTTCTTTTAGCTCATGGGGCAGATCCAACTCACCGTTTAAAGGTACGTAATTCAGTTAAATTTAATTCTTAACTCTTGAATGTTTCTCAGTATCGTTTGTTTCTTGTGTGATGGCAGTTATTTTTATTTCCTTGTGTTTTATTAGTAGAAAATCATTTTTACTAAACCCAAGATTTTAAGTATCTGACAACCTATTGTTTTTATCTTTCTTATTGCTTTTTTAAACTAATATTTCCCATATCCTCTCTTTAAGGACGGTTCAACCATGTTGATAGAAGCAGCAAAAGGTGGCCATACAAGTGTTGTTTGCTATCTTTTGGACTACCCTAATAATTTGCTATCAGCCCCTCCACCAGATGTCTCTCAGTTAACCCCCCCATCCCATGATTTAAATAGGGTAAGAATTTAATTATCTCATATGTTTATTGTTTTGTTCTTAATTTCAGTTTACGTTAGATTATTTTATGTATGGTAAGAATTTAATCATCTTTTTCCTTTGGCTTATAGTTTCTGTCTAAACTAGATTGATCACTTTGTTTTATGTAGGTTTTATTTTTTGCTGACATGTATTTGATATGGTTAATGAACATCTATGAAATCAGATTCTGCATGAATAGGATTTTGCTTTACCTTAATGACAATTTAAATACTTGATTTCAGTAATAAATTTAAATGTCATCATTTAAGTTCAAGAGTCCATTTATAAAGCCATAGAAAATAATGTTCCTAACAGTATATTTCAAATAGATATGTCTTTGTTTGGCATTAATGCCATGTTAAAATTTTTATGAATAATTTTTGTAAGGTGGGGAGGCCACCCCTGGCATTGCTCACTGCCTGCTTCTGGCTCTGCCCTCAGGGCGTCACTCCTGGCAGTGTTTTGTGGACCATGTGCTCCAGGGGATTGAAATGGGCCTCCTGAGTGCAAAGCTAGCACTCAGCTGGTTGAGTTATCTCTCCGGCCCATTACTCACTTTTCAGTAACGATTTTCTTTCCCTTAGGCTCCTCGTGTACCAGTTCAAGCACTGCCCATGGTTGTCCCACCTCAGGAGCCTGACAAGCCTCCTGCCAATGTCGCCGCTACTCTTCCCATCAGGAATAAAGGTCAGTTATACTTCTAAGGACTATTTATTATGTATTTCCCACATAAAAATCAGACTATAAAGAACCAGCCTCAAAAGTCTTTTTCCACAAAAAGTGAATTTGCTAAGTTGGTATAAAGGGTTTTTTTCTTTGGTTTGGTTTGCTTTTTTTAAACAATGAGAAAAGCATGTTTTAGGGAGGTCAGATAGTTGATAATTTGTGCTACAAGTCTTAAGAGAAAATCAGATACTTTTCTTTGCAATTCTGATCACCTATGATATGCTCTAATAACTAGTCATTCTGTTTATATTCATATAGTGGGATGGGTATAGGTGGGTGACATTTTTGTAAATTACTTAAATTTCTGTAGTTGCATATGATTTAAGATTAACAAAGTCGACCAAAATTACAATTTATTTTCGGATAACAAAAATGAACAGATCTTATACCTGGGATACCATTTCTCAGTTATAAATTCAAAGTTATATCAGATATGCTTGTTTGTTTCTTTAGAAATCTGAGATCTTTATTTGATTTCTGGGTGTTTCACATACATCTTCAAAAGTTACGTCCCAGGGCGATGGGGATGTGGCTCTGTGGTAGAGTGCATACCTCACATCTGTGAGGTCCTGGATTTGATCTCCAGCACCACAAAAAGCAAAACCAAAAAGTATGTTCCAAAACTTTACTGCTACCAGCTCAAATTAGTTTTTCTTTTTAAAAGGCTTTATTTGAAGTACCATTGTGTTTTTAATTTTTGTTTTTGACTACCTATATTACTTTCCCAGCAAGAGTATTAAATATTCCCACCAGCTATTTTCATTCAATCACTGTTACTAATCTAGAGCCTTGGTACCCTTTTTTGACTGGTATAGCAAACAGCTGATTGCTATATCTGTGGCCAGATCTGTTTATTCACCTGGCGATCTGAAGATACAGTGGATGGCGTAGCCCAGCATCTTTTCTTCCAGGGAAACTGAATCCCAGTTCTCTACTGGCCAGGTAGCTGTGTGACTATGTGAATGTGTATCTTACCTTTATCGGTTTCAAAGACACTAGACCCCAACAGAGAAAAATATTTTACGTGGATTTAAATTTTCTGGTACTTTCCAGGTTTTGGGTACTTGGTGTGTATGTGTGTGTGTTTAAAAGGCACAGCCTATTCTAGATGGAAAAAATTCTAAATAGAGATTGAAGTTTTCCCTACGCCTTTTAACTTTATTTTTCTGTTCTTATGAGTTTTTACATCTTTATGACCACTTGAAATATCTACATATAATTTTAGATTTGATTTTAGTTGTACCACTTAGCTGTCACAGATCTGCATTACTCTGTTGTATAATTTTAGCCATGTGGTATTTTTTAAATTCTGGAATTAATTTCTCAAAGATTTCTCTATGCACATAAAATACATACATTCTTATATTCGTGATAAAGAAGGTGAATTTAACTTTTTAGCAGTGCATTTTTCACCTTCTGTGGATGTGCTAAGTTGGTGCATAACTGTTGGCACTAAACCTCCCAACAGTAACTCTGTAATGAGGATGCCATTCATGTGCACTTCTGAGGGGGTTTCTTTCTCACACAGCTGCTTCTAAACAAAAGTCCAGCAGCCATTTGCCAGCAAACAGCCAGGATGTACAGGGTTACATCACCAATCAGTCTCCAGAGAGCATTGTAGAAGAGGCTCAGGGAAAGTTAACAGAACTGGAACAGAGGATTAAAGAAGCCATAGAAAAGAATGCACAGCTGCAGTCCTTGGAGCTGGCTCATGCTGACCAACTGACCAAGGAGAAGATTGAGGAGCTGAACAAAACAAGGGAGGAACAAATTCAGAAGAAACAAAAGATCCTGGAGGAGCTCCAGAAGGTAGAACGAGAGCTCCAACTGAAAACTCAGCAGCAGCTGAAAAAGCAGTACCTAGAGGTTAAAGCTCAAAGAATTCAGCTTCAGCAGCAGCAGCAGCAGCAGCAGCAGCAGCAGCAGCAGCAGCAGCAGCAGCAGCAGTCTTGCCAACATCTGGGACTACTGACTCCGGTCGGAGTTGGAGAACAGCTTTCCGAAGGAGACTATGCACGATTACAGCAGGTGGATCCAGCTTTGCTTCAAGAGGAGCCTCAGCCGGCTGCTGCTCAGATGGGTTTTGCGCCAATCCAGCCTCTGGCCATGCCTCAAGCTTTACCTCTGGCGGCAGGTCCCTTGCCTCCAGGGTCCATCGCAAATCTTACAGAACTACAAGGAGTAATAGTTGGACAGCCAGTACTGGGCCAAGCACAGTTGGCAGGGCTGGGGCAAGGAATTCTGACAGAAACACAACAAGGGTTAATGGTAGCCAGCCCTGCTCAGACCCTCAATGACACGCTGGATGACATCATGGCAGGTGGGTTTATATTATTATGAGCAGGTATCAAATATGATTTGCTTAAGGCGAGTAAGAGTGTGTCAGGATTTTTTGCCATTCCCCAACTTGAGAACTATTTTTGGACTCTTGACCCATGTATAGACTTAGAAGTATTAATTAATTCAATCTCAGAAGTTCTCATGGATTCAGGTCAAATTAGAGTTTAGTTCATTCAGTACACATAACTAAACTTTCTGGCTTAGCTAGATAGGCAGGGAATCTGGGTTTTTCATTAGTGGGGTTGATGTTTTACTTTTTGTTTTTTCTCTTTAAGTTCAGAATATCGATTGATTTTTTTTTCTTTTTTTTTTCTTTTTACTTTTTTGGTTTTGCATTCACACTAAACTGGGAAATTGGTCGAAGTGAAAACTTAGTAGGACACACCAGGAAACTTACTTGGGATCAGAAATACCTTACATACTAATGGATCAGACTTCAAAAATGATGGATATTAAAAAAAAGATAAACACCTTTACAGCAATAATGAAGTATCAAGCCTAATAGGGGTTGAATATACTCTATGTCAGTGATTTTTATCCCCTGTAAATTTTTATGTGTAGCTGCTTTCTAAATGTATTATGGGAACATGTAATTCTTTGACAGTGTTGAAATGATAGAGCTTTAAATGTGTAGCCAGAGAGGTTCTTTTTCATTATAATAGTTCCATTGGCAAGAAGAAATATTTTAGAAGATTTTATTAATGGCTCTAGGGTTTTGTACTTTCATGAGGTCTGTAACATAGCAGTGGAATGAGATTTTTACAGGATTATAAAATACAAGAATGGTATACTGGAAAGTATAATTTTCTTCATTTTTTTTAAAGAAAGAAAAAGTACCAGGGATGTAGCTCAGTGCTATAGGACTTGACTTGCATGTTTAAGGCCCTGGGTTCAATTCCTGGCACAAAAAAATAAAAGAAGAAAGGAAGAAGGAAAGGAAGAAAGAAAGAAAAGAAAAAGAAACATGAAAAGGGAAAAACAAAGGGAGAAAATAGTTGAATTTTGGTCAGTTTCATGTACTCCCTTCCCCTTTTTTATTCTTTGGCTTATTAAAAGATGATTGGATTTTTCTAGTTTGGAACTGTGTTTTAGTAACATTACAAATGATGAGGTTACACATAATTCAGTTTTCACATTTTAAATGAACAGACGAGTAAATTGTATAGTGCTGAGATATTTAATATACAGAATCTAAGAGACCAGTTAAATAGACAAATTTTTGTTGGTAATTAATTGCTCTGAAGTTTACCAGACTTCTTTCACTATCACCAAAGTAGTATAAATGAAATAAAAGATTTTTCTATTCTAAGGGTGGATTAAGATACCGTGGGGGTAAAAATGATAGCATTAAGTAGTAAGAGCTGTTAAACATTATTAATAAATATAAACATTTTCTGGTATGTTCAAATTTTTTTCAAGTACTGCTGATCACTATTAAGGAGCTATACTTTCAAATCCCACTAAAACAGGTTGGCTGTCTTATGGAAATTGAGAAAAAATAGCCAGAATCCTAAATGTTATATTGATTCAGTCACCATTACTGCTAGTTCATAATGTGTTCTTTCTGTCAGTTTCACTACCAAAGAATGTATAAACCTAAGTGTTACTTTTTCGATTTAGAATGAGTATTCCATACCAATGAAGATGGAAATTTTTTTCATTAAGTTGCCAATTTCATCTGGTATGCCTGTTGTTGCTTAGCAGTGACTTTCAGGTTGTACATTGGTGCATATCAGGAATGTCAGATTTATAATGCTTTTCTCTCGATTGATTTACTAGACAAAAACCAATGTGTTCAGTATTTTCATATAAATTTTTTTAAGGCTCACACTTCAGGAGAATTGAAGTTGACCTCTTACACTAAAAGAAATAATTTACCTTTTAGTGTGCTTAGTTATGTGGAAAAGGAGAGAAGACCAGAAGGAGTAGTGACTAAAAAAGACCTGCATCCCATCCTCCTCTATCATCACACTGTACACGAAGATACAAAGCAAATATATTCAGATGTCCACTAAGCAGCCTTTCTTTAAGCTTATATAATAGTACTTATTTTTCAGTTGATTAATCATCATTTCCTAGTAACCATTTATCTTTTCTTTTGGGGGGGGTGTTCTTATTACCTTGCTATATCATTAGACTTAGTCTTCCTTCCCTGTGATGTAACTGCTGGTCTTTCTTTGTTCCTATTTATAACTCTTAAAAGATTTAGTCTTTTTCTCTAATATGTGGATGGCCAAAATTTTGTTTCTTATCTGTTCTTCATAATTGCCAATGCAAAATCAATTCCTTGTGTTTAACTAGTATTAACTTCTTGCCTGTTCTTTTGAGTTTATTCTTGTTTTTTATCTGGTGTTTAAATTTTTCTCTCTAAAATATCTAAACCCTTAAGTACAGTCCCACGTGTGTATATCTGTACAACAGTTCCTTCAGGTACCACTTACATATTTATAGTTGTTAATCTGATTAGTAGAGATTGGATGCCTGATAGTTTTGTTAAGCCAATATCTTGGCTTCCCAAATGAAACAGGATGAGGTCATTGAGTTTTCCCATCTCCTTTTCAGTGAGTTGATACAACTACCAATTTGACCGAAAATAAGAAAATTATTTTTGATAGGTTCTTTAAAATATCAGTCCAACTGAAATGTAAGTTTTAATGCAGTCAGTAAATCTTAAGTGGTTTTGTTTACTGTCTCTTATGAAATAAAGAAGTCCTTTGGATAGATGGATGATCATTCGTTTAAGTTACTGTTTACACTTAGCATTTTCCTTTGTGCATATTATTCTAGTCAAGGAGAATATGAAATCAATTTAACAGCCATAGATTTTTGGACATGGTTTTGGACTTTATATCCAAAATATGTACAGTAAAATTATTTTTTTAAGTGAAAGTATAAACACGAGCAACAGTTCTGAGGGTACTAGTTAATGTACTAATACATGCCCATTTCTATGAACTGAATCCCTTAAGATTTAAACCGTGTTCTGTTCTGTTTTGTTCTGTTTTGTTTCCTCCTTTGTTTTCCCTTTGGCTTTTAAGTGGACTTAAAAATGTATAATTACAGAATGTGTGTTGCTATAATGTGTAGTGTGTGTTTGTGCCTGAACTAAGGATTTCATGTAAAATAGATAACTTAATTGAAAACCATGTTTAAAATTGTTAAAATAAGATCAATTTTAGTTTGTTGTTGGCAGGATCGTAACCTCTTTTGCTGGTTTCAGATCTAGCTGTACATCATGCTTGTTTTGTCTGATGTAGTTACAACTATTTTGGAAATGCACATACACAGTACTGTTCAAAGATCAATGCTTATACTTTAGTTACAGAGCATTTTTATATTGGGGGTAGGGGTGATGGGTGCCACCTCCTTTCACATTTTTCCTTTTCAAATACAGAGTTCCATTATTCTTAATTTGCTTATTTGGGTGAAAATGATTTGGTAATAACGTAGAATCAAAAATAATCTACACTTGAAAAATGATTGTATGTATTCATTAACTTCAAATTCTTTAATTTTGTCTTCATAAGTCATTGTATTTGCTGGATTAATTGGTGAGCATTGACCTCCCTCAAAATAGTTCTACACATGACAAAGTACATTTTTGTGTGAGGCTCACATTTTTATATTTAACTGTGTTGTCCTTTTGAGGACTACAATGCAGAATATTACTGCTCCCTGTTTGCTGTTAGTAAAGCAGTGATAGGTGTTTTAATGGACTGTACAGTGAGGGTCTCTTCAAACAATGATATTATCATTAGTCTAAATTATTAGGTATGAAATTGGCAGGTAAAATTACTTCTCTTTATGAACTTGATTATCTTTTCTTTTCTAATAAAGAAGATGATAATGTACAGCTTTCCATTTGCATTTATTTTAATTCTTAAGAAAACTTTTGTTTTCAGGATTATTTTGAATGTAAGTTTTATGATTATATATTTTGAGGGGAATTTTTCAGTTCACTTTTTGTTTAGAAAATTTGTTGTTGTTGCCAATACACATTATAATTTCTATTGTTCAAAGTCAGAAATAATCAGGAAGATGAGTTATTTAGTGCTCTGGCAATTTATTTGTAGGCATTTTATTTTTTAAAGTTTTTAATATTTGATAAAATTTCTTTGTTGCTGTTACCTGACAGTGTATCCTCCCTATTAAGTCCAGTTATTTTGTTCAACAGCAGTCAGTGGAAGAGCGTCAGCATTGTCAAACACTCCTACCCACAGTATCGCAGCTTCCATTTCCCAGCCTCAGACTCCAACTCCAAGTCCTATCATCTCTCCTTCAGCCATGCTTCCTATCTACCCTGCCATTGATATTGATGCACAGGTGAGTTCCGAAAGCAGGAATGACGGTGACTTACATCATACGCTGCTTTGTCTCTGGTCAAAGACCTGAGCCAAGTTGTAAATAAAGTAGCATCTACATTTTAAAACGCTGTGCCTGGAGATGTAGCTCTGTAGAGTACATTAGCCCACGTGATTTTGCCTGCTTTGGACCCAGGTTCAATTTCTGGCAACATGCGGTCTCCTAAGCACTACTGGGAGTGACTCCTGGGCATAGAATTTGGAATTTCCCCTGAGTATTGTCAAACGTTTCCCAGAACCCATAAGGAAATAAAATGCCAAATGCAGATTTTTATTCGTGGTGCTCCGATATTTAAGGTCATCAGTAAGCTGTTTTTGTTTTTTAATACTTTAAAGAAATAAGGAGAACAAAATAACTTAAGGTTTACATGTATTTTCTACTTAAGTAGAACTTATGCTTTAAAGTTCATCATGGTATTAAAACTTCAACATTAATAAAGGCACACTTTCATTCTGGCATCTTATATAGAGCAGCTTGCTCTATATTTTCTTTCAAAATTGTGGTCTTGCTGACCAAGATACATCAATCTCACCAATGAGTGTAACTGTCTATGTCTCTAAAGCTATTAAGTAGTAAGAAAGAATTGAAGAAAGGTAATTTATGATGAGATATTAGGGCAGAGTGAACTTGGAGAGAAGATGGCTTATATTTTATCCTGAACAGACACCTGGGGACCTAACTTAGAAATTTCTTAAGAAGATAAACATTGATGGCCTTTAGAATAAACACTTGTATTATCTTTAATTATGTATTTTGATGAATTTCTGGAGTTGTGGAGGCAAAGGTGAGGGTGACTGTGTGTACCTTATAGAACTTTTAATTGTTTTAGTATAAAAACTTACTAAATGTCATTGAATGTTCAGTTCTTTAAATTCTAGATTTTGAAGAGGAGATAGGGAACAGTGGGGAGAGTCAGGTAAAGATTACTCTATTTAGGCAAATGATGGGTCTGATGTCAAATTTGCATTGATTTGACTTAGAAACCATCGTTCTCAACTACCATACTACTTTATGCCAACCTTTACACAAAGTTTTCAGACGTTCGATTATGAACCACAGTGAACTAATGTTGGTGATGCGTACAATTTAATTGAACCTGGTATTTATTAGAATTATTTTTCTCAGACTGTTGATCTGGCAGGTTTTTAACCAGATTTTTTTTGGCAGGGGTTGGGGGTAGGGGGGTTGTAGTGGTTCGAACTAAATGATGCTCAGGAGTTCCTCTTGGCATTCAGGAATTAACTCCTGGCAGTGTGTGGGATCATATGGGATGTGGGGTTGAAATCCAGGTCTACCACTTACAAAGCAAACATCCTACCTACTGTACTACCATTCCAGACCCCTTTAACTAGTTTTTTTTTTTAAGTTCATGTAGGGCATGGAATTTAAACACATGCAAAAATAAAAATTGTACCAAAACAGTTTTACAAAAATACAGTAAAAACCTCACTGAACTATTTCTTAGTGAATTTGAATTATTAGTGATGAAATAACTGATTGTACTTATAAAATAACTTGCTTGATTATGAATCCTACAAAGTGACGTGCGAATTAAAGTTTTTTATTTTTACTAGATATTTTAAATATAGTAGATTCTTCTTAAGTAAAACTATTTTACTGTGTTTTAAACATTAAACAGAATGCTTTGGGGACTGAATAAGTATAAAGGTTGAACATGGCATGGCTGTCAGGGACCGTGGTTTGAAACCTAGCACCATAAATTGTCCCCTGAAGACTTCCACGTGTGATATTGAGCATGGAACCAGGAATGCCCACTGAGCACAGCTGAGTGACTCCCAAGCCCAAATAAATAAATAGATAAACATAACAATATTTTATCTTTTTTAAAAAATAAAAATCTGCTTCAGGGTTAGAGACTGCCAGTCAGGCTGGTTGCCTAGTAATGTGCCTGTGGAAGCAACACTCCTTGGAATCCCGCCACTGCATGGAGGTCTCTTTTATGATAATGAGTTCACAATCAAGATTGCAAAGAATTGATTCTCTTTCATGCTCTTTAGGATGTAACCTTGGGCATAATTGTGTTTCTAAGCCAAATTTTAAGAAAGGAGACCAAAAGAAAAGTTAACATTTATTTGGTTTTTTGAGCCACACCTGTCTATGTTTCTGGGTTGCTTCTGGCTTTATTTATGTTTTTGCTATTTGGGTCACACCTGGCGATGCACAAGGGTCACTCCTGGCTCTGCACTCAGGAATTACTCCTGGTGGTGCTCAGAGGACCATATGGGATGCTGGGAATTGAACCCAGGTCGACTGCATGCAAGGCAAAAGCCCTACCTGCTATGCTATTGCTCCAGCCCCCCATTTATTTTATTTTTTTAAATTTATTTATGGCTTCTGGGTTTGAACTTAGGAATTATTCCTGGCAGTACTGAGGAGACCATAAGGGATGCTGGGTATCAAACGCAGGTTGACTGCATGCAGAGCTAATGCCCTACTCTTTGTACTATCACTCCAGCCTCAAAATGTTAAACTGTTTTTTTTTTAATTATAATTTTTTCATTTACATCACCATGACAGTTATGAAGCTTTTTTAAAAATGTTTTTATTTTATAAAGTAGTTCACAATATTTGATTATATAATATTCAAAAACCAATTCCACCACCACTACACCTTTCTACCACCGTATTCTGGGTGTTTTCATCCTGAACCCCAACTTCTGCCCCAAAGCAGAACTGAAATCATATAATATTTCCCTAGAAGGTTGACTGCCTCCTACTCTGAATCCCATCAGATGTGGTGCACAGTACTCTTGACTATGGGTAGGGTTTGTCCCATGAAGTATTGTGCAGCTGTACTATCCAGGGAAAGGTTCACTCGTGGGTGAGTCTCCACCTGAGCATTTGGAGAGTGGCTGTGAGCAGGGTAGCCATAGGGTTCTGGAGGTTTTCCTCTGCCAGGACTGGGTCCCTTGGGGCAGAGAGGGATCTCACCACCCACCCCCCTCTATGGCGCCCCGAATGAGACAGACTGGCTCGGCGTATGGTGGTATGGTTATGGTGAGGGCCATGTTCCTCCCTTCTACAAAGCTTTTTATGATCAGATTTCAGACATGTAATGTCCAACCCCCATCCCTCCACCAGTGTTCATTTCCTATCACCAGGGACCCCCGTTTCCCTCCTGCCACTCCACCCTCCCCCAGCCTGCCTCTGTGGCTCTAATCAGAATGTTCCCTTCTTTATAGGCTTGCTTGGATATCTAATTTGATTTTCTTTTAATTTTAATTTTTTTATTAAAGAATTGTGATTTACAGAGTTATTGATAGTGAATGTCAGTTTAAATACTGACTTTTGCAAATGAATGTTATAGTCAGGAATTAATATTTTTGTTTTGTACTTCTTATTTGAGGAAATGGGGTTTGGGACCGTACGCAGCCAGTGCTCAAGATTTACTCCTAGTTCTGTACGGGGATCACTCCTGGTTATGGTAGGGGGATCATATGTGATGCCAGAGATTGAACCAGGGTTGTCTGAATGAAAGGCAAATACCTTAATCCATGTACTATCTTTCCGGCTCAAGAAACCAGCATTCTAACAAGAAATTGTGTTTATTTCTGAGCCTTGAAGAATGCTGAAGGTGAATTTGCATTTTGTGTAATAGTTTTCTTGAGTCAAAATTCTCTGGATATTTTTTAAACTTTTAAAATTATTAATCACTTGAGCCAAGTTTAAAAACGTTTAATAATGAAAAGATCATGTCATACATATAATGTGCTGTTACATTTTATATATGTGTGTATGTAAGTACTGTTTATATAATGTGCTGTCAAAAATTTTAATTTGGGAAATAATAGCTTGAAAAAGACTTGACTTTTTTTTGAGCTATCTGATGGAATTTTGTTGGGTGTTTACCTTTTGCTAGAATAACTGTAATCTTTTCATTTTTTGTGGAGAGGTGTTTGAGCCGTATCTTGGTGTTACTCCTCTCTGCCTGAAATTGTTCACATGGGTGCTTTGGGGACCTTGTTGTACGGGGATCAAATCAGGGTTGACTGATGTACAAGACAAGCTCCTTAACCATGTACTATCTCTCCGGACCCTCTTTTAATTCTTCATATTGCTGTTGATTTGCTCATTCAGTATAATGAAACATACCATAGATACATGGAAATTTCTATAGACTACATACATATATAGTCTATGTCTGGAGCGATAGTCTATAGTCTAGGGCTGGAGCGATAGCACAGCGGGTAGGGCGTTCGCCTTACAAGCGGCCAACATGGCCGACCCGAGTTCGATTCCTCCGCCCCTCTCGGAGAGCCCGGCAAGCGGCAAGCTACCGAGAGTATTCGATATGCAAAACACAGTAACAACAAAGTCTCCAATGGAGACGTTACTAGGCCCGCTCGAGCAAATCGACGATCAACGGGAGGGCCTTTACCTTTACCCTTTACATACATATATAATGTATCTCTGTGTGATCATTTCTCCATATATATATTTCACTGAATGTAGAAAAATTTCTATAGAAAGTTGTATGTAGAAATTTCTGTAGCTATAGAAATTAGAAATAGATTTTTTTGGGGGGGGGGCTTTTTGGGTCACACCCGGCAATGTTCAGGGCTCTGCACTCAAGAATCACTTCTGGTGGTGCTCGGGGGACCATATGAGATGCAGGGACTTGAACCCGAGTCTGCTGCGTGCAAGTCAGATGCCCTTCCTGCTGTGTTATAACTCCAGCTCTAGAAATAGATTTTTAAGAAGAGTTTATATAAACAGTAAACTTAAACGTTAGAATTGAATACCACTTAAAATTGAGGGTCCTTATGATAGTACAGAAGGTAAGGCACTTGCCTTGCATGCTCCTTCAGGGAGCAAGACGTTGGCTCAAATTTTGGGTGCCACAATAGCACCTGAGCTATATTGGATGTGACCTCAAAACAAAAGTAAGTAAAATCGAATCACCACATTTAACTCAAGATTAATGTGTTATCTTTCACAATATTTTTGCATTGACTAAAATGTTATCAAAACAGTGTTATGACATGGGATGGTATGATTTATTCTGGGCAATATGGAAATTTTATTTGGACTTTAAACTTGCTGAGTTCTTAACATAGCTCTTGATACTTTTTTCCTTCTCAGTTTCTTGTGGATGTATGAACTTGTTAATTAGTATAACAATACACTATTTTACTGTTATTATTATTTTCCGAAAACACTATCCTATTTCTATCATTTCTTTAGTAATATAAAAAAATTTTTAAGTATCTTATCAATCAGCATTAATTTTAATTTAGACTGTTTTCATTGATTTTTTTTTCCCTGATAGTCTGCAAATCACAATACTTCTTACCAGATTTTGATTGTGTTAGGTGTATATTTATAATTTTTTGCTTATAGCCTTTATTATTGTCCTTTAAATATTCACATAAAATTTTGCTGCTTTAATTTTTCGTTATTGCAGATAGTGAAACTACCTAATCTTGTTTCCTGAGGCATTTAACCAGACCTCCTTTTCAGCTTACATATTTTTTCCTTCAACTCTGATAAAACAATGTTTGTATTTCTCTAGTAACTTGGCTCTCCATTTGCCCTATGCAGTTACAAGTAAAGCTCTAGGGAACTTAGATTGTTACTTAAAATTTACCGAGCCTAAAATATCTTTGGAGAAAATAAAAGCTGCATAATATCAGTTGAATTGATGTTTTTTCATGTTGGGGTGCATTATTTTACTGACCTTAATTTTTATGCTCTTGGTTTTTTTTTTTTAAATTTCATCTCTTTATTTTCTATTTAATGTGGTGCCACTTTACTCTTTAATTCCCAGATGACTTATAAACCTGATAAACGTTTCCATAGAGTTGACTCTTTTGGTTTTCTGTACACCGATATATAGAGAGCACATAAAATAGACATTGTAATTGACCTCAGCAATGCCATAGTGCCACTCTGTGATACAAGCAAGATGAACTATTCAAGATCTTAATAGTTTTTTGAACCAGCTCATAAGCAGTTATGAATTTGTCTGAAGATCAAAGGTTGTTTCTTTGAGTCTTTATCTCCTTTTCTCTGAAACCAGACACTAATTCCTTCTTGATAAATCTAAAATGAAAATCAAGTAATAGAAAACAGTCAGAGCTGTCACTCATTTAAGTATTCATGTCCTTCTCCATTGTTGTAGTTGGTGCATCTCTCCCTTGTGGCCATACCTGATCTCTGCAGTCTGTAGCTCTGCTCTCTGCCAGCCTCTTCTGCAGAGCAGTTTTTGCGGTCTCCCTCTTCATCATTGACTAGTAGGCTTTTTCTTATTTCTTGACTCTTGCAAGTTTGCCTTTTGTCTCGTTACTCAATTTTTATCATGGACCTTGATTTTAGAATTAATTGTTTTTCTGGGAGAATATGCCTTTTTTATATTTATAACAAATAATAATAGACTATAAATACATAAGCACAATAAATGCATTTCTCATAGATATCCTTTGTTTCACTACTAACAAATGATTCTGTTACCCTTTTCAGTTACTGTCAAATGAGCTTAAATGTCATTCATTATTTCACATAGAAAGCATTCTTAATAGATGGAAAATGCAGAGATGAAAAAGATATGTTCATTACCTTCTAGGAATTTGTAGTCCTCTTAGAGTGCTAGATGAATCTATAATCATTATTAGCACCAGAGAGATTGCTGAGGACTGGGGAGATAACCCAAAGTGCATGCTAACACGTAGCATCCCCAGGTTTGGTCCCAAGCGCCACCTGATTTCCTGTGTGGAACCAAAAAGGAGAAAAAATGGTAGTGATTGGTGTCGTAACAGAGGTACATATATTAAAATGAAAGAAAATTGGGCCAGAGTCATAGTTCAAAGGGTAGGGCGTTTGCCTTGCATTCGGCCAACCCAGGTTTAATCCCTGGCATTCCATATGGTTCCCTGAAAACTGCCAGGAGTAATTTCCTGAGTGCAGAGCCAAAAGTAACCCTAAGAAATATTGGGTGTGACCCAATAAATCAAAAAAAAAAAAAAAAGAAAAAAAGTGTAGTAGAGAAGTAATTGAAAATTTATGTAATTCTAAATTTTCTAATTAAAACATTAAAAGATAGTTATAGAGGCCTCAGAGATAGTATGCCATGCACATGGCCGACTATGGTTTGTTCCCCAGCACTTCATATTCATGAGCTTTGTCTAGAGTGATCCCTTAGCACAGAGGCCCATACTCAGCCCTGAGCATAACTGGGTATGACCCTCCAAAACTTAATCCAACAACAGAAAAAGAATAGAAAGAGTGGAATTAGGTACAATACTAAATATACTAACTATCCTAAACATACCAAATATATCTGTAATACTGCAGTTTATGTGTGTAATCAGTGCCAACTTTTGCCATGTTCCTTTATGTTATTTTATGTTAGAAGTCTTAAAATTAAGGTTTGTCTGCCATAATTACAGCTTAGTTACCAAATCATCTTGGTTTCTCCCACCAAAGTTTTCCAGTTATAGTTGCATAGTCTCTCATCTCAAGTTTTTAGACCCCAGGCAAATTAGGATGACATGTCACTCCAGTTACAGTATGTCCTAATTTGGACTAAATTGGAAGTGCTTGATTCCCAGTTTCTAGTACTTGACTGAATATACATTTTAGAATTTAGTTATTTTCAAATTGTTCTGGGCATAGTAAAATGTTTTTAAATTATCTAAAGTGATTATCAGTTTTCAAATTTAGTTTAGTTCAAATTAAAATTTATATCCTCAGTAGCACAAGGCATATTTCAAATACTAACCACCATGTTATCACTATGTAGTTACTGCTTTTGTACAATCCAGCTTCAGAATGCATAGACATATGTGTATATACATGTATGTATATATGTATACACTTTAGAGTGCTATAGATGTGTTTTTATGTGTAAATACAGTCATGCATATATATAGTGTTACTTCTGAATAAGCATTTGAACTATGATAATGTTACCACTATACTTGTAGATAATACCACAGCTCTAATCTTCATTTTTTATTTGCTTGAGTAATATAGTATATTTGGTGAATTCCTTATTATTAGCAGTAGCAGAAATCAGAAGTAAATTATGTATATATTGAAGATAAATATGACACAGCGGTGCCATATCTGAATTATAATAGTCTTTCAATAACATTTTTAAGGGCCCAGGGATGTGGTTAAGTGGTTAAAGCAAATGCCTTTCATGCAGAAAACTTGAATTCTATCCCTGGCACTTAAAAACACATATTTATGTCTATATGTGTATTTGTGTGTGCGTGTGTGTGTGTATAATAATTAATTTTAGTTTCTTTATATAGTTGGGGCTTTTTTCTTATAATTTTTTCATTTCATGACTTGCTTTTCACTTTATTAGATGTGTCTAGAATGACTAGTTTGGCTACATTACTGAAGATTCTACTTGATTCACATCCTATGTGTTTTGAGGTCTTTCAATTCTGGTGAAAACAAACTTTTTTTTTGTCCCTGTATAATATCCTCTGGATATTTTTCAACCAGATTTCTTCCGATGCTTCTTCCCTAGCCTCTGGTAATTTTTCTTATGCACGGGTGCTGACTGGAGCTCAGCTGAAGACCTCTGGAGTCCTCTCTCCCTCACGCTTTGTTCCCCAGCATTTGGCCCCATGACTTTGAACTTCCTCGACCTCTGCAGGCTTGTTAACGTAGGAGACTTCCAGGCTCTGTGTGCATGCCTTCTCCCTGCACTGCAGCCTTGGGAACTCCGGGAAATAGGTTGAGTTAAATATTTCCTTTAGTTCATTTGAAATGGGAAGATAAATCTTTTCTGTTACTCCATCAATGGATGAAAGAGTATGTACAATATTTCCATTAATCATGCAGTTGACAGTAGTATATGATTGAAAATCATACTTTTTTCCCTCATGTTTAAGCATTGCCTATAACATTCAAATATTATTTGTAGTCTTTAAAAAAAATCACGTTGGGATTAATGGAGATAACCATTAATAAAAGTGTAGAATGCAATCTGGCATGTATAGACCCCAAGTTCAATTTGCCAGCATTATATGGTCCCCTGAACACAGTCATATGTGGCCCCCGCCACCGCTGGATCTGGCAAAATTGCATTGTGGAGCTGAGTATTAAGCTATTTTCCTAAACTGCAGGGCACAGTTTCTCTGGGCATGACGCTCAGACCCTCAAGTTCTGCTCTGGACATGCTCTCCACCCCAGCACGCCCCTCCCGCCAATGCCAAGTTTGCAACTAATGGAAAAATACACAGCTTACTACTCAAACGTTGTATGCAGTAGAATGTTACATGTTATCTGTGTGTAGTTGATATAGGTACCTATTAGGTAATTGATACTGATATTTTTAGTAAAACGATGAATTTTTATTTTTTCATAGACTGAGAGTAATCATGACACAGCACTAACACTTGCATGTGCAGGTGGTCATGAGGAACTGGTACAAACATTGCTAGAGAGAGGCGCCAGTATCGAACACCGAGACAAGAAAGGTAGGAGAGCTACTTTATTTTTTTGTGCATTTCTTTTTAATACTTAGGTTCCACCGCTTTTTGAACCATTAGATATGGTTGGCCTGTAATGAGAAAATAACCTTTTCTTCTAGGTTTTACTCCTCTTATCTTGGCTGCTACGGCTGGTCATGTTGGTGTTGTGGAAATACTGCTGGACAATGGTGCAGATATTGAAGCCCAGTCAGAAAGGACCAAGGACACACCTCTATCTTTGGCTTGTTCTGGGGGAAGACAGGAGGTAATTTCACCAGTGTAATGTTTTTTTCACTCTTAAGTGTTTGTTGTTTGCTTTCATTTAGATTATTTTAACTAGACTGATTACTATTTATTAACTGAAGTATTTGTTAGCAGAAGGATAAGTATTTTACTAGCAGAAGTGGATAGTTATGAAAAAATCATAGTTTATTACCTAAATTAGATCTGTGGCTATTAGGTATACTTGATATTAGAGATAGACGATCTGTACAACAGACAACAGTATCTATCCCTAGTCTTTTACTTCTTGTTGGTTATGTGATTACATTCAGTGTCGTTTTTTTTGTTCTGTATTATACAATGGATATGAACTGTAGGTTTGGAATATTTGAGTGTTGGAGAGAGAGTACAGTAGGCAGAGAGCTTGCTTGCACGTGGCTGACTGGGGTTCTGTTGCTGGCACCACGTGTAGTCTCCTGAGTATAGTCGGGAGTGATCCCTGAGTGCAGAGCCACGAGTACACCTTGAACACCGGGGCCTTTGGCTCCTACCACCCCCTAAAATAATATGTGTGTGTATTTGGAATCCAATTCTATTAATAGCAAAATCATGTTATTCGGATTAATAAATGTTCCCTGCCATGGGAGCCATATCTGACACTGCTCTAATCCTTGCCAGGCCTTCTAGTGCCGGGGGGCCACCATTGCAACACCTAGTAGTGGCGGACATAATGGATTTGGCAGGAGGGGAGCATGGTACATTCAGTGGCAGTGATCCAACTGAAATGTAATGACAAAATTCTTTGTAATTAAATGCTTAAGGAAATGCATTTATTTGAAAATAAGCTTACTCTTGAAGCCCATGTTCTCCCTTGTACAAGTATTTTTACTCTTCCGCTCCCCTCACATCTAAGTTTCAATAAATACCTTGCTTCACCAAAGAATAATGATAAAAGTAACATCATGAGTGAAGTGGTTTCCAGTTTCCGATTATTATATGGTTTAAGATAATATATGTTACTTTATAAACGTACTATTTTCAATGTTGCGTCAAAATCAGTTGATTGACTTCTTTGGCCTAGAATATAATTCAAGTGGTAGAGCGTATACCTACTGTGTCCTAGGCAATGGGTTTCATCTCTGGTAGCACTTAGAATCTTGTGCACCTCAGGGTAGAGTCCTGGTGTTCCCCTACTCTCAGAACATAGATTCGGATGCTGTTTTTTGAATAGTTATTTCTTTTGGGACCCTCTGCAGCAGTGCTCAGGATTTACTCCTGGCTCTTCGTTAGGATTCATACCTGGCAGGGCTCAGGAAACCATAATGGTATTGAATTCCCGTAAGTCATGTGCAAGGCAAATCCCTGGCCTGCTGCACTATCGTTCTGGTCCCTCCTTTGTTTTTTGTTTTTTGGGCTTTTTTGAATGCAAAAGCAAAGCAATTTCAAAGTCTTCATTCTTTATTAAAATATAAATGATCTTTAAAAATGTACAGACCCAGTTTTAGATAATAATTTTGCCTGTAAGAACTCTTGATTTGATATCATTTAAATGCTAAAGTACTTGGGAGAAATTTGTAGGATCCTGTTTGTTGGCAAAGTGACTTTCCATTGTTTGCTAGTAAATGTTTATATTTGGGCAGAATCTACCATTCCCTCTGAGAAAAAAACTGTTCAGTGTTTTGGCATAAGAAAGATTCTAGAAATTTGTTTTGAGTTTTATACTATCTACCTTAAGGGATTCTTTGTAAAATAAAAAAGGGATTTTTCTTTTGGTACTGGTTAAATAACCTTGTCACATAGGACATCTAACTTAAAAGCAAGAAACAGATAGTCATTTCTAAAAATGGTTATGCTACTGAGTAAAATACTAGTTGGTATTAAAAGAAAGCACTGTTTTTAACATGTTACTTTCTAGTTAGCATTTTAGAAAATAAATTAATAGGATAGAATTGGTTAAGAAGTTAGCATCTCAGTGCTGAAATAGGGTGCTTGCTTTGCATGCAAGGGGATCGATCCCCGGCACCCTGTATGGTTCCCCAAGCCCTGTAAGGAGTAAGCTCTGAGCTGTTTGGCATTCCTCTATCTTCCTTCTCTCCCAGAAAGAACTTAGATCTTGAGAATCCCTTAGCTTCTGTGCCTCATTGCAAAATGAAGAAGAAAATAATAGTTCCTGTGTGTCAGAGTTGTTCTGTGTATAAAATGACATGATAAATAGATCTGTAAGTGACCAGTAAGCACTCAATAAAGCTGTGTATGGTTAGCACCAGTAAGCACTCAATAAAGCTGTGTATGTTTAGCTGTCATGAAATGCAAATAGAGAACTCTGTGTTGACCACTCAGATCTAATACACCGGAGTGCCTACAGTTATCAAAATCTTTGATGTATCTACTGCCACAATAGATTTGGATCAACCAAAACTCACTTATGATTGATTAAAGCATAAGGAACCACTTAAGGAAAAAGATTTAGCAATTTTTTATAAAACTGAAGCTACACTTAAATTCTACTATGGATTGAACCTGTAAGCAATTATATTTCTATAGCAGTGCTGATAGCAGCTTTATTCAGCATTACCCAGACCTAGAAATGGTGATGGTGCTCATCAGCAGAAAAACTACTTTGTCATAATGCAGAGTGATATCAAAAACTTAAATCGTTTTTTGTTTATATATTAATATTTAATAAACACTTATAAACATTAGGTGATGGAGTAATGAAAGCTAAAAACAAGTATACCATTTTCATGAAATTTCAGGTGTTTAAAGTTAGAAGTAAAATGCACAAAGAAATAATGACTCAGATTTTTTAAAGTTATTTATTGAAAGTTACATGAATTATTTTAATGACAGTGTATGAATGAAAAATATTTGCTTCGTTTTGCCATTGTGTTAGAATTAGAAAGACTAATTTCTAAAGTGGCATTGTATAACACATTAGTTCCACATCTTTTATGAACACACTGTCATTTCAGCACATTTTAGTATGGAGTTTACTTTTCAGATTATCTCTTTGTTGGCACCTGTGACTACTTACTGTCACTTGAAGCTGATTCCATGCAAAGGATGAAAGGACTTTCCCCTTTTTCTAACACAGTAAGGTTATAAGAAAGAGAAATCAGAAACAGATACTTCATAAATTGTCTTAAGTAGAAAATAATTTTTTTTCTTTATAGGTGGTGGAACTGTTACTAGCTCGAGGGGCAAATAAAGAGCACAGAAATGTTTCTGATTACACACCTCTAAGCTTGGCTGCTTCTGGTGGCTATGTGAACATTATCAAAATATTACTAAATGCAGGAGCTGAAATTAATTCTCGGTAAGTTTAGTTCTCTTCAGAGTCCCTAAGGTTTTAAGAATGTGTTCATGCCATATTTAGAAAATGCCTTTATTACAAATTTAGAGCCCAATTTGCTAGAGGATTTTAAACTTAATTTTTTAATTTAAGGACATATCTATTGATATAAAAGTAAAGACCCTCCCGTTAATCATCGATTTTCTCGAGCGGGCCCAGTAACGTCTCCATTGGAGACTTTGTTGTTACTGTGTCTGGCATATCAAATATGTCACGGGGAGCTTGCCGGGCTCTGCCGTGCGGGTGAGATACTCTCTGTAGTTTGCCGGGCTCTCCGAGAGGGGTGCAGGAATCGAGCTCGGGTCTGCCTTGTTGGCTGCGTGCAAGGCAAACGCCCTACCGCTGTGCTAAAAAAAACTGCCTTAAAATAATTTTAAGAGCTGTTTTTTTGTTATGGATTTCTATTAAGAAAACAATCTGTGGAGCTATGGCTGTCGCTCAAGTGGCTGGAGTCTGTGCTTTGCTCGTTGGAGTCCTAGATTTTATTCCCAGCACTGTGTGGCCTTCTGAGCACTTCAGGGAGAGACCCCTGAGCATCGATTTTGCTCGAGCGGGCCCAGTAACCTCTCCATTGGAGACTTTTGTTGTTACTGTGTTTGGCATATGAATACGTTACGGGGAGCTTGCCAGGCTCTGCCGTGTGGGCGAGATACTCTCGGTAGCTTGCTGGGCTCTCCGAGAGGGGCGGAGGAATCGAACTCAGGTCGGCCATGTTGGCTGCGTGCAAGGCAAACGCCCTACCGCTGTGCTATCACTCCAGCCCCTGAGCATCAAGCTGGGATAAACTCATTAGCAATACTAGCTGTGACCGTCTCCCTCTTTTGGGGGTGGGGGTTGTACCTTAAAATGCAAAATTTTTCTCTTAAAAATTGTAATAATAATTTTAATCACAAGTCGTTCTCTCAAATGAGCTACAGAAGTATTTTAGTTTTGGGAGTTAATGCAGTAGTGGTAGTATCTGAAGTATTGCTAGGGCTGAGAAGTCACTATTTTAAATAGTCATACAAGATAATAAATCTTAAGTCCTGCATAGCATCGTATAATGTTTTTCTGGACATTTTAAATGTGTATATTTTTTCTGTTCTCTCCATGTCTCTACCTCTAGAACTGGTAGCAAATTGGGCATTTCTCCTCTAATGTTAGCAGCTATGAATGGGCACACAGCTGCTGTTAAGCTCCTATTAGATATGGGCTCTGACATAAATGCTCAAATTGAAACTAACCGGAACACTGCCCTGACCTTAGCCTGCTTTCAAGGGAGAACTGAAGTGGTTAGTCTTCTGCTGGATAGAAAAGCAAATGTCGAACACAGAGCCAAGGTAAGATAAAGTCTGATGTTTACACATTGATTTTTTTTCTGTGCTCTTGAGTTATTGCTTTTATATTCAACGTATATAGTGACAATATGAATATTATTTTTCCAAGTAGCATTTGCTTTATATATATATTTTTTAAGTCATTCATGTGACTGTCAAGCACATGAATGACTTAAAATATTCTTGAAAATAATTTAAATTTTCATAGATAATGACTTTAGGGCTGTCATTGAAATATTTGTACTGTTTTAAAAGAGATAATAGGAAATACTAAATACTATTTAGTACATTTTAATTTTGCTAAATTCTATTACATAAAATTAACTTTCAAAAATCGTACTTTCTCATCTCATTTCAAATGCCTTTTTTTTTTTTTTTTAACCTAGACTGGCCTCACACCACTAATGGAAGCAGCCTCTGGTGGATATGCAGAAGTAGGCAGAGTTCTTTTGGATAAAGGTGCTGATGTTAATGCCCCTCCAGTCCCCTCCTCCAGAGATACAGCTTTAACCATAGCAGCAGATAAAGGACATTATAAATTCTGTGAGCTTCTCATTGGCAGGTACGATATTATCTTGTGAGCCTGGTGTAATAATAATAGTTCGCTATAACTTTTCTATCTGTGAAAATTGCAGTACCAAAAAGTTCTATGTTTCTGTTAACCCCATGTGTTGTTTTAGTTTTTAAACTATCTTATTTTGTAATCCTCAGAATTATGCTAATGTTGTGTGATATATTCCATCCAACATACAATTTTTTCTTCCTTTGAATCTGAATGTATATGTTCATGGTACTGTTATACAGGGGTAGATAATGTAGGGGTTAGGTGCTTAAGCGCCTTGCACCTTGCACATGGTTGACCCTGGTTTGATACGGCGCACTGCATATGATTCCCTGAGCACTGCCAAGAGCAAACCGTATAATATAATATAATATAAAGTATAATATACTTATATTCTCTTAAGTATAATATACTTATATATAATATAAAGTATAATATACTTATATTCTCTAAGTATACTTTTACCCTCCTGCCCCCAAATAATAACAGTGCTGTAATATTTTCCAGCTGTTACTCAGATTTATCTCTTCCCAGTTTGAACTTGATGAAATGTTATCACCCAAAGTTGTAAAAGTCAGGCAACAAACTGAGTGTTCATGGTTTATGTTTTTGGGTTTCAGATAGTAATTACAGCTTTTCTTGGGGAAATCGGGAACAGGGATCTCCCGGGCCAGGGGAGGGGAGTCGGCAAGGGGCCATTCCTGTTGATTCTCGGCCAGTCACGCTGGGTGCTTCAGACTTCGGGCCTGTGAATGTGGAGTTATGCTTAGGGTTCTCCAGGGTCACACCTTATGTTGCTTAGAGGCTTCCAGGCTATAACCTTTAGTCTGTGGGGACCGTGAGATGGCAAGGTTTCGCCCCAGGTTCTAGCATGCACCTCTGACCATTGAGCTAGCTCCCTGGCCCCAGTAATCGCGGCTCTTCTATGACAGGGTTTAAGACAGGATCAGAAATAGTGTCTGCTTTTAATCACTTAGAAATTGTTTACCTGTCAGAAGGCATTTGTCAATTTAATTACATTTCCTGCTTTAACAATCCTAGACTTTATCTGTGCAATGGTATTTAGCAGTATGAAGTATTAGACTGTTCATGAATTTTTTCTATCATGATGTCATTGAGTGTTCAACATGCATTTTATTTCTATTCTTAAATCCCATGATGCAAACACATTAATGTGATTTGGAACAGTTGTCTCATAAGATAGTTTGTTATTAGAATGGTGTTTATGTATTGATTAGATATATTAACAGGATATATAGCTCAGTGAATAATCTCGCTTTGTTTAGAATTGCAAAATCAGGCAAGTCACCTTTAAAATATGAAAATGACAAAGTTTTAAAAACAAGTTTTGAGATAAAGCTTCATTGTATTCCATTAATGTTTGTAGTTAATAGTTGATTTGTATTATCTGTTGTGTTCCTTTTAATTTGATCCCAGGTATCTGTATCATCCATTTAGGGGCGCTCACATTGATGTCCGTAACAAAAAGGGCAACACTCCATTGTGGCTAGCAGCAAATGGTGGACACCTTGATGTGGTTCAGTTACTCGTGCAAGCAGGTGCAGATGTGGATGCAGCAGATAACCGCAAGATAACTCCTCTTATGGCAGCATTTAGAAAGGTAGAATAATTCACTTGATGTTTTTCACTTAGGCTAGCTTAATGTCAGCTAGACCTATTTTTAGGATTTAAAAGATCACACTATTGAAATAATCTGATGATAACATAGGTAAGTACAGGTATCTTATTAGAGTCCTAAATATTAGACCCGAAAGCTATATAAACTTCAAAAAATTCTCAACTTGGAATAGTTTCATGTTGTAGTTGTGATCTTAATTTTAATTTCTCCCACAGAATATCAATCCAATTAAAAATACTTAGATGTGAATGAGTGTTTTCTTGTATGAAGAGCTGATAAAAATAAAATCGGTTTGGACTGGTAGAATAGCAAGGAGGATTGGAGCACATACTTGGCCTGTGGGAGACCTGGGTTTTATCTCTGGTGCCCATTAATTATCCGAACACCAGATGTCCTACGTGTCGCTGTCAGCCTCTCCACCCTGCACCACCCCCATTCATCCAACATCTAAGTTGTTTGTTTTTTTTTTAAGTTTTTCTTTTTAATCAACTCTTTTGCTAGGAAAAAGGGAATGTCCACGTGCTAATACTTGAAACTACTGAAAATAGAGTGGGACTGGAGTGATAGCACAGCGGGTAGGGTGTTTGCCTTGCACGCAGCCGACCTGGGTTTGATTCCTGCGCCCCTCTTGGAGAGCTCGGCAAGCTACTGAGAGTAACTCGCCGCCTGCACGGCAAAGCCTGGCAAGCTCCCTGTGACGTATTCGATATGCCAAACAAGTCTCACAGTTTATTGTGAGACGTTACTGGTGCCAACTCCAGCAAATCGATGAACAACAGGAGGACAGTGCTACAGTGCTATGGGCCTCCTGCATGGTGTGTAGGGAGCATGGGGTCCTCTCTAGGAGAGACTCAGTGGCCTGTGCTGCTGGTTCAGTTGTGGAACCTAAGGATACAATGCTGCTTTTGCCCTGTGGCAACCAGGGCCTCCAGGGCCACACCTGGCAATTCTTTGAGACTAGTGATGTCTTTACTTTGCAGCATTAATGTCAAAGAAATCTTAATGGACACAGATTGTGATTTACTAAAAGCTTTTAGCCTATCTTTAACATGACATGATATCTTCTTTTTAGGGTCATGTAAAGGTTGTGCGATACTTGGTCAAAGAAGTCAATCAGTTTCCATCCGATTCTGAATGTATGAGATACATAGCAACCATCACTGATAAGGTAATATAATGATTGAGTTCATGTTTTGTGTGAGCTAGGTGCCCCTTTTGTCTTTATGTTATGCTGGGGTAGGGGGGATCCTTATTTTAGTAACAAGCCATTGCATGATAATTTTCACTTTTGTAGTAATTGGGAATGATGATTTTTGCTATTTATACCAAAAAAATAGAGCAAATGTTTTTTTAATACCTAAACAAAAATGAACATAGTGCTTAATCTTGGACCACTTTGCATTTGCCATAATTTTAATACTTATTGTAACCGAGTTAAGAATGAGGGAGTGGAGAGTTAACACAGCAGATAGGGCACTTGACTTGTGCCTACCAAACAGGGTTCGATCCCCAGCATGCTCAATGGTCCTCCGAACACCACCAGGAGTAATTCCTGAGTTCAGAGCCAGGAGTAACTCCTGAGCTTTGCAGGGTGTGAGACCCACAAACAACAAAAACAAAAGAATGAATTGGTGGGAGATTTTGGTCAGTGCATGTACAGTCATAAGTTCATTTGAACCCCTTCCTTGATTGTTTTTTGATTTGGACTTTATACTAATATTTGGATAAAATTCTAAGACATAACCTGTGAAAATATAAAATAGTCTTATCCTTAGTTGTCTGGTGTATTTATTTTTTCGTTGCGACTTTTGCAAGTATGACTACTTTTCCCCATAGGCTTTAGTCATCGGTAATTCAGTCCTTTCTGGAAGGGACTCCCAAATAGTGTCCCAGAAGTTTGGGTGCCATCTCCAGTGACTCCAAGCCAGCCTCGATGGCTCAGCGTGTAGTACCTTGAAATAAAGCATGCTGGGCCCTCGTTGGTGAATACCAGGGTCGCTCGAGCAGTGCTCAAGGGTTCATGTATTACTGAAGATTCCCTTAGGTTCTTGTGCCTGACCTATTTTCTTGGCCCCTAATTCACTATCACATTTTGCTCAAATCTCTCTGACAATTAACATTCATAGATGCCACCGGATTTTTGAAGGAAAGGAGAAGGGTTTTTATCTTGACATGAATATTCCTTTCCTGTCAAAAATGTGTGTTCTGAGAAGAAAATTATCTGGAAAATTATTTAAGTACTCACATCTGTGATTATAAGCACATAAATTTGCGGCAGTAAAAAGCTTAAGTATTTGAGAAGAGTTTAGCCAAATAAATGCCTAAAATTTGTAAAATTTTGTTTTTTGACATTGCATTTCTTTTTGCTGTTAATATTAAACCCGTTAATAAGGAGACATGTTTTTTGGAACTGTTTTCTGTGTGATTTATTATAATCAAATTATAGGAGCAGGTAATTTCAGTATCAGAAATATATTCAAATTTATACTATTTTATGAGTAATAGAGGATCTTTGTGATTTTTATTTATTCTTTTTTTTTTTTTAATTTTTTGCTTGTTACGAGAGCAATACCCAGCAGTGCTGGGGCCCAAGTGTACAGCTATACCCCCAGATTTTCTTTGTGTTTTTAAAATAGACAGTTTAAATATGTTTTATTTCTACACTTTCCTGCTGCATCACAAATCCTCATTCCTTACGTTTATACCGTAGTGTTTTAATTTTTCTAAATGTGATTTGTCTCAATTTTTCCTCTTAGGAAATGCTGAAGAAGTGTCATCTTTGCATGGAATCAATAGTACAAGCCAAAGATAGACAGGCAGCTGAAGCAAACAAAAATGCCAGCATTTTATTAGAGGAGTTAGACTTGGAAAAGGTAAAGATAACCTTTACAAGTGAAAAGTCCCCACTTGTTTAAACTTCCTGCTTTTCCCCTCCCTAATTTTTTTGTCTGAAGCATATTTACTTGTTTTGACTTGTTGTAAGTTATATACAAGCAGTTCTCTTAAAATTTGGCTCAAGTGGGAAAATATTATAAATATATTCAATATTAAGAGAATTTTCTGTGTAATTAAAACAACTAAATTTAACATAGGGATTGCATTGATATAGAAGTCAGCATTTTAGTTTTCCCTGTGAAAATATTGAACCATTTAACATGGAGAAACTAAATCTGTGAGAAGTTAGATAACTCCCTTAGGTATGCTAAAATTTAAAAAATCCAGTTTTCTTTTATACATTCACTATTTTCACTCTCTCCTCTCTTAACTGAATATAACCTGCTTCTTAAATTACCCTATATAGGGATTCAGGGAAGTAGTTCTCAGTGCTGAGTAACATCCCTTCCTTGCTTAGACTCCAGGCTCAATCTTTACAACCCTTGTGTTGTCCGGAGTCTTCTAGGTTATGTTCTTCTTCCTCCAATCATGTTTTTATTTATTTATTTTTTTATTACTGTAACTTTAAATGTTAGGTCTCCAAATATTTATTTTGGCATTTTTTAATTTTTGTCATTCTGAGTAGCTAATATTCACCCTTTTTTTAGTTACTTTGGACATTTATACACGAAATAGGGATTTCCTGCATGCCTGTGGATGGCATTTAATAAACAGCAATAGAAACTGGACAATCAAGATGTTGTCTGTTCGAAGCTTCGTGGTTTTCATTTTAATTACATAATGTTCTCACTTTAAACTGTGAAATACACAAAGTAAAACTGAAGAAAACCATGCCATTGTGATAGGGTAACATGATCTGCCCACCCACACACCACTTCGTAACTGACTCCTTGAGTTTAACATTTACTACTTTCACTGTACTTCAACAATTCTGACCATTCTTTTTCTTCTATTTGCCTTCAGCCTTGAAAATCTCTTTAAGTGCCTCATAATTTAGTCTTCCTTCTTAATACTTTTCTTGTCACATATTCTAAACGCTTTATTTTATGTAGTTACATTGTTCATTTTGACCAGTAGATTGTATGTACTAAAAATTGGTTCCTGGCACATTAAAGGCAAATAGTGGTTAAATATATGTTGACCTTTTGGAGATGGTGTACTTTCATTTGGAAAAAAAAAATATTTGAACATATTTCTTACAGTTCTTGCTTTTCCTCTCAGTAACTAATAGTTAAATTGATAGTGATTTAAATTTATAGTAAAATAATTCTATAGCAAGTTTGTTATATGTTTTTGTTACTACAAATTAATGTTATAATAAATATCCTTTATGCACATTTATTTATATTTTGGTGCTTTTATTTTTAGAATAAGTTCTTTCACTTCGGTCTGTATGTTTTAAATATGAGACTTCTGGAATATTTTCCTGTGGTCATTGTCTGTGTGTAAATGTCATATCTTGATTTCTTGCTGACATTTCTTAAACTTAAGTCCATGCTTCCAAGATCCTCAAATGCAAAATAAGTCAAGAGAGTTTTCAAATGTTATTATCCATCTTTCCATAATAAAACTCAAAGGTGAGGTGCTGGAGACTTAGTTCATAGATTTAGGTTCTGGCATGGCATAACGTGATTTCAGTTCCAGGGCCTTGCCAGAAGTGACCCTTGAGCAAAGCTATTAGTAGCCTCTGAGAATCGCTGGGTGACTTCCAAACTCATAACCCCCAAAATAACAAACTGAAAAGTGATAAAACTAATTTATTAGTATAAATAGATTTTTTATGGGTGAACTGATCTTGAATACCTTTGAATGGTGTATTCATAGAGAATATTTGAACTACATGGTGTTTCTATTGCAGATGACTACACCAGGGAATTACTCATTTTGCCTTAAAAAGTTTCTGAAGAACTATGATTTACAAAGCTATGATAATTGAGCTTTAGGAATATACTATTTCTACACGTCGTCTCACCGCCGTGTCAACTACCCTTCACCAGTGATTCCATATTCCCTTCCCAACCCTATCCCTGCCTGTCAACTAGACAGGTACAAGTTACAAAGTTTCCATGGTTGCAGCTTAGATTTCATGTTTTGAGACTGCATTCAGACTGCATTTGTTTCTGACTTTAGAGCACTTTTGGAGTTGGTCTTGCTTAATTGTACTGGATAGGTCAACTTACTGCTTGTATATAAATGCTTCCTTGGTCAACTTTAACTGGGAATTTTTGGTGTATGAATTTTGCGATTGAGAATACCACCTATTAGGTTCTCATACTACATGCGCGCACACACACACACACATATATCAGAATCCTTTACTCGCTGGACATTTCACTTAACATAAACTATGCAGAAGAGTGCAAACTCTCACAGAGCAAGTCATCTGTTGGATTTCTCTCTTGGAATATAGCTCAGTGTCAACAACTTGCCTCGTTCTTGTCGACTAGTATTTTTAGTAGATATTGTTGTTCAGCTTTTATGTTGGTTTGATTCCTTTGCTTATTTCTTCCCCCACCGTTTTCTTTACAAGCTTTCGTATCCTTCTAGGGGACTGCATAGGCTGTGTTTCAGAGATATCCCTAGCTTGTATTTGGGGGACACTGCTTCTGGTGGTGCTTGCCACGTGTTTGGTGCTGGGCATCTTAGTCCTCAGCCTTTGTACGTGCCTGTGTACTGTCACTTTGACCACATCTGTGGTTTTCTATTACGTATTTTAATTGGTTTTTCAAATACCACCTGAAGGTTTTAAAGCTCATCTCACAGTCTCAGTTTTCCATATTTTGTTCTGATTTTATCACTTCTTTTCAGTTTTACTTACTGTAGAATTCTACCTCAGACATTCCTGGCAAACTGTACCTACCTTGTAGTTGAATGACTAAGACCCTGTATTATCTCTATAGTGCTGTTTTGACTGTTTCTAACTATAGGGGTTTTTTTTGTTTGTTTGTTTTCGGTCACACTCAGCAGTGCTCAAGGCTTAGTCCTGTTTCTGTGCTCAGGGACTACCCCTGGTGGTGATCGAGGGGCCATGTGGGGTACCTGGTGGGCAGCATGCAAGGCAAGGGCCTCACATACTCTTTCTCCAACTCGGTTTCTACTTTGCTATTGTTTGAAGCCACACATGGATGTGCTCAGGCTTATGCTGGCTCTGCATTTAGAAATTATTCCTGACAGACTCGGGAGTTCATATGGGACGCTGGGGATTCAACCTGATTCGCCGTGTGCAAGGCAGGCACCTTCACGATACTGTCTCTCCAGCTCCCATTTCTAATTCTTATTTCCCTCCAGACTTTCCTGCACCTCCATATGTTTTTATGGTTTCCAGTGATTTTTTTCATAGCAAAAATTTAATTGCCATATTTTACTTTGTACTAATTTTGGGGGAGTGGCTATTCTGAGGCTTTTTAAAAAATTGAGCCAGTCTTTATAATTGAAGAACTAGAGTGTAAAAATTATGTGGTAACAACACTTGCAGTTTGAAATATAATCTCTATTCTTAGTATGTCTAATTCTTACCTGACTCCTGTCACTTGGCCTCAGTTATTCTCTGGGTCTTTAAGTTTGACAGTTCTTTGTTTTAGTTGTTGAGCCTCTTTGCTAATTATATATCAATAGTCATCTCTTCCTGATTTAAATATACATGGCTTGATCCCAGATTTGTCTGCAGGCTAGCTCTCTTTCCTTAACTCTACTCTCATATCTACTTATCCATTTAGATGTCTAATTAAATATTTCAACTTTGTTACCAAACATGAGCTCCTCTTTGTCCATACCAAAGTCACAGCTGTTAGCTTTCTTCAGCATAGGCTAAAAACCATTAAGTTATCCTCTGTTTATTCTGTCTTAAATTGTGTTGGAAAGTCTTGTTGCCTGCACTTGGAATGTCTAGAATCCTATATTCATACTGATTAAACTGGCTGATGCCGTTGCCTTCCACTGGTGTCTCATGCATGAATGTGGTTTAATTTATACAAATTACAGTGCCAGTGTGAACTTAACTATCACTTACCTGTGTTGGGACAGTATTTAACAGCTCTTCCCAATTCTGTCATTGCTCTGCAGTCTGTTCATATGTCATTTAGATCATTAAAAAAATCCTGTCACTTGGGCCAGAGAGCTACTACAGGGGGTGAGATGTGGCTGTTCCTGGCAACGCATATATTCCCACTCTGCATGTGGTCCCCGCCAGGAGTGGTCCCTAAACACAGAGCCATAAATTACCTTTGTGTACCCAACCTCACTCCCGGTGACCCACCTTATCACTGTTATGCTTAAAACTCTACACTGTCATTTCCTTCTTAGTCTATTAAAGTGCTTGGCTAGGTCTTAGGTGATCAGGAACCCCTCTTATCCCTTCTGAAAGTGAGTTTTTACAATCCTTAGCCAGCCACTTTGGCCTGTTTAGGACATAGTTTATGTTTTTGCTTGAAATAGTTTAAATCTATTGGATGTTTCCTGAGACTTCACATTCATGAAACTTGCTTTGTTTACTTACTTTGTATAAAATTTAAAAACCCTTCCTGTGTCCTTTTACATACTAATCTGCTCTAGGTTCATGTTCTTCATTGTATGTAACATGTTCTTACCAATTGTGCAGTATCTTTATCATCTGTAGTGTGTGCTCTGCCCTCAACTAATTGTAAGCTTCATTAGAACAGTTATTCGTTTGGCTTACCAGGATCACCTTGCTCAGTTTGTAGCATAGTCAGTATATTTTTGTTGCATGCAGCTCTTCCTTTCATTAATTATATTGCTTATTCAGAGGTAGTCTTTTCATTTGCAGTTTCTGAAAATATTCTTGCTTCTCAGTCTCTACATTGATCAAGCACGTTAGTAATTGATTTAATCCACATACTAACTCTTTCAGTATCATCACAGAATCATTTTACTCTGGCAGAAGTTAGAGTCTGACCTTTATTCCTTCCTTTACATTTGCTTCTTTTGTTTGGACCATACCAGCGGTGCTCAGGGACTACTTTGAGCGTGGTGCTCAGGGACCCTGCTGCTAGGTATAAATCCCAAGTCTCCATTGAATGAAGCTTGTTGAGCTCTTTCCTGAACCCCCATGGCGAGTTCAGGGACATTCTGCCAGGGATAAAACCTGGATTGGCCGTGGGCAAGGCCAGCACCCAACCTGCTATATTACCTCTCTGGCTGGGTCCAAAAGCCTGCTTTCTGATGCATGCTGTCTATTAAAAGAAAAATAAATGCTTCCAGGGATAAAAGATAGCTAGTAGGGTGCTTGCTCTGCACACAGTGAATCGAGGTTTCATCCCTGGCGCAACATACAGTTCCAAGAGTACTCCCAGGAATGACCCATAAGCTCAGAGCCAGGAGTAAGCTCTGAACAGAGCTGAATGTGTGCCCCCGTCCACCCCAACCAACCTGCCTGGAAATAAATATTTTATAAAATGCCTCCCTTCTCTTTGAATACAACATTACTATTACTTCCTCTCACGGGATACATTATAAAATATTGCAAAATAAGTGTGAATATTTTATACCATAGATGTCAAGTCAATACTGATCTCCAGTAAACCTCAAGAATGGAATAGCTTGGGCGGGGGTATTAAAATTTTCTTGAAATAAACTTGAAATAAACCACTCACTCTTCACCTACACTTACCTCAACCTTCCAGCAAACATCTTTGTTCTAAATTCTTATTAACTCTTTTCCTTTAAAAATTGTCTTTAAACTCAAGGAATTTAATTGTGGTATTTATCCCAAGTTTTTAAGGTGAATAAATCAGGTATAAAATAAGTTAAGAAAATTCAAACTTTATAAACATAAAAACAAAAAAAGAAAAAGGAAAAAAAAGAGAAAATTCAAACTCTGAAAAGCTGGAGGAGTGTCTACCAAAAGTAAAAGCTTAGAAAAATGGACTGACTTTTTCAAGTAAGTCTGGTGCTAGGAAAGATAGTACAGTGGATAAGATGCTTGCCTTGCATGTGGCTGATCTGGGTTTGATCCTCGACAACTCATATGGTCAAGGACGGCCAGGAGTGATCCCCGAGCACAGAGTGAGCACTGCGTGGTGTGACCCCAAAACCAGAGAAAAAAATGTAAGTCTGATTTAGATAATGAGATTCTCTTTGAGCGTTGGTCTCACTGGTTAAGATATTGTGACTTGGGGCCAGAGTGATACAGTACGAGATTTACGGCCCTTGCCTTGCATGCCGCTGATCTGTGGTTGGACCTCTGGCAATGTGTATGGTTTCCTGGCACTGCTAGAAGTGAGTTTTGAGCATCGAGTCGGGAGTAAACCCTGAGCACTGTGTGGTATGGCCCCAAGTCTCCCTTTCACCCCTACCCTCCCCACCGCCCTCCTCTAAAAAAAGGATACTGTGGCCATTTCTATCAGCTGGTTATCACTGTGCTGACATCTTAACAATAAGGCAGAGTTTGGATCTTAAGAAGACAATGGAAACCAAAGGGTTTTTTCAGTATCTGGCCCACAACTCAGGACCTCGCACAAAGGCAATTGAAATATATCGCAGCTCTAGAAATGAGAGTTTAAAGATAATTTTCCTATTTAACATGGTAAATACAGGGTCTAAGGATGTATGCAGCTCAGTGTTAAGGGATTGCCTTGCAAGTGTGAGGCCCAAGTCCTATTCCTGGTATTGCATTAACAACAAAAGTCAAACATCATAGTTAAAATTTCTAACTAAAAGATGCTACATCCAAATCTAATTTCCATCTTTATTGCAGGAAAAAGTCCTTTAAATTATTTAAGGAGAAAAGTTACTGCACTCCTAATTATATCTTTTAAATATTTTTTACCATGATAGTAATGTTTATTTAAAGAAAAATAATTTGGTTGCAAAATATAAAAGTCAGATTAACCATCCTTCTGCTGCTTTTCCTGTACTTTCACCCCCTAAAGGTAATCACTAGTATCCTCTAGTGATTTGTATTCTCTCAGCCTTTTTGTTCCTATACATATACATTTGCATACATAAGGTATACATAAAGAGCTCTTTTCCCTACAGAATGGACTTACTGTACTACAGCATGCCTTTTCCCTCTTAACATACGTAATTTATGAGCATTTTCTATGTATGCATTAACTGTTTTGTTGCCTTTCTAGTGTTCATTTTATGAATATACGCTGTTTTAAGTTCCCAGTCACCATTTATTGCTGTTAATTTTGCAGTAGAAGTTATTGAGCTCTAGATGTTTTGAATAGAGGTGATCATTTATTTTATAACACAAACTTTCAGTTGTAATAGTTTGCAAAATTCTCCTTGAATTCCTCCCCCCCCCCACACACACACCACCCACACACACACACTCTTGGGGGGGGTTGTTTGTTTGTTTATTTGCTCTTCTTTGTATTTTGGCCATGCCCTGACTTATGTTCTTGGTACAGGGGTTGGGAGCCACTCCTGGCAATGCTCAGGGGACTCTCACTGGGGCTTGGATAAGCAAAGCTTTTACTCCAGCCCTCTTAGCTATCTCCCTAGCCCCAATGTGTAGTTTTCCTAGGAAGCTTTCAAATAACCTTTTCTTGATACTGTTGCAGCAGTACCAGCAGTAGCTCACTTTCCCCAACTTTTGCTGTTACATCTATTAATTTCATTTTGGTTGCTTTTTTGGTTTTGTTTCTGCTACGCCCGGGAGTGTTGGGGGTGGTGGCGTTTACTCCCAGCACAGTGCTCAGGGGCCATTTGTATAATACAGACCGTGTGGTACCAGCGATCAGCCACCCCACCCTCACTCCTGGGGCTTTTGCATGCAAAGCATGCACTCTAGTTGTTGCCATCTTCCCATTGGGACTTGGGGGGCTTTTGGCCCACATCCTGCAGTGCTCTTCCTGGCTCTATGCTTATGAGTGACCTCTGGCAGTTCTTTGGGGGAATCATCATATGGTGCCAGGGTATAATTTCTTTATCGAATTATGTTTCTTTATTAATTACTTTTGTTCTTCTTGCCATGTTAGTTTGGAATCCAGGGTTTCTTATAAGGTTGCTGAGTCATATTCCTGGCCCTGCTATTCACCCATTTTAAAATCATACTTTCTTGGACAAGAGAGGTAGTACAGAGCTAAGTTTGCCTTACTTGTGGTCATTGACCCTGGTTTGATCCCTGGCACTACATAGGGTCCCCAAGCACTGCCAGGAGTAATCCCTGAGCACAGCCTGAGCACTGCTGGCCCCAATAGGTTAGTATTTAAAAACTATTAGTCTCTCTTTGGGCTGGAGGGATAGCACAGCGGGTAGGGCGTTTGCCTTGTACGCAGCCGGCCTGCCCGAGCTAGGTTCAATTCCTCTGCCCCTCTTGGAGAACCCGGCAAGCTACCGAGAGTACCTCGCCTGCACGGCAAAGCCTGGCAAACTCCCTGTGGTACTCGATATGCCAAAGACAGTAACAACAAGTCTCACAATGGAGACGTTACTGGGCCCGCTTGAGCAAATCAATGAACAACAGGAGGACAGTGAAGTGCTACAGACTCCCTTTACAATAATTTGGGAGTAATATGGGCTTCAATAAATAGATAGCGTTGAATTCTAGGGTAAACCCGATTTTTTAAGACATATAATGACATTGTTGTAACCTTTTGCCAAGTAAATTCTATTACTGTAATTCTATTTTATTAATCCCTTAACAGTTAAGGGAAGAAAGTCGGAGGCTGGCTTTGGCTGCCAAAAGAGAAAAGAGAAAAGAGAAGAGAAGAAAGAAAAAGGAAGAACAAAGAAGAAAGCTAGAAGAAATTGAAGCCAAAAATAAAGAGAACTTTGAACTCCAAGCTGCTCAAGAAAAAGAAAAGAATAAAGTTGAAGGTATTGCCTCTTAACTACAATTTGACTTGTTTTATAGATTCCTTAAATATCAGTAACATAGATGAAAATTTATATTTAAGTTAAATGCTTGTAGATATTGTTTCACTTTACCCCTGGTCTTTGTTATGAACAGTTTCAGGTACACACAAGTTAAATGATGAACATCTGAATACCCTTTAACTAGAAGTTAAAAATATTTCCGCGAACAGGGAGATACTGCTCATGGATGCACATGGCTAGCACTCATGGGGCACCAGGACTGCAGGGTCTAAGCAGTGAAACTTCTGCACTGTATAACTCAGCTGAGAAGCTCTGGGAGTGGTTTCCACATCTCCTAGACATAGTTTGGGAAGCCCCTCCAAAATTAAAAATAATTATCTTAACACACTTGCTTTAATCTTCTGTTATCAGAATAAGAATCCTTATATTAAGTATAAGCTATCTAAAACACATTTGACATATACCTACAAAGCTTTATGACACTTGTAAGAGTGGCATTGCTGGGCCAGAGCTCAACAGTCTGGAGCAAGTTCTGCATGTAGCAGGCCTGGTTGAATCCCGAGCACCACAGAGAGTTGACCCTTCCCTTTAGCACAAACACCAAGTGGACCCAAAACAAACAGAATGACACCACCTATTTAGTTCCATAGTAGTGTTTGCAACTCACAGTTTTCAATATATTTTCTGGTGAGTGATTTTAATTTTTGGAGTGGGAGGTGGGTTTGGGTAGCACCCTTGGGTGTGCAAGGGCTCTCCTGGCTCCTTGATCTCTGGTGGTGCTCAGAGAACCAGCTTTTCTCTCACGTAAACTATGATTGGCACGGGGATATTAGATGAAGAAACAATTAGATGTGCACACTATGCATGAGTTAATTACCCTCTCAAATCTTTTATTTTGAAGCTCTTGGTGTCAGGATTAAGCCCAGGGCCTCACTTTTGCAAAGGTTGGTCTCTACCATTGAGTAGTGTCCTAGCCCCTCTTTTGTGTCATTAGCATACAAATGGTACTCCTAATTAAAGATATTCCTAATGAGTGAATACCTGTTTTTCATGGGGAAAGGTATAATTTATGCAGCCATAATATTACTGTCACTGTCCTCCCGTTCATCGATTTGCTCGAGTGGACCCAGTAATGTCTCTATCATGAGATTTTGTTGTTATTGTTTTTGGCATATCGAATACGTCACGGGTAGCTTGCCAGGCTCTGCTGTGCGGGTGAGATACTCTCGGTAGCTTGCCGGGCTCTCCGAGAGGGGCGGAAGAATCGAACTCGGGTCGCATATGTTGGCTGCGTGTAAGGCAGACACCTTACCCACTGTGCTATCACTCCAGCTCCACAATATTACTATGCCCCCAAATTTAATAATTATGTAATACATATATATTAATTTCCCAAATTATCTACAGCTTTTATTTTTCATTTTGGCCATACCAGGATTCAAACTCAAGGGGCTAATACATGCAAAATGGCAAACAGTCTTTTGCTGAGACACTTTTCAAACCCCTGAAATATTTCCTAATTGTTTGTTATAATGTTTTCAGTATTGAAAGGTGAGTGGATTCAGTATTGAAAGGTAAATGGGTCAGTATTTTTCATTAATGGTAAATGTGCAGTTTTTATCTAGTGGTGATTTCCGGTATTTTCTTCAAGTACAGCAAAGTAATATTTGTTAAGAGTCCTTAGGCTTGAGAGATAATAGAGAGTATAATTGCCTGACTTGTGTGGAGCCTACCGAAGTAAGATCCCAAACACTGCATGCATCATCCCCTGAGCACTATTGAGTGTAGGCCTCTCCTCCTGATAAAAGAACACTTAGAACTTGCTAACTCAGTATTGTACTGCTACTTTTACAGATGAGCCTGAAGTCTTGACGGAGCCTCCAAGTGCCACAACCACTACAACCATAGGTATATCTGCAACCTGGACAACTTTAGCAGGTTCCCATGGCAAAAGAAACAATACTATAACAACAACCAGCTCAAAGAGGAAAAACAGGAAAAATAAAATTACTCCAGAAAACGTTCAAATTATATTTGATGATCCACTACCAATTTCCTACAGTCAGCCAGATAAGGTGAACGGAGAGTCCAAGAGCAGCAGCACCAGCGAGAGTGGGGACAGTGACAACATGAGGATTAGCAGCTGCAGTGACGAAAGTAGCAACAGCAACAGCAGCCGGAAGAGTGACAATCATTCACCTGCTACGGTCACTGCAACTGTGGCCACCAAGAAACAGCCATCAGTTCTGGTTACATTTCCAAAGGAGGAGCGAAAATCTGTTTCTGGCAAGACTACAGTAAAGTCAGTTTGATTTTTTTTCTTTGTTTTTGTAGCAGCATTAAAGTACCTTGTTGGGGAATTTTTTTGTTAAATTAGCTGGAAAACATAAGGATTTGTCTTTTTGCTATTGTTTCAATTTTGTATTAATGAGAAATTATTTTTACTGTGCAATTTCTTCATTCTGGTTATTAGACTTTGTTTATGGAAGTTTTATGACTTTCCAGAGTATTTTACTGTGGTTCAAGTAAATTTGACCTCTGCACATTGTCTTCTTTAAAATAAAGTTTGCATGTTAGGTAAGATTGAGAAGTGGAAAAATAGGTTCTCATGTTTGCATATCTATTCTTAAAATGTGATGAATTATATGAAAAACTGCTTTTGTCACTTTTAAAAGCCTGCATCTGTTCTGTATTTACTGAATTTCCTTTCCCTCTTTTATAGACTGTCAGAGACTGTCAGTGAGGTGACCAGTAATTCTCTGTCTACTTGCACAAAATCTGGTCCCTCTCCCCTTTCCTCTCCGAATGGGAAATTAACAGTAGCAAGTCCTAAGCGTGGACAAAAAAGGGAAGAAGGATGGAAAGAAGTTGTAAGAAGGTGAGTATATTTGTTTTTCTTAGTCTGTTCTACTCTCTCACTGTGGGGCATGGTTTAAATTCTTCCACAGGTTGTCTGTAAACAAATAGGCGGCCCAAGCCTGAAGGTGGGACCCCAGACAACAACCATGGCCATATTTTCCATGGCCGTACCTCAGATGAAAAGAGAATATGTTTTTGTTTTTTTTCAATTTTGGATATTTGAAAATTGGATGTTTGTTTTATTTGAAAACCTTGGTGATTGTGGTGTCTGCTTGACCCATCCTTACCAGTATTGGAATTTCGGTGGTTATTTAGTTTTCTTTGGTGCTGGAGATTGAAATAGGGCCTCATACATCCGAGGCATGTATTCTATCATTGGTGAGTTAATCTCGAACTCCTAAGTATTGGTATTAAACTTTTCTTATCTGTCAATTACAAAACACCCTTTATTTGGATTTTTAGACTAAAATTTAGGTGTTTTGCTTTCTTTTTTGTTTTCGCTTTTGTGGTGCTGGGGAGTCCACGCGGTGGTGTCCTCGCATTGCAAGGCAAGTGTTCAACCATTGAGCCACCCCCATTCCTGGCTCCAATTTGCTTGTTTCTTTCTTTTTTAAAATTACCTGTGTCCAAAAGTAGAATCTGTATTTGTCCCAGAAACTTAAATGTGTTAAAATACCGCATCTCAGAAAGGATGTGAGCCATTATAAACCATGGAATACTGTTTAAAAAGTTGAACTTGTTTTATTTCAAGCAAGAGCTATAATGAATCAAGTTATTACTGATAATTCTTGGATGCATATACAGCCTTTTTCACTCCCATGTTTTGAACCAGAATCTCCCTCTTCCCCACTTCTCTTTCATTTCTCTGACTCACTCACTCATTTATACACACTGTTGGACCAAATGAAGTCACATCAGCGTATTCTCTACAGAAAAGAAAGAATTAAATTTCTCTTTCATTCACCTTGATATTGTGCTAATAAGACATTCTTAACTTATCAAAAAATAATGGTCACTGGAATATTACAGAATTATCAGGTAACATACTAGGGTGCATAAAAGAACAGAAATACACCTTTCCTTATAACAAATAAAATTAAGGGACAAGGAAGGGTGAGTGGTAGTACACATGACTTATATGTATGAAGTTCTACGTTAGATTCTCAGGACCACTAAATAAATACAGATTTTAATTTATTATACCATTATCATGCTAAATAAGCGGTTATTATTAATGCATTATTGACTTTTTAAAATAAACGATTCCACTTGAAATCAGTATTTTTTTTGGGGGGGTGGTCACACCCAGGTGTGCTTAGGGTTTACTCCTGATGGTGCATAAAAGACCATACATTGTGCCAGGAATAGAACTTGGGTTGGCAGTGTACAAAGACAAGTACCTTGCCTGCTGTGCTATCGTTCCAGCCATCTTTTTTTTTTTTTAAGTTTGTTGATTTTTTTTTAATTTTAGTTTAGATAACATGTTTTCAATAGTATTGTTTATGATTTTGATGTACAGGTACTGCACCTCACCACCACCAATGTGCCCATTACTCTCCACCAATGTCCTTATGTTACTTCTAGTCCACCTCTATTCTACCCTACCCCCGGTAGGTAATCTGTTTTGTACTCCAAAGCCAAGGGTTTGTCATTATACAGTCTATTCCCTTGTTCTGTTTCTTTAGATACTGTAGATGAATGAGATCACCTGGTCTTTCTTCCCTTTGATATTGTTCACTTAACATGACACCCTCCAGTTCTGTCCAAGTTGCAATAAACTGCAAGTTTTCCTTCTTAATTACTGTTGCTTAATATGTAATTCTTTAATTTAGGCTTGTCAAAAATGTTCTATACCTGCTTTTCTTGAGTCTGAATGTGCCTTTTTAAAAAAAATACATTTTTTTCTTTCTGTTTTGACAACAGATCCACAATTACTACTTTAGTGTAGTGCTGCTACATGATGCCCACCACTGAGTGTTTCTGTTTTGTTCTTGTCTTGGGACCACACTTGGCAGATCTTGGCAGCATCACTCAATACCATGCTTGAGGAACACTGTGATACCTTAGATATAACCTGGGGCTTCCACATAGAAGTCGTGTACTCATGGATCCCTCTTCGACAGCCCGAATCTGAGTGCTTCTTTGTGGTTTTTGCCTTTGCTTTCTCACCATCTCTTGTAGTGGTAGGGCCTGGTTCCCAGTGCTGTGCTGTGGTGGGCATCAGACCCAGGGCATTTTTTCACAGAGTGTGCTCCAGCCCTGGGATCCTGAATCGTTCATAAATTGTTGATTGGGGGGAGGGGGGGTGGGAGGGAAGGATGTGTACAGAGGTTAAGGCCTCTAGGAAAATGAGGGCAAATAATGAATTTTTTAATTTTCTTTTTGAACCACACAATGATGCTCAGGTACTCCACAACTTAGTGCTCATGGTTGCTTCAGGTGGTGCTTAGGAAGCCAGATGATGCCCAGGATTGAACTTGGCCTCCTGCAGAATTTATGCACTAGCCATTTCTTTGCACTAAACCCCAGCCCCAAAGTGAATTTTAATATTATCCTTTAAGCTCTATAGTAGAGAATACAAATAGGAATTCTAGATAAACACCGAGATGCCTACAGGATGCCTTTCTCAATCTAAGATCAGGTGTTTCAACTCCCATATGGATATATTGTTAGAACACTTGTGTCATGATATTACAATTTTCTTATTTGTCTACATTGTCAGTATATGTCGGCCAAAACAGATGTCTTATTTGCCATTAGTATTTGCGTTAGTAGTGTATGTCTGTGTGGTATGTTCTTCAAAGATAATAATGAAGGATGAAGGCCAAATGACCAGAAATTAGTTAGCCATGAGTTACAAGCTTGAGAAAGTGTGTGCTCTCAAGTGATGACTCTTTCCACACTCCTCCCTTTACCTTTTATCACTTGGGTTATAGAAGAGGCTTTTAATTCAATTCATTTTGCATTTATACAAACGTTGTTTAGTAATACTCTCCCCTTAATCACAACCACTGACATTGATGATTTCTCTTAATTTATGTTTACAACTTTTCACCAGGTCAAAGAAAGTATCTGTTCCATCAACTGTGATATCCAGAGTGATTGGAAGAGGAGGCTGTAATATTAATGCCATTCGGGAGTTCACTGGTGCACACATAGATATCGATAAGCAGAAAGACAAGACAGGAGACCGGATAATAACTATAAGGTAAAACTTTGTCTCTTATACTTGCTTCCATTGTGTTATATTGAACCATAACTTTTCATTTATTTAAGCGCTCAGGTTTATAAAGTTGTTCATGATGCATTTGTTACTGGCATTTGGTTCTCCAACACCAGTCCCACCACCAGTATAACCTTCCCTCCATCCTTGTTCCCATTTTCCCAACTGTACCCCCCAAACCTGCCCCCTTAGTAGCCCCAGAATAACTCATTTTATATTGCGTGTTACAACTAAATGGCTAATGGAATTATGAAAAATTCTTCACTAAAAGAAAATTTGTGAAAATTATTGTTTCTCACCTGGGATCATTAAGTTCTTATTCAGGATTTGCTAAGCTGTTGTTGCTAGTTGAGCCTTCTGTGTAAATGTTTTTGTTTGTTGAGCTTAGTTGGCTTCTATATTACTTTCCCATTTAATTTGGTGTGCTCCCACTGGGATGTGAGTATTGTAGAATTTGGAGAATCCAGAAACTTGAGAGTATTTAACTGGGCTGCGAGTTTACATGGCAGCAGTTGTGGAATGTGGAGTGGCTGTCAAGGCTTCCGGAAGTATGGGGTGCTGGGAAGCTGCCTGCCCCCACTCTTAAGAGGACTCCAGTGTGTCAGTGATCTGACAAGCTCTATTGCAGAGCCAAATTCTCAGCTCTCACTAGTACTAGGTTGTTGCTTATTGAGTTTTTTGTTTCTGGACCACACCTGGTGGTGCTCAGAAACTTTTCTAGCGTTGCTTAGGGGACCCACATGCAGTGCTAGAGATAAAATCTGGGTCAGTCATGTCTGCTTGGCAAGCGCTCAACTTGCTCTATTATATGTCTGTCCCCTGTACTGGGTAATTGACCTTTTAGCATTATCATAATTCCTCTCCATTTTGAGATCTTTCCAAAAGAAGTTTAATAGTCACTTAACAGTAGGGAAATTACTGAGTCATCTTAGGTCTCATTATTTTACTAGAATGTGTTTTACTCAGTTGTATTATTTTTCTTTATTAGTATTACTTTTAGAATTTGATAAACTTGATATTAGTCTTATTGATTAAATAGGCTTTTAAGTGCAGTGTTTCTAAGTTTTTAATATACAATATAAAATTTTTTTCCTTTTTTATAACTTTATTTATTGAATCACCATGAGAGCAATTACAAAGCTTTCCGGTTTAAGTCTCTGTCATACAATGGAACACCCATTCCTTCACCAGTGCCCATTTTCCACCACCAAAAACCCCAGTTTATCCCCCGTCCCACACCCTCCCCCTACTTGTGGGGCAGATGATTTCCATGTTACTCTACTTTGATTACATTCAATATTTTGACACCAGGCCCACCATTATTATTTGGAATTTTACCCCAACACTCAAGATCTGCCAAAAAGGCAACAGTAGACAATTTTTTCTATTGATGGCTATGAATAACATATGATGTTGTGTGGCTGCAGTTGTAGCTGTGCTATTTTGAAATTCCGAAATTTTAACACTTAAATCTGGAGGGATTTCTGCCAAAACCTGCTGGGTTCCAAGATTTGTTCCTGAGTCCCTTGGATCATGGCCATTAAGCAGCTTGATCAGGAGCCAGAGAGGCTGTTCGTGGGTGGTGTCTCCGGGTCTCATTGGAGCAGGGAGGATAGGGCCGTCTCCACCCCCATCCCATGAGACCTCGTGTGTCTCGTCACTGTGGGCCCTGACCGTCTAGTGGCCTCTGGAAGATGGCAGCCACTGAGCCACCAGGGGGAACAGGCCAAGGCATGAAACCTATTCCCAGCGCTGGTAACCTATTACAGGGACTGGACGTATTTATGCCAAAAGCCATTGGGTTCCAAGATTTGTCTCTGAGTCTCTGGGATCATGGCGGTTAAGCAGTTCGGTCAGGAACCAGAGAGAGCTTCCCTCCAATTATATAGCTGAGTCGGAGGTAGTTTGTGGGGGTGTCTCCCACATACCTAACGTTTGGCCATTTACTTTCTTGGTAAATGTTGCTCCAAGTTTTGGGGGTCTGGCTAAGGCACAGCAGCAATTTGGGGGTATCTGAAAGTCTGAAGGTGCCATCAGGCTGCTGATGCACTCGCCTCACAGGTACAGATTGACCTGCTGGCGGCACCATACCCCCTAAAATTTCTTAATAAATAATAAATTTTTTGAAAATTGTTTATTTTGAGAAAATATGGTGGCATTCAGAAAAGTTGCTGTATGGGCCAGAACAGTAGTGTAACTGGTAGAGCACCTTCTTTGCATGCAGCTAATGTGGGTTTGATCCTCGGCATTCCACATGATCCCCCAAGCCCTGCTAAGAGTGATCCCAGAGCACAAAGCGAGGAGTAACACCTGAGCATTGCAGGATGTGGCCAGACAAAAGAAAAGTTGCTCTGTTTGTACAGTTCATCAAGAATGCTTAGAAAAATGCAGCTTAACTTTTGTTTATCTGTATACACACAAACACACAAAGTGAATTTGAACTTTACATGTAAAAAAAGTGGGTGGAATTGAACCTAATCCTTCTTTTCCTTTTTTTTTTTTTCCCTTTTGGTCATGTATAGGGGCGGCACCGAATCAACAAGGCAAGCAACTCAGTTGATCAATGCGCTGATCAAGGATCCAGACAAAGAAATTGATGAACTTATTCCAAAGAATCGTTTGAAAAGCTCCTCAGCAAATTCCAAAATGGGGTCTTCAGCACCTACCACCACTGCTGCTAACAGTTCTCTAATGGGAATTAAAATGACGACTGTAGCTCTGTCATCCACATCTCAAACTGCCACAGCACTCACTGTGCCCGCGATTTCTTCTGCATCTACTCACAAAACCATTAAGAACCCTGTGAATAATGTGAGGCCTGGTTTCCCGGTTTCCCTCCCATTAGCATACCCTCCTCCACAGTTTGCACACGCTTTGCTTGCTGCTCAGACTTTCCAGCAGATCCGTCCACCACGGTTGCCCATGACCCACTTTGGAGGTACTTTTCCACCAGCTCAATCTACTTGGGGTCCTTTTCCTGTCAGGCCTTTGAGCCCTGCCAGAGCTACTAACTCGCCTAAGCCTCACATGGTGCCTCGCCATAGCAATCAGAATAGCAGTGGTTCTCAGGTGAATTCAGCAGGTTCTTTAACTTCAAGTCCAACGACTACAACCAGTTCATCAGCTTCAACGGTGCCTGGTACATCTACAAATGGCAGCCCAAGTTCACCTTCCGTCAGAAGGCAGCTTTTTGTCACAGTTGTAAAGACATCCAATGCTACCACCACAACAGTCACAACCACAGCAAGCAACAACAGCACTGCGCCTACAACCGCCACATATCCTATGCCTACTGCCAAAGAACACTACCCAGTGTCATCCCCATCTTCCCCATCACCACCAGCCCAGCCAGGAGGGGTTTCTCGAAACAGTCCTTTGGATTGTGGAACAGCGTCTCCAAACAAAGGGGCGTCTTCCTCCGAACAGGAAGCAAGTAGTCCACCAGTAGTAGAAACAGCAAACAGTAGACCTCCAAACAGCAGCAGTTCTTCTGGGAGTTCATCAGTTCATTCTGCTCAGCAGCAACCTCCAGGGTCTGTTTCTCAGGAGCCAAGACCACCCCTTCAGTCTCAGGTTCCTGCCCCGGAAGTGAGAATGACTGTTCCTCCTTTAGCAACAAGTTCTGCTCCAGTGGCGGTGCCTTCTACTGCCCCCGTGACTTACCCTCTGCCTCAGACACAAATGGGATGCTCCCAGCCTGCTCCTAAAATGGAAACTCCTGCTATCAGACCCCCCTCTCACGGCACAACTGTCCCTCACAAGAATCCAGCTCCAGTGCAGAATTCATCTGTTGCAGTCCTCAGTGTCAATCACATTAAAAGACCTCACAGTGTTCCCTCCTCCGTCCAGCTACCTTCGACCTTAAGTACACAAAGTGCTTGTCAGAATTCAGTACATCCAGCTAATAAGCCTATTGCTCCCAATTTCAGTGCCCCCCTACCGTTTGGGCCCTTTAGCACATTGTTTGAAAACAACCCTACTTCTGCTCATGCCTTCTGGGGAGGATCTGTTGTTTCATCTCAGTCAACACCAGAATCTATGCTATCAGGAAAATCCTCGTATTTGCCAAATTCAGATCCTTTACATCAGGCTGACACTTCCAAAGCTCCAGGTTTTAGACCACCATTACAGAGACCTGCAACCAGTCCCTCAGGTAAATTTTTGTTTTCTCACATTCTGCAGCTGCTCATTTGTATTATAATATGAAGATCTTTGGTCGTTTTCATGTTAGTAAAAATAGCTTTGCTTTATTACTGAGTCACGAATAATGAACATAGATTCTTGTGTTTGGTGCACCAGACTCTGTTGTGAGGATTACGTGTATTAGGATGGTGTTTTATTTTGAATCTTCTTAGCATCTCCAGTGAATTTGTACCTTGAGTTTTCTGTGAATAAATTTCATGAGACTTATTTTTTCAAAGTCTCAATTTATTACACAATGCCACTAATAGTTTACTTTTAATTTCAAATAATAATTTGGGTGTTGTTTTTTTTTTTTTCGGTGGGGGTGCACACCCAGCTGTGCTCAGAGTATATAGCCTGGCTCTGTACTCAAAAATCTCTGCTGGTGGGCTTGAGACCAGATGTAGTGCTGGGGATGGAATATCGGTGGGCTGCGTGCAAGGCAAACATCCTCCTCACTGGAGAGAGAGTTTAATCTCTCTGGCCCAAAAAGGTGTCTTTTTTAAGTACAGTTTTCATTTCTAATCTGACCTTTTTTAGTGGTCACGATCACAATCACGACCATCCTGTTGTTCGTCGATTGCCTCGAGCAGGCCCCAGTAACGTCTCCTTCGTCCTAGCCCTGAGATTTTTTTAAAAGTGCCATATTTAAGGCTCTTTCAGGATTAGGAGAATGAGACCCATCATTGTTACTGGTATTTGGTATATTGCGTACGCCATGAGGAGTTTGCCAGACTCTGCCGTGTGGGCAGGTTACATTCGGTAGCCTGCCAGTTTGTCCAAAGTAGGAATGAAATAATAAGATGTCGCTTCCGGGAACTGGGTTTTATAGTCTTTGAGTCTTGGCCGTTGATGGGATTACACGGCGCCAGGGGACCAGTTGGTGGGTGAGACCCCTGCCTACTGGAATTTGGAGGGTCTGGGTGGAGGATGCTCAGCCCCGATCGGAACAGGCTTGGAGATCTCAGCCCTGGGACCCGCATGCCTGTGTTCTTCTGCCGGTACCTTCATACGTGTGGAGAGTGGTCTCAGCATGTGGTGGCTGGTTCTGGAGGTCTTCGACTGCCAGAGCCCTGGTCGGGGCAGGGAGGGAAGCTCAACCCGCTCCCCTCCAAGGTGCCTCGGCGAGGACAGCCAGGCGCAGGGGCAGGAGACTCTGTGGTACTTGAACTTAAACATAGGGCCTCACACATTCAAGGCATATCCTTTATCAGAGGGGTACAGGCCGAACCCTACTTGTCTTTTTTAAATTATGAAAATAATTGGGGTAATAGGTCGGTGAACTGAGTCCATGCTATGCAAGCAAGAACCCTCAGTTCCATTCCAGCACCATACTGCGTGCTTCCCCACAAATTTCACTGAGAGCAAACCTGCAGAACCATTTGTAGCCCCAATCCAAAAAAAAAAAAATAAGAGAAAAAATTAAACTAGAAGAACGTTTAATAAGATAACCACTAACCTGTGTGTGTCATTTGAATTTAAACGGACATAAATTCATATTTTTAGAATATGGGCATACTTAAAGGTAAAGGTAAAGGCCCTCCCGTTGATCGTCGATTTGCTCGAGCGGGCCCAGTAACGTCTCCATTGGAGACTTTGTTGTTACTGTGTCTGGCATATCGAATACTCTCGGTAGCTTGCCGGGCTCTCCGAGAGGGGCAGAGGAATCGAACTCGGGTTGGCCATGTTGGCCGCTTGTAAGGCGAACGCCCTACCCTCTGTGCTATCGCAATTGCATGTGGCAAGTAGATATCAAATTAGCTATGTAAATACCAAATACATTATTATAAAACGTTCTGTTGGACAATGCTTATGTTTATATAGCATCTTAAAAATTCTGATTCTTAGTTCTTTGGGATTTTTTTACTTGATTTTATTTTTAAAATTGTTTCTTTGGCTCACCTTGTGATGGGGCAACTGCCATCTCAGTTCTGGGATTCAGGTTTTGCTGGGTCCCCTGTGTATATATAAAGCACATGCCCCGGCTTCTGAGTTATCTCCCCAATCCCAACTTTTTACTTGAAACAATTTGGGTTCTATAGAGCCTTATTATTACTCCAGATAATACATCTTATCATTGTATTTTTATTTATACTTAGAAAGAAAATATGTTTGATAAAATTAGGGTATGGATTTTACCCAGCTTTTCCAATGTCTTTTTCTCTGTTGCAGTATCCATTGTAGGGTATATGTTTACACTTAAAAGTATATGTTTTGGGAACCAGAGAGATATTATAGCTGGTTGGGCCTTGACTTGGCCTTGCATGTGGTCAACTGGGTTTAATCCCAATCACCCGTAATTGTTCCCAGGCCAATCAGGAGTGATCCCTGAGCTTAGAACCAGGGTTAAGTCCTTAGCACCACCGTGTATGGTCTCAAACCCCAAAAGAAATAAAATTATGTGGATTTTTGGTTTGTTTTTGGTTTGGGATCATACCTAGCTTTGCTCAGGCATATTACTATTACTTATTATTACTGCCAAGAGAGCTCAGGAGTCACTCCAGAAGGTGTTCAGGGCAACCATATGTAGTGCCAGGGATCTAGCTGGCGGCAGCCATGTGCTGGGAAAGTGCTGTTTTCCATGTGCTGTGTCTCCAACCCCAGAGGTACATGTTTCAATATAAATATTTTAAGTAAATCAGAGATCAGTCTGTGTTAGAAACTGACTATGATCTGTAAACTAAATCCATTCTTTCTATAGTTTTCACATTTTTGTAATTTTAAAATGAGATTATTGTGAGCAACTTACTAAAGATTTAATAAAAATCAGAAAATGTAATATAACACAAAATTATAAAATTTTTTGTATAAAGGTTTTAATCGGGACACTATGCACTCATTTGTGTATCATATTAAGGCTGTTTTTATGCTCTATGATTGTCTGATACTGTCATTTAATTTTTTTATGAAACTATTCTGATTCATGTTATTGGGGAGGTGATATTCTGAGACTTAAACATTCTTATTTAATGATTACTAGTTGTGAATTCTACCTATTTATTTTGAGGGACCACTTCCAGCTCCTTTCTTTGAAGTTTCCTATATGGGATGCTGGGAATCGAACCCCGGTCGGCCGCGTACAAGGCAAAAGCCCTCCCTGCTGCTGTGCTATCGCTCCAGCCCCAACACAGGCCTTCTGAAGCAGAGCTTTTGCTTTATGTCTGTGTTATTGCCCAGCTCCCGTCTTCTACCTGCATCTAACCTGTAAATGCAGTATAGTGAATATGCTCAGTAAATGTGGCTTAGCTAGGAATTAAGTGAAACATTTCTTTATACTTTCAGAAGCATTTTCTCATACTGGATCAGTATGGTGGTTGTTTTCTTTTTTAAAAACATTTGGCTTTTGACCATGCCTGAAAGTGTTTGGGAGCCTCCTTCAGCTCTGTGTCCCCGGGGGGGGGGGGGGCTTGCCCTTGGCTTGCTTGGAGGCTGTGCAACCAGGGATAGAATCTGGATTTCCCATTTGCAAAACAGAAACTCTGTGTTAAGCTATTTTCACAGGTCCCAATAATAATTGGAATTTAATGATAGCACTATACTTATATTAACTTTTTCTTCTTAAAAAATTCTTGGTTTTAATGAAGATTGTTTTGATGGCAGGGTAGAGTAGGGAGCTGGGCCAGATTATGTCTACAGGTACTTGGGCACTATTTCTTTGCTCAAGTGATTCCTGACAGTGCTTAAGGGATATGTCATGACAGGGATCAAACTTGTATAAGACACGTAATGTAAACACCTTAACCGCTGCCCACCAATACTTCACTTTAATTTTTTGTGTTGTTGTTGTTGTTGTTGGCATACTGGAGAGAGTACAGTGGGTAGAATGCTTGCCTTGCATGTAACTGACCCAGGTTCAATCCCTGGCACCTCATATGGCCCCCAAGCACTGCTTGGAGTAATTCCTGAGTGCAGAGTCAGGAACAAGCTCTGAATATTTCTGGATGTGGCCCGAAACCAAAAAAAATAAGTAAAATAAAATTTGTAATTAAAATTTTTTAAATGGAATTACTGTGAATTACAGAGTTTTTCATTATTTTTGAAATGCGGGTATGTTCTAATACCAGTCCCTTAAGCAGTGCCCACTTCCCTCCACCAGTGTTCCCAGTTCCCCCTTCCCCACCTATATTTTCCTTCGTTTCACTCTTTTTCGGGCACTGTGCTTTGCAGTACTGTTACTGAGAGGGTATCATTTCATGTCACTTTCCCTCCTTTCAACACCCAGTCCTGGTTCAGAGTGACTGCTTCCTTCAGTCATTTTCGTCGTTGGCCCTTCCCTCACATTGCATGGCCTTTTTTTGTGGCCAGGTTGTATTCCATGTGTATATGTACCATCACTTTACCAGTCATCAATTCTTTGTCCTCTTGGGGTTGTTTCCAGATTTTGGCTAATGTGAATAGTGCTAAAATTAAAATAGGAGCACGAATGTCTTTTCTGTGCTGTGTTTCTGACCCTTGGGATATATTCTAAGGTATAGAATTGCTAGGCTATATGGAAGCTTGATACCTAGTGTTTTTGAGGAACAATCCACATTGTCTTCCCAAAAAGACTGGATCCGTTGGCATTCCCACCAGCAGGGAATGAGAGTCCCTTTTTCTTCCTGAGTCCATACCAACACTGGTTATTCTTTTTGATGAGTCTCTGTAACGTGAAGTGATACCTCATTGTTCTTTTGATTTGCATTTATCTGATGATTAGTTCAGAGCATCAGTGCCTTACAGGCGTAGAACCAGACCTTCCTCATGTAAAGCTATGCTCAGTTCATTGAGCTATGTCCCTGTTCCCTAGATTCAAGTCATTTATAGTTAAAAATACTCATCATTAGGACCAGAGGATCAGTATTTTTCATTACATTAGGGTTCCTTCTTGTTTTTATATAGTCCTGTGAATTTTTTTTAGATAATACTATTTCAGAACTGGGAGGAGTTTAATGAACTGAGTATATATGATGTATAGGGGTAGCACTGCACGGTAGCACTGTCCACCTGTTCATTGATTTGCTTGAGCGGGCACCAATGACATCTCCATTGTGAGACTTGTTACTGTTTTTGGCATATTGAATACACCATGGAGAGCTTGCCAGTTGGGATGGCCAAGTTAAATCTGGCACTGCAGTGTCTCAGTGCACTATCTGGAGAAGCTCTGTGTGTGTATGTGTACATATGTTTACATATGCACATACCTGTGTATAGTTATTTGTTTGCCCTTATAGTAGTATATACAAGAGCATTTCATTGCTTGAAACATCCTTCATATGTTCTGTATAATTTTCCTTTCCTCAGACCAGTGTGACCATTTTATTACTGTATAATTCTTACCTTTTCCAGAATCTCAGTTGGGAGGGTATCTTTTTAATTTTTACCTAAAACACTTAAGAGATTTTCATTTTCTTTTTCATTTTCTTTCCAGAAAAAAAAAGGTACCATGGTTCATAGTATTCTTCAATTTAATGTTTCAGAACCAAATCTTTATTATTTTAGTTTCTCGTTTGGTTTTGGACCATACCCAGTGGTACTCGGATGCTATCGCCAAGGCTCTTGTTCTTGACAGTGCTCAGGGGACCTTTGGATGCCGGAGATGGAAGCTGGGGTTCCAGATGCAAAGATGAGCACCAGACTGCTTAGTTTCCATTTCTTTTTCTACTTCCTCCTAAGTTATTCATGTTTTTTTCTTCCTTTTTCTAATGTAAATCATCTGTTTGTATTTTAGACTTAATTTGTTTTTATTTTTTGTATTTTGAGAAAATACAAAACTGCAAATACAAGAAACAGTAAACAGGGTAGTTTCTGCTTGTACCCTTCAATTGTTTCCCCCAATTTTTGCAGTGCTGGAGATTGATTGCTGGCCTGTTAAGGCAAACGCTCACAGTCCCTACCCTCTTCTTGTCTTTTTCTTTCTTATTTTGTCCTGTTTCTTTCTTTCTTTGTCCTTTTTTTAAGTTTTTTAAAATTTAAAAAAAATTTTTTTATCTTTTAATTCTAGTCATTCTGTCATTACTTTTTTATTTGTTGAATCACCGTGAGAACAGTAACAAAGCATTTTCGTTCAAGTCTCAGTCGGTCATACAATGATCAAATACCTATCCCTTCACCAGTGCACATTTTCTACCACCAAGAAACCCAGTATACCCCCCCTCCCACCCAACTCCCACCTGTGTGGCAGATTTCCATCTCTCTCTCTCTCTCTCTCTGTTGATCACATTCAATATTACGATAGAAGACCCACCACTGTTATTTGGAATTTTCCCCAACATTTAGACCTGCCACTAAGGCAAAGGCATCATTAGAATATGTGTTTTCCAGTGTTGATTATGAAGAGCATATGATGTTGTGTTGCCACAATAGCGGCCACGTGAATTTGGAATTCTGATATTTTAGTAATAAACCTAGAGGGATTACTTCCAGAAGCCCCTTGGTTCCGAGATTAGTATGTGTGCCTCTGGGTTCATGGTCGGTCAGAAGCCGGAGGAGGCATTTGAGGATGGCAACCCGGAGCATTGTCATGGTGAGGAGCAGGGCTGATTCCACCCCCCATCCCATGAAGCCCCACGTGCCTCGTCAATGCAGTCGCATACCTGGCTATTCATTAGGCTCTTAACAAAAAACCAAAAAAATCTGTTTCATTCCTTTTCCTCCCTACCTTTTGTCACATCTTGAGAAGTGTATATTTCAAATATGATACTTTACTCTTAAATATTTCGATATACATATTCCCTTAAGTAGCATGTTTATGCATGTGTGAGGGCCTAGGTTTAATCCCTGCATTGCAAAAAAAGTAGTTTTATAGTGCCAAAATGAATGTTTTTGCTTCACTGCTGTATTACTTTTACTATATCCATAAGTATTAATAGTAGCTAAGTCAGTGTAACCTGTAAGCCTAAGTATATCCTGTTCTCCCTGTGTGTAAAGTTCTTTCTTCCTGTGTTTCAAGATCTGAAGTTTACACATTATTTTGGCTCTTATGTCTCTGTGGTCTATCCAATCTAAAATATCTCACCACCTTCCTTTGTTCTTTACATTGAATCATTTCAAGAATTTATTTGTCTTGAGAAAATCCCTCAGGTTTCAACTCATCTATTTCTTCAGTCTTTGATTACATTCAGTCAGATCTTCATCAGTAGGTAGTTAGGGTTGCTGTTGGTGGTCCGTACTACAGTTGTGCTTGGGGACTACTCCGGGCTGTGTGTTCAGGATTTTTGCTGTCAGTAGTGTTTGGGGGAACCACGTGGTATTGAGATTTTATCAGGGTGAACCACATGCAATGTAAGTGCCTTACCCTCCATTTAGCCAATTTTTTCTCAAGACTTATTTTTTCAATTCTCCTTTATTTCTGGTAACATTTCTGTTTTGTTTTTATTTGGGACCACACCCAGCCAACAGTGCTCAGGATCAAACTCCAGTCTTCAGCATGGAAAGTATGTGCTCCAGCTATTGACCTCTGTGACCTGACATGTCTCTTTTCAACCTTTTTTGTGTATTTAATTTTGGCTTTAAATTTTTTTTCCCAAGCAGCGCTCAGGAAAGCTGGAGCTCCACCAGCAATTCTTACTAATTAGACTGAGGGTTCTGTGCAAGGGCCTGAGGATGTGGGGCTCAGCTCTATTGTGCTGGAGAGCACAGAGGCTGCATCTGGTGGTGCTCAGGGGCTTCCATGGCAGTGGTGCCAGGAGCTGAGCTCAGCCAGGTGTGTGGTAGGCATGAAAGCTAAACACCATACTACCTCGTAGCTGCCAACCCCCTCCTTCCCCTCCCCACACCCAAGATTAATTTTAAATTGTTTTCAGGCCGAAAGTGTACCATATGTGGTGGTGGGAATTTTTTAACTATGGCCAGTGAGAAGCGAGACTAGTGTCTTAACCCTGTTTTCTCTCTCCAGGCCCCTAGCACGTTTTTATTTATTTATCATTTATTTATTTATTTTTATTAGTGAAACACCATGAGGTACAGTTGTATACTTACAAATGTTTGTGTTTGTTTTTCAGTTATACAATGATTGAGTACCCATCCCTCCACCAGTGCCCATTCTCCACCACCACTGATCCCAGTATTCCTCCCACCCCCATCGCCCCATCCCACCCTGCCTCTGTGGCAGGGCATTCCCTTTTGTTCTCTTTTTTCCGGACCAACACGTTTTTTAAGTCGCAGTTTTAAGTTTATTGAGATACTAAGATTTTCTGAATTCCCCTTGCCCTCCCACACATTTAGCCTACTATTAGCCCTCTTGGTAGGTGGTGCTTGTCACTAAAATGGTGGTTTATTAAAATTAATGCATGTATCATAAATGTTCTCACTAAAGGTCCATTCTTTTCATTACCATTCTATTGATGTCATACGTGTGGTTTTGGACAAATATCTGATGATTTGTAGCCACTTTGTTGTATCATGTAAAATAGTTCCAGTGTTCTCAAAATCCTCTGTGGTTTCTCTGTTCCTCCCTCCCTCAGGCTTTTTTTTTTTTTTTTCAAAAAAATGTTTTCGTTGTTTTGGGGATGACTTCTGGCTGTGTTAGGGGAACATATGGTGCCGGGGAATCATTCTACATGCAAAACATGTTGTTAACAGATTAGTCTATCTCTGTGAATTCTTTGTTTTGTAAAGATTAATTTTGGGGGTGTGGTGTGGTTTTGATTCATATCCAGTAAGGCTGAGGGACTATTGTTAGTTTGGTGCTTAGGGGACAACATGTGGGTCTGGGTATTTAAACCAGGGTTATGGCCAATGCCAAAAGCAAAGTGTTTTTATTTTCACATCTTTCTGGGCCCTAAAGATAAATTCGTATGTAATTCTTAACCACTAAACATACCTAAATTTTAATGTTGATATTAAATATCCATATAGTCTATAATACTTAGTAAAAAGGCAGTTGTTGAAGTTAAGTATAAAATGTTTTCCTTAATAATGACTCTTTTTTTTTTTCCTTTTGCCTGACCAAACCAAGGACGTCACACTTGTGATGCGTCTATATCCCATGCTCTGTACTTTTTTTAAATATATATCTATATATCAAGAGGGGGAATGCTTTTAGTGGATTGAAGGGGAATTTTCATAATAGCTTATATATTTTAGTGTTGACCAGAGAAATAGTTCAGTGGAAAGCACCTGCTTGATGGGCAGGAGGACCAGGTTTGACCCCTGCCTCCATGAATGGACCCCCAAGCAATATTGAAGATAACCCCAGAGCACTTCCAAGGGTGACCCAAAACTGAAAATATTTTGTGCTATGTTTGCAATTTCTGTTGAGTTTAAGGTTTTTTTAATGATTTCTCTTAGGGGTAACTAATACCAATTACGGTCTTCTGTATTATAGGTATTGTCAATATGGATTCTCCATATGGTTCTGTAACACCTTCTAACGCGCATTTGGGAAACTTCGCCTCAAACATTTCCGGAGGTCAGATGTATGGACCTGGGGCACCCCTTGGAGGAGCACCCACAGCTGCTAACTTTAACCGACAACATTTTTCCCCACTTAGTTTGTTGACTCCTTGTTCATCAGCATCAAATGGTGAGTATTGTATACTTTTAGTGCTTCCATTAGGAAAGTTTGCATATTTCCTTAAAATAAAAAGAATTTCTTTCAGAAAGTTTTCAAATTTAATTTTTTTGTGGTGCCAGGGGTCTATCCTAGGACTAAATGTTCTACTGCTGAGCCCCATATCTCTTTGGACTTTTCAATAGCTTGTGGTCATGTACTTCTGTCCGGTGATTGCACACGCTCTTGTGTGTAGTGCTTACAGACTTTGTTCTCTGGGGGTTGTATATCTAGTTTTGGTCCTTGCACATCTTCAGTTGCAATGCTTGGTGGGAATTGTGCACTTCAGTTGCAGTGCACCCCACACCTGGTTATGTACCTGACATTGCACACTATTGCAGGACTGAGGGTCCCAGAGAGCAGGGCCACTGGGACTATTCTTTGCACGTATTGCTGGCACTAGAGATCAAACTTAGGGCATCAAAATTCCAACTACCTACTACCTACCACCTTCTGCCCCTTAGCTCTCACACTCCTGTCATAATAGTAATACTATAGAAATAATTACCTGGAAAGGGAGGTATGAACATGAAGCTGGTTGTCCCTCGTCAATGCTTATCTCCAAATGTGGGAAACTCAAATGCATATTTTTTGTTTTGATAGTGGGAAGTGTTTATGCCCTACCCTAGGAAAAAGAAAAATACGTGATTTATAGTTGTGGCTGTCTGAAATGAGGACAAATTTAAGAAGAGCTTTCAGGTTTTTATTGAAGTCGATCTCATATTAACCTAAAATATATTAATCTTACTGTACCATCTGTTGATTTATATTTACTTTCATTTTTAATTTTTGAGTTCTGCACAGAGGAATCAATCCTGGCGGCCCTGAGGGAACCTTATGTGGTGCCAGGGATTGAATCCAGGTCAGCCACATGCAAGGCTAGCGCCATACCCACTGTACTGTCTCAGGCTCCCACATATGGTTTTGGCATCTGTTCTGTTTGAGTCTGGCAACTCTGCCTTCTGATAACCTTTGTAATGTAAGTGGTTTTTAGGCTCAAATTGTCAGCTGTGTCAAATAGCACAAAAATGGGTGCAATTCCTCGCAAGTACTGAAACCAAAAATATGTGAGTGGCAAGGAAGTGTGGCCCTTGGGAAGCTCAGAAAGGTGTTTAAGTAGCTTTGTCACTCCCAGAAAGCTTGTCTTGCAAGCACCACAGCTAAAGGAATCTGACTCTTACAGGCACTGTGGCCAAGTGTACAGGTACTGCAGTCCGATGTGGAAGTTTAATTTTTTTAAATACCCACAAAGTAATGGAACTCTTACCAGAATTTAATATTTAACTTATTACTTATTTGGGCAGGAGTGATAGCACAGCGGGTAGGGCATTTGCCTTACATGCGGCTGAGCCGGGTTGATTCCTCTGTCCCTCTCGGAGAGCCTGGCAAGCTACCAAGAGTATCCCGCCTGCACAGCAGAGCCTGGCAAGCTCCCTGAACAAAAACAAGTCTCACAATGGAGACATTACTGGTGCCCGCTCGAGCAAATCCATGAACAACGGGACGACAGTGCTGCCGTGCTTATTTATTTTCATACTTCAGAGAATTGCGGGTAGTGTGGTTACAATTTAATATTTGGTATGATAAAGTTAAATGCTTTGTAAATGACTTGTACACTATTTCAATTTGTCTTTGCTTTAGATTCTTCTGCACAGTCAGTATCCTCTGGAGTTCGTGCACCTTCTCCTGCCCCCGCATCAGTACCTTTAGGGTCAGAAAAGCCCAGCAGTGTCTCTCAGGACAGAAAGGTTCCAGTCCCCATTGGGACTGAGCGTTCTGCACGTATCAGGCAAACAGGAACTTCCGCCCCATCTGTTATTGGAAGTAATTTGTCCACATCAGTAGGGCATAGTGGCATCTGGTCCTTTGAAGGGATTGGTGGCAATCAAGGTACGATAATACTGTTATGACTACTGGAAATTTATACCTTTAGTATAATTTGTGTGTAAAACTTTGTATGTCTGGCTATGTATACTCATTTAATCACTTTTAATCAACTAACAGTTCAGAACCCTTATTTGGGTTCCCATTTGATGTTCCATTAAGTTTATTACTGCTTTCTGAAAACAAATATAATGCAAGCCTTTAGTTATATAAGGGAGATATTCATATTTTCTCTGGAGATCTTTAGCTTTTGTATTATTTTATATTGTATTATTTATTTTGTATTATGTATTACGTTGCTTTATTTTATTACTTATTACTTACCTTAGTTCATTTTATTTTATTATTTAAGTTTGAAACAGCCATTATCACATAGAGAACTGAAAGTATATCAGTAAAGATATAATGATGAATCTCATTTTGAAGGCCTAATTTAGTGCATAAAATCTTCAGAGAAATAGTAAAGTATTTTGCTTTTTAAAAAATATTTTAAATATCACCACTTATTGTTCTCTCACTTTATTTTCCTCCAGACAAAGTGGATTGGTGTAATCCTGGGATGGGAAATCCTATGATTCACAGGCCAATGTCTGATCCCGGAGTGTTTTCACAACATCAAGCACTTGAGCGAGAGAATACAGGAATTGTTGCTCCTTCTAGTACATTCCATCAGCATGTTCCTGCAGGATACATGGATTTCCCTAAAGTTGGGGTAATGGTGATTTTAAAATGATGGTTTTAATATAATTTGTTACAAAACTTTATTATGAATAATGTTATTTCTAAGTTTTTCTGTTAGCCTTATTTTACTTCCAAGTGGGTAAGCATTTGTGAAGTGATTCCAAGGACTCCAACCTGCAGTAATAGGAGGGGAACTTGCGGAACTAAAATTTAGTACTTATTTTATCTATTTGTGTAAAAGAATGCTGATATGTTTTTTAACCCAAAAAATCCCATTTTTTAACCAAAAAAATGGTTTAGATACAATCTCTAATTTTTTTATAATTAACGGATGCCAAAAAATATAAATATGTATAGCACAGCGGTAGGGCATCTGCCTTGCACTCAGCCAGCCCAGCCGAGCCGGGTTCGATTCCTCCGCCCCTCTAAGAGCCTGGCAAGCTGCTAAGAGTATCTTGCACACACAGCAAAGCCTGGCAAGCTACCCATGGTGTATTCAATATGCCAAACACAGTAAGAGCAAGTCTCAAAATAATGGAGACATTCCTGGGCCCGCTCGAGCAAATTGTTGGAACAACAGGAGGACAGTGTTTGTTTTGTTTGTTTTCAGATAACTTAGAAAACTTTTTACAAAATGAGCTAAAGTTGCATATTTTAAGATTATTGATGATATCAGGAAAGTAAGCAGTGACTTGATAACCCTTTTTTCCTTCCTGAAGGGTATGCCTTTCTCTGTGTATGGGAATGCGATGATCTCTCCAGTGGCACCTCTCCCCGATGGTGCTGGAGGACCCATATTTAACGGCCCGCATGCTGCGGACCCTACCTGGAACTCCCTGATTAAGATGGTTTCAAGTTCTACGGATAATAATGGTCCTCAAACGGTAAGGTTGAGACTTAATAAACATTTGTTTAATGTTTGTGAGATTACAAGACAAACACGGTACACGTAGATCATTTTTTCAGTAAGCAAGTATGATGAGTATGGGCAGTTAAGAAACTAATCTTATGAAATATAGCAAAGGCATGTACAGAATTATCCCGTGGGTTGTGTTTTCAGGCTAAAATTATGGAAGGCTTAGCTTAGTCCATTGGGGAGTAGTAGATGGTAAGTAAAATATTCCAAGTTGCAATATGTTGGAACTTCCAGACTATATTTAGATGAAAAGGCTCATCTAGAGATTATTTATTAAAAAGATTAAGCAATACACAATTATAACTTTATAATAATTCACAGAAATAATTGTGTTTTTGCTTCTTTAAGTGTATGATATTTGTCTCACTTTTTTCCCGTAATTTCTTGTTGTTTTTGAACCCTGCCCAGCTTGCTCAGGTCAACAGGTCCCGGCTTGGTGGTTGGGGATCATTGTTCTGAGGGGACCATGTGGTCCTGGAGCTTAAACCTGGGCTCCCACATACCTGCGAAGCATATTATCTGGCCCCTTGAGCTACTACCCCAATCCTTTTTTTTTTTTTTCAAAGTTACATTTATAGGTGGTTCACTGAGCTGAAATAATCCTGAAGGATTTCCTGCCTTCCCCGCCACACCCTCACTTCTTTTGATGATCAGGGGTCAAGCACACTTTGGTTGCAGTCCCACACACTTGGTTACAGGGTTTGCACACTTTTTTTTCCTTCTAATTGTGGTGCTCGCACACTTTCAGTCGTGGTGCTCACGCACATCTTTTTTTCTTGGTTGCAGTGCTCGCCAGAGGTCGCACACTTGGTTGTGGTGCTCGCACACACTTGGTTGCAGTACTCTGGAGATCGCACACTTTGTTGTGGCGCCGGGGATCCCAAACGGCAGTGCCCCAGAGATCGCACTCTGCATGTGGGGCGTGCTGGGGATGGAGCTCGAGGCCTGAGGCCTGCCAGGCAGGCGCGCTACTACTGAGCCGTGCCCGGGCCCCTTTCCACAGTCACTAATCTGTATGTAGTCAGGTCCTATGTGTGATTTGCGGGTTTTTTTTTGTTTTGTTTTTTATTTTTTTTAAATGATGATAAATCAAATCCTGTTTGATACAGATGAGAGGAGGTACAGGAGAATAACAGATAAAAATGGTTTCTCGTTTCTTTTCTGGTACTGTGGTCCCCTCTTATCCACAGTTTTGCTTTCCAGGGTCTAAATTGCTTGGAGGCAGCTGTAGTCTTTCATATATGTAAAAGAAGACATTTTTGAGAGAGAAGTAATTTACATTACTTCTACTAATACTCTACTGTATATTTTCTCCATTATAGTACTACTATCCTCTACTGTGCCAAATTTATAAATACTATGATGGATGTGTATGTGTTGGGGGAAAAAAAGAACATAGGTTCACTGAGGGTAAAGGGGGACTGCTGTATGTCTCAAAGTAAATGCATTAGCTGCTTAGCCTGTAGATTGTGAACGTACTTCTTTTGTTTTAAAGAATTCTGTTTCCATCTGAGGCACATTATGTATTTAGTAATGTGCTTGTTCTCTTCCAGGTGTGGACTGGACCCTGGGCTCACGTGAACAGTGTGCATATGAACCAGCTGGGCTGAAGCGGATCACCCTGTTAGTCTGCAGATTCCTTTGCATTTGGAGGAAATCAGAAGTGGCTGAAAAAAATTTATGCTCCCAAATCATTCTACTGATGTGCTTGACTGAAGTGTGTAGGCCTTTTGCAGAAGAACTCACTCACTGACCTATTTTCTGTGAACATTTGTGACTGCCCATTCCCCATCATCATCCGTTTACCTTAGTTAGCATTTGTCTTATCATTTTTCTTTTTTTTCTTTCCCTCTTCCCCTTTGGACATAACTTTCTGTTGAACGTTCTCTGATTGGTTGGTTTTAGTACTGTAAACTGCTTCTGAGCAAACACGGAAATCTAGCAAAATTATGTAAACTTGATCCTGAAGTTTTAGAATGGCGAATAAATGTACAATTGTTTACATAACAGAAAAGGCTAAGCAGAAAGTAAATTTCAATATGTCAGTATAGAGGCTCTACTTTATGTAGACTTAAATTAATGTGAGATATGTACCTTCATATTCAGAAATCTGGATGTTCCTTCATACATTAAACTATTACTAAGCATAACTTTTCTGCTTGTGTAATTTAAGTATATTGTAAAAAAAAGGGTGTTAATGAGAAGATATTTCCCTATGTTGGCCTTTAAAATACCCATCTTGCACTGTTTTCAGTTTGTTTGGAAAAGGCATATGTAGAAGAAATTTAATCACTTTTCCATGTCTTTATTACCTTTTCACATTTTTTTAAATTAATGTGCTTCTTGACTCTCTTCTCTCCTCACCTTTGCCACTAATACCAGTTAAATTCTCTTACTGATTGTGAAATAATTCTGTAAAGAATTTTACAGTAATGGCTGTAAAAATGGGATTTTTACCGCGGGAGTACCTTCATCATCATCTGTGGTTTCTTCTAACCATAAAATATTTAGTGTGAGAACTTCAAGAGTCACTACAGGTTCCCAGTCACCATAATGAGATCTTAATATACTGTTTATTAAAAAATTCAGTGTACTATTTTATATTGACTAATATGGATTCTTAACATTGATTTTTCCAGTCATCAAGACTAAACATAAAACATCCCATTTTTCTGTAATTTAGTCGAAAGTATCTTTTTTTCCCCCCTTCAGTTTTAAAGGCTTCTTATTCTCTATACATGTTGAAAGAGATCCACAGCTATCATGGGCCAAATAATGAAAGAAATTTTCCGTTTGTCATTGAGATAATACATGGTATGTACATGAACACATAGATTACGATATGAAGTCTCCATTTAACCTGTTTATATAAGGTACAGAACTCCACTATAAACTATTTAGTAAGATCTACCTGTTCATTTCACAGGAAACAATAAACAGTTAATAAATATTCAAGAAGAATGTGTCCTACCCTGTCTCCTCTGAGAAAGTATATGGTTGAAAGATAAAGTAAGCCTAAATGAAATTATCTATTATAAAAATCTCAATCTGTCTTTTAATAATAGAGTCCAGGCAGGTGAAACATTAAAATTTAGATATATCACCTGGAATTAAGATTTCTTTAGTATTCTACTAAGTAAAATTAGTAAAATTAGTTCTTGACTCCCACGTAAAGAATTAAAAGATTTCCCAGATATAGGGGGCCAGAAATAAAGTTCAGTTGTTAACCCTTGCACCATAATCTCAGCACTGCATATGGTCCCCTGAGCATTGCCAGGAGTATCACCAGAACATCATTGGATATGCCCAGATACACCCCCACCCCCCTCCACAAAATAAAATTCCTGTGCAAATCTGCAGTTTATGGATTAATGAAATAGCTCAAAGGGCTGGAGCACATACTTTGCATGCAGGAAGCCCGAGTTCAGTCCCAGCACTTAAGATTCCCCAAAATGTACCTGGAGTAGTGCGCACTCCCCACCCTTCCCACCACCTGATCCAGTTGTTTGTTTATAAATGATACATTTAGGAGGTGCTCTTGAAGTCTTTTGGAATGCAGCTCAAGTAGTAGAATGCATGCAATTGCATGTGAGGCGCAGGTTTAGTCTCTAGCACTGCAAACAAGCCCCTCTCCCACCCCCAACCCCCCCTCCCACACACACACACACACAACACATTTTTCTGCCCATAATTAATGTGCCTAGCCCAGATTTATTTGACTGGGGGGGGGGGGGCGGATCTTCCCCAGCCGTGTTCAGGAGGCCCAAGGGGCCTACTGGTGATTCTCAGCCTTCTGGTCTAGAGTTTCAATCCAAGGTCCTAAGGATACGGTGTAACTCAGGCCCAGCAGTGCCATGGAGACCCAGGACACTCAATCAGTGCTGGGCGCCTCTTTGGAAGCATCCTTTGATGCTCAGGGACAGTGTGGTGTTGGGTACCAGGAATCAAATCAAACCAATGTTGGGTGCATGCTAGGCACGCAATATAACTGATGATGTACTATCTCCTGGACCCAAATTCAAGGGAGAAGATAAATGATAGCCTACAAGTAAACACATAGCTATTAAGTAAAGTTAGAGCACTTTAGCATTATAGCACTAAGAAGTATAATGTTATTTATACAGTATTTTGTATAGCACATTTACAATATCATAATTTGTCACTTAATTTCCTGTGTTGACTAGGTCTGTTCTCTTAAGGTATTCCTGCTAGATAATAGGTACCACATAATATTGAAATATAAGTTGTGCTGATTCACAAAGCTGGAAGATTGAGGGTGACAGTAGAAAACGGTGGGCGGAATTGTATTTTCTTGAACTTTGGATCTATGGGACAATGAGGTATAGACTGGAATACACCTTACTTTTGGGGATTAAACTTGTTAATTATAATACCATGGTTTTAGAAGTCTGTACTAGGAACATTTTCCCAAATATATCTATTTTTAAATTCAGGTGTAATGCAGTTCATTTTTATTTGAGAAATTATAAAAGAATTTTGATGCCCTTGGTGCTTGGGTCTACTCTTTGCTGAGGACTCAGGATCACTCTTGTAGGTGCCAGGGGTCAAATTCATGGCTCCTGTATGTGAAGCATGCACTCGGACCTTTTGGGCTATGTCTTTGACTTTAAAATTCGTTTCTGGAATTTTTCTTTGGGGGCTACACTCAGAAGTGTGTGGGGGCTGCTTTTGTTTAGTGCTCAGGTTTTGCGCCCAGCCATACTCAAGGGATCATTTTGGTGCTGGGGGCTAAACAAAAGTCAGGCACATACAGGGAATGTAATTCTTTTTTTTCTCCCTAACTTGATGCATATTTATTGAAAGAGCTAGTAAGCATGTTTATATTTTTTTAATTTAATTTTTATTAGTGAAACACCATGAGGTACAGTTGTAGACTTACAAACTTTGGTGCTTGGGTTTCAGTTATACAATGATCGAGTACCCATCCCTCCACCAGTGCCCATTCACCACCAATGATCCCCGTAGCCCTCCCACCCCCCACCCCACCCTGCCTCTGTGGCAGGGAAAGGCAATGTAATCCTTAACTCCTGTACTGTCTGGCCCAGGTTAAATCTTATTATTAATTGAAAACGGATTCTTTTTAAATTGGTTTAACAATAGGGAGTTATTTTCTTCTCAAGGGTTAAACAACAGGAAATAGGTGACTACTAGTCCTCTCTTTTTCATGAAGATACTATATGAATTCAGATGAATGTTTTATAGGAAGTGTGTTATAGGAATTTTGAGGTTTTGTTCACCTTGGATTTGAGGCCAGGGGTGCTCAGGATCTGTTCCTGGCTCTGGGGACCAGCTCTGTACCAGGGTACCAGATGTGCTAGAGTTTAAATTTGAATGTTACATGCATGGCCAAGGCCCTTACATTATTTACTCCAGCCCTCCTCTGCCCCCAAATTAGTCTGAACACACACTGTGACTCACTTATTTAAGAAACAGTAGAAAGGGAGGTGGCTCATGGGAGTGAAGCTTTGCATTGGCAAGTCCCAGGCTCCATGATAAGACCTGAATGGTATGCCAAGCATTGAGCCAGTTGTAGCCATGGGCACTACGAGCTGAGTGTTAGATTTAAGGGCATATTCAAAATCCAAGACCTCTTCACATCATCTCATTTATCTGTTTTTACTTTGCTGTTTTTTCAGAATCATTTCTGTATATTCTGGAATCAGAAATATTTAAATATGCCCTCACTACCAGGATCGACTGTTCAGAGAGCCCCCCTTTATAATGAAAAATAGATTTTTAAACGTGCCAACACTTTCTTTAAAAATAATAGAACAGGAATTATTTCAAAAAGATTAAAATGTGGGGACCCTTGGGTTTGATTTCCAGCAGCACATAGTTTCCCAAGGATCAAAACCAAAGAAAGGGGCAAAAAAGGATTAAAAACAAAGTGAGGGGCTGGAGCAATAGCACAGCGGGTAGGGCGTTTGCCTTGCATGCAGCCAACATGGCCAACACAGGTTCGATTCCCAGCATCCATATGGTCCCCCGAGCACCGCCAGGAGCAATTCCTGAGTGCATGAGCCAGGAGTAACCCCGGAGCATCGATGGGTGTGACCCAAAAAGCAAAAAAAAAAAGAATGAAATAATCTATTAAAATTAGAAAATAGGTTTGACATTTATAAGTTATCCAGATGCTTGTTAATACAGTTTGGTATACCTACGTTATATACTTTTATAAATTTTGGTTGCTCCAACTTGGAAATAGCATCCCATTAATAAGTGCTGCTTAAACAGATCACAGAAATTCTGATTGAAATTACGGTAGGAACAATTGAGCTTTAATAGTTACTATATTACCCTAATAGGAAAAATACAATATTTTGGGTTAAGTGTACATTAAAAAAGTACTATTGTGGGTTTGACATTGTTTTATAGTCTGACTCAGTACAAGACTTACAGACATGTAGGTGTGTTATTAGCAGTTTAATACTAGACTTCTGTCTTTAAGCAAATTAAGTTTTGAAAGGTGAAAGCCATCTTTGTATATTTAGTGCTTTAAAAAGCTGTCATAAGGGACTGGAGCGATAGTACAGCGGGTGGGGCATTTGCCTTGCACGCGGCCAACCCAGGTTTGATTCCCAGCATCCCATGTAATCCCCCTAGCACCGACAGGAGTGTTTTCCTGAGTGCAGAGCCAGGAGTAACCCCTGAGCATCACTGGTGTGACCCAAAAAGAAAAAAGGAAAAAAAAAAAGCTGTCATAAGAGGGCCTGGTGCAGTAGATAGCACTTGAGCGTGACTAACCCTGGTTTGATCCCTGGCATCAAATATCGTTCTCTGGAACACTGCCAGGAATGATCCTGAGCCCAGCTTTGTATGGACCAAATCCCCACCCCCCAAAAAAACTTCATATGATAAGAGAACAGGGCCAGAGATTATACATTGGGTAGGGCGTTGCATGCTGCTGGCCTGGGTTTGATCCTTGGCACCACCTATGGTCCCTCAAGCCTCTCCAGAAGTGATCCTGAATGCTGAGCCAGGAATAAACCCTGAGCACCACTGGATGTGGCCCTGGGGGGCGGGGGGGGGGGGGGAGAAAAAAAAACTAACCCAGATGACTGAAGAAGGCTCCAAGGCCCAGTGTACATCCTTAGCATGTTGAAATCCTGGGTTTGATCCCCAGTATCATGGTCAGCACAGCGGGTAGGGCATCTGCCTTGCATGCAGCCAACATGGCCGACCCGAGTTCGATTCCTCCGCCCCTCTCGGACAGCCCGGCAAGCTACCGAGAGTATTTGATATGCCAGACACAGTAACAACAAAGTCTCCAATGGAGACGTTACTGGGCCCGCTCGAGCAAATCGACGATCAACGGGAGGGCCTTTACCTTTACCTTACCTTTATCATGGTCCAGTAAACAGCACCAGCAGTGAGGGGTCTGCTGGGAGTAGACCCTGAGCACCACTGGGTGTGGCCTAAAATACTTTTTATTTGGGTATTGGGTCACCACCCCTGTACTAACTGCTTTCTGCCCTCCCCCAATTATTAAATTTTAATTCAGGCAGGGGTAGGAGATTGGGGCCGCACCCAGAATTGCTCAGGACTTAACTCCTGGTTGTTGGCTCAGGCATCACTCCAGGCAGTGCTTGGAGTCAGCGGTGTGCAGGGCAAACAGGACACCTATTGTGTTTCTGCACCCTTCCTTTCCCCAATTAGAAACTATGAATCCATTTCTATGGGGGCAGTTAACTTACTGCTCAGGAAAGTAATGGGGAGTGGGGCATGTGGGGGCACACCTGTTACTGCTTGGAAGCAGATTTTTTTTCTTGTATTGTCGGTACTGAAGCTAGAACCTTGCTTTCTCAAAGTATGTGCTCTACTTGAGTTATGAGTCCAGGCCACCTTCCTATTACCTTTGTGTGGTCGGGGAGGAGCTAAGCTATTCTGGCTTAGTTCTTGGGGGTTGCTCTTAGCAGTGACTCTTAGCAGGATCATACGTGCCAGGCATTGAACCCAGGTATCCTGTATGCAAAGCAAACATCCTGTTGGATTTATCTCTCAGGCACAAATAATTTATTTTTGAAGGTTTTTTTCCCCCCCAAACATTTCAGAAAGCTTATTAGGGAACTGAACAATCTACATGACTATAGATATATACAACAGTTTATATATTTTATAGGCAAATGTAGAGTTTCTTTTCTCTGTTCAGTACTATAATGAATAAAAAATTGCTTAAAGCAATATTGAGGGGAGGTACTTGTCAATATATGTTCATGTATGTTCAAAATGAAACTAGGATATTGCTTAAAGAAAAACTATACATATATATAAAAGATATATATAATCTCTTATTTTTAAGGAGATAAAAGGGAAACTAGTATGAGATAATTGATAAGGACAGGTACAGGCTATAAAGTTTGAGTTAGTTTGTAATGAGTTAGGGTTGATGCAGTGGTTGGTTGGTTTGCTCAATAAATGGTTATTTTATACTGTGTTTTACTATTGATAAAGTGCGAGGTACCACCATAATCATTGACCATTACATACACATATGTGCTAGCTTTACTTTTGTACTGGACTTTCTAATTGACAAGTACCTCCCCTCAATATTCTTTACCAAGTAGATTTCTATTTTTCATCATCTTTATATAAATTATGAAATATGTTCATATATGTTCAAAATGAAACTAGGATATTCAAATTTGGGGGGCCATAATAAAATAATGAAATTTATGACACAATATATGTTACCCAATATGTAGCATAAAGTGTAGACCTTTAATAAGTTCCCAGCTCTGATCCCTAATACAGCTCCACAAAAGGTAGTCTTGGAAAACTTTTGTTTTACTAAGAGATGCGCTAAGGTCACTGGGAAGCTGTTCAAGCACAGCTGGGAGATTGTTGCAGGTGGTGCTCAGGACCACTTGGTACCTGGGGAATGAACCCACGGCTCTTCATGAAAAGAAACCCAGTCTTTAAAAATTGAGGACTAGCTCCAAAATGATTTAGAATGCAAAAATGAGAGATCTTCAAAAGATTAGTCAGGACTGGAGAAATAGCTCAAAGGGATAGTGTGCATATGTGGTATGTTCAAGCCCAGGTTCTAAACCCAGTACTATTTGGTATCCCTGAGCACTGCTGAGTATAAACCCCAACACTATTCTGGGAATTGCCCCTGGACATCCCAGATATGGCGTCCACACCAAAAACATGAAATTCCTGGGCAGATGGCATGGCTCAAGGTTAGAGTATGTGCCTCACGTGTTTAGGACCCTGAATTCAATCTTCAGCACTGCAAAATTGCTCTAAATCAATTTTCTTTCTGCTCTAAATTAGAACATTAGAACATGCTACTTTTTGTGACAATGGAATCACTCAGTGCCAGGGATGGAACAGATACACTCATATCCTGAACGAATACATGATGGTCTCCTGAATTCACTCAACCCTTTGAGCTGCCTCTGGCACAAGTCTCATTTTAATAAAGGAAGTTCTATTGATATGACTCAGTGATAAAAGTGCCTGCCTTGCATGCAGGAGACCTGGGTTCAATTCCCAGAATCACAAAAGAAACCATATAGCATATATTAAGGCGTGTATTCAAACATTTACAAATGCCCGGGTGAATTAATTTTTTCATTTATTCCCCTTTTGCTGTTGTGCTGATAACCAGTTGTGCCCACACACTGGGCTGTGCTGCCAGTGTGTACCCACTCTGCGCACAAACGGGTATCAGGAGATCTAACTCATCCTCAGGTCTTGCGAGAAAGGTGATCTTAGCCACCGACCCATAGAGGTTTCTCTATTAATGGTGAATATGACTCCCAGAATCTAGAGAAAAACAGTATCCTTCTGAACGAGTATATGATGAACAGTATTTGAAACTTCTCATTACCCTATTATTTGCCTGCCATTTTTTTTTTTTAATTTTGGGCCTATACCACTGCTGGAGAACCGAGACCCAACCAGGGATTCCAGAATGTAAAGTATATACTCCAGCCCTTTGCTCCAACTCCCTGACCCATTTTATATGAACATTCATTTTAATCTAACATTAGTTAATATTCAACACAATTCGATTTCCAGGTCTAGTGATAAACCTTCTTTGAAGAAACTCCATGTCATTGTAGTTTGCTGTGCTAGGAAAACAAAATAAATCAGTTCATGTGGACTCAGCCATATTCCTTTTAACTAGAGGTTAAAACTCAAAGTTACTGTTTAGGTCAAAGATACGTGTGTAATTTCCCCTGGTAAAGACTGAAAGTGGTTTGAAAATGGGGAACGTTGCTAAGAAAACTACCTTCAAGCCAGGAGATAGTATTTAAGGTTTTCCGCCACTTCAAATGAAAGATAAAACACTGGGGGAACTTTCGTTTCAAGTTCAAGCTACTTAAATTTATTTTTAAAATTTATAAAAATGTTTTTCAACTCAGTTTCAAAGGGAATTGAAAATGCTGTAACAAAAGAGCTAATGACAAACAGAACTGTAATATGCCTAAAAGATGCCGATTAAAACTCGGCATCACCAGAAACAACCCTCAAAAAAAAAAAACAAAAAAAACCTAGTGTTCACACTTTGATGAAATGGGCAGTCTAACTCTAGCAGACACAATCAGCGTACGTTAAGAAGTCGGAGACCACTCTATGGTTACAAAAAAAACCGAAACACCCAACAAGCTTAATCCAGTCTAACTGACATGGCCAGATGAAAAATAGCAAGAACACAGGTGAAACGGCCATCAGGATGCGAGATGCCTCGAAAAAGAGCCGCAGCGGGGCGAGAAACAATTCCGGCCCACCCAGGGAGCTCCACGCCAGCATCAGCAGCGTGAAAGTTCCGAGCATGCGCACTAGGCCTGTCGCCATGCCGCGTGGGAAAGGCGGAGCTACGCTCCCTGACGTCATCACCGGTGCGCCCGCGCCGCTAAAACCACACTTGCGAGACCCGGAAAGGTCATCGAGGGTTCCGAGGCCGGCGCGCGCTCACAGGGCGCCGGGGTCGCGGCGCATGCGCTGGGCTCCCTGAGCCGAACCGTGGGCGCCTGTGAGGCGGACTGCTTCGCGTTCGGGGTTCGGCGCGGCCCTCCGAGATGTGGTGCCGGCTCGGCTCTCGGTTCCTGCGGCCGTTCCCTCCCCGGCCACGCGTGGCCCGAGGCGCGCTGCGTGTGCCGGCCCTGGCGCTGGCCGCTCGGCCGTCCTCTCTGCCCGTGTGGGCGCTGGCGGCCGTGTCCACGGGCGCGGGGCCGGGCGGCGCGGGCGGCTGGTACGAGGCCCTGGCCTCGTCGGCGCCCGTGCGGGGCGCGGAGGACGTGCTGCTCGGCGCGCACGCCGCCAGCGGCCTGCCGTGGTGGGGCAGCATCCTCGTCACCACCGCGGCCCTGCGCGGGGCCGTCACCTTGCCCCTGGCCGCCTACCAGCACTACATCCTGGCCAAGGTGAGGGGCGCCGGGCCCGCGCGCGCAGCCGCCTCCACCGGGACCCGTGCGCGGCGTGGGCGGGGCGGAAGGCGAGCGGCCACTTCCGGAGGGCCCGGCGCCCGGGCTTCCGAGCGGGCGGGCCGGGAGCGCGAGTTGGGCGCATGCGCGAGGTGGCCCGCTGCGCGCACCTGGCCCTAGCGCGCGCCCGCCCCGTGCTCAGCGGATCGCTGCCTGCTCAGTTTGCACGGAGATAAGTCAGAAGCAGCACTACGGAGAAACTGCAGAGAAACAAAGTCGTTTGCAAATGTTACCCGCATTCTTGCCGTTTTTTGTGTTTCACGGATTTTTTAAAATTTCGAGTGAGGTTCCCGTGGGGGGTGGGTGGGAATCGGGATGGCAAATCGCTTCTGCTCTCTTAGATCCGACAGTCAGATACTTTTTGTTAAATAGGCTTCAAAGGGCTTTAGAAGCTGTGGTCAGAGTGAGGGTAAACACAGAAACCAGTACCAAAAGTCAGTTAACCACAGGGAGAAGAAAAGAACCAGCAGAAATAAATGCAGGAATTTCGTTTTTCTCCTTCCTTCCTTCCTTCCTTCCTTCCTTCCTTCCTTCCTTCCTTCCTTCCTTCCTCCCTCCCTCCCTCCCTCCCTCCCTCCCTCCCTCCCTCTCCCCCTCCCTCTCCGGGTACCTACGTCAAAAACTTTTACATTACTGGGAAATAGAGGCTTGAAGCATCCAAGCCCAGGGTGCAGCTTCCCTTACACCCCTACACCTGATAAGTGGGCACTGTTTGAAGGTTAAACATGAGCATATGTTTGGAGGGACAAGGGTCACACCCCACGGGGCTTAGGTCTTACTCTTGGCTGGGCTCAGTGGTGTTGAGGATCAGATCGAGGTTGGCTGTATGCAAAGCAGGCCTGTGGTACTCTGTGTATATATAGACCTGTATAATATGTATAATCTGTATGTATTATATCACTCTATCACTGTCATCCTATTCATCGATTTCCTTGAGCAGGCACCAGTAACGTTTTTTAGTCCTAGCCCTGAGATTTTAGAAAGTGCCACATTGGAGGCTCTTTAAGGGTCAGGGGAATGAGACCAATCTTGTTACTGGTTTTTGGCATATTGAATATGCCAGGGAGTTTGCCAGACTCTTCAGTGGGGGCTGGCTACTCTCGGTAGCTTTCTGGGTTCTCTGAGAAGGAGAACTAGACTATAAGAGGTTGCTTCCAGGAGCTGGGTTTTATAGTCCCAGGGTCTTGGCCATTGATGGGATTATATATGTACATAGGATTGTGGCGGTTAGTATCTGGCCCTGGAATACAGAGCTAAGTAAAAGATGGAATTTGAATTTGGTTCTCACTTAAGATGCCTTAAAGTAACATTTTTTGTTTGGGGTTTGGGGACACACCAGGTACCCTAGGGATGGTGGGAGGGCTACTACTTCCTGTTTGGGGGTCCTTTGGAGTGCTCAGGGACCATGCTGGAAACCTCAGCCTTCAGTATGCAAAACACTCTGGGTTAATTCTTAGGCATCAACTAACATCTTATGCTTAGACATGGGGTTTTCCTCCCTCCCTCCATTCCTGCCTCCCTCCCTCCCCCCTTCCTTCCTTCCCTCCTTCCTTCCTTCCCTCCTTCCTTCCTTTCCTCCCTCCCTCCCTCCCTCCCTCCCTCCCTCCCTCCCTCCCTCCTTCCTTCCTTCCTTCCTTCCTTCCTTCCTTCCTTCCTTCCTTCCTTCCTTTCTCTTTTTAGTCATAAGGCTTCTTGATTTTAAACCACATTTTAAAAATATGAAATTTGGCAAGAGAGTAAAGTTACGCATAAAGGTGTTTTTATATGCTTGTAACAAATTGTACTTTTTCTTTAGCTAGGTGGAAAATTTGCAGCCAGAAATAAAAAGCATTGCTAGGCACCTTAACCAAGAAGTTGCAATTCGTGCAAATCAGTTGGGATGGTCTAAAAATGTTGCCCGGTAAGCTAATTTTGTGATTTTGAATAAACATACATATAAACATACTATGTATTTGATGGTGTGTCCTACAAATTTGAAGTTGCTGAAGCTTTAGCAGCAAAATAATTCTTGTACTCTTAAGTACTTTAATGGATTTTTGTGAATCATAGTTTTACATACTGTATTTTTAAAACAGTAACAAAGATAATGAAATCCTGTTCCCGTTTAAAAAAGAGTCCATAATCATATAATGATGCCCAGTGAAATTTTTTTTTTAAAGTTAAATATGAGAAGTTTAGACCATCGAGAAAAATTAGTAGAAGCTTTACATAATGAAGATACTATACTATTGGAATTTTGTTCAGCTAATGTTATAAGTTAAATTGAATATTTTAACAATGTACATGAAGGGTGGGAGAGAAAATGTAAGTGCCTTGGTAGAAGCAACTGGATAGCCAAGTTGTCTGTCTGCTGTAGCTACACTGAAAGTCTTTATCCAGGTGTTGACTGCTGCAATTCTCTGCCAGACTTCATCCACTGGATCCCCTAAATAACAGCTTCAGTTTGCCTAAGCTACTACTTAGCTTCCCAAATTCTTATATTTGCTAAACAAGTTTTCACCTGTTCATAGGAATAAGAGAAATAAGGACTTTGTATTATGCATATTATTTACATTGTTACGCATGTGTTTTTATCTATATGGATTGGAATATACCAATTACCTTCAATATAAAATTCTGTCCTCTAGTATTAAAAATCTGACATTTAAGAAAAAATCATGTGATTGCTTAAGAATTTTGATGTTGAATGATTACCTTATATAAAATAGACTTTAAGAGATTTAAAAATGAATTAATCTCAATAATAATCAATACTCCATGAGACTACAGAAAGTGGGATTTAAGAACAAGAGTATCATGATTCACAGTTTAAGAAAATCTGTATGAAGACTGAGCTATACTTAGTAGACAGTAGTCAATGTATGCAAAGCCCTGGGTTTGATCCCTGACATGGCAGGGAACCTTCAGCATTGCTGGGAATAACTCCAAAACAAATAATCTTCATGGGAAATTTTTTGAAAAAATGGGCACCATTTTTACAGGTAAAGAACATACATGGTATGTTTGTTATAGAGCATATGCTTTGCAAGCAGGAGCCTTGGGTTCAGTCCCTGGCATTGCATGGCCCTCCCAATTTCTGCTGGGAACAACTTCCCAAAACTGAACTGGGAGTAGCCTCTGAGTACATTTGGGTGTGGCCTAAAGAACAAAACAGGTGTTCAGAGTTCAGTACTGTGCCTGGTAGGAGGTGAAATATTTAAGTAAAATGTGCTCTCACCCTCAGTTCTGAATTTTGGCCTTAGGGGCACATCTGGCAGTACTTGGGGAACCGTGTGGTTCTGGAGGTTGAAACCAGGACTCTAATGTGCAGAGCATGTGCTATAACCCTTCGAGTTATTTTTGCCTCTCATCATTAATATTTACTTTTTAATTTTTTTTGTTGTTTGGCCTATGAGCAATGCTTGGACCACATCTGGCATTACTCAGTCTATTGGTCTGCATGGTTCGATGCTAGGAAATAATGATGCAGTGTACTGGCTGCAACTACTAGGGACATTTCAGTAATACTTGGGGGCCAACAGGGCCATGCCCAGTGATGCTTGAACCATGTGGATCAAACCAATGACCCTGGTGCTGAGCATAAGCCCTTGGCCCCAGTGTTGTCTTTCTAGCCTTGAATATATAATTATGGTATACCACATGAGTAGTGAAATACCCCGTGTTAAAATCTAATTGACAAGGAGCATACTTGCACACCAGCACCTGTGCATGGACAGGCAGTAACAACCGAGGTGGTTAGTGGACCAGTGGTTTAAACTTTTCTATACCAGTGAAGAATAGTTGAAGAATAAAAGTTCTACACAAATCATTTTTGTGCCAATCCCGAGTGTGTTTCTGCTATGTATATGATGCACTATTAGTAGTCAGTTAACATGGCCTCCTTTCCTTTTTCCACTCCTCTCGCAAACTAGACTCACTTACCTCAAGAACATGCGGAGACTTGTTTCAGAGCTGTATGTTCGGGATAACTGCCACCCTTTCAAAGCCACTGTATTGGTCTGGATTCAGCTCCCGATGTGGGTCTTTATATCTGTTGCTCTCCGGAATTTTAGCACAGGAGCAGCACATTTAGAAGGTATTTATTCTGGAAGTCTTTTCCTCTCCATAGCTTCACTAATGAACTCTTAGAAAAACACTTCTTTGTTTAATTAATTAGTATCTTAATTCTTTACAAGATGCAGAATGTAAATTAGTAAATGAATTGTATTGAGAAAATAAATGGATTTAGAAAGGATATCGTAATGAGTGTTCTTTTAAGTTATGGTAAAAAAGTAGTGTTAGAGGGTCTAGGGAGGGACCTCAAAGGCTTGAGTGTATGCTTTGAGTGTAGAAGGCCCAGATTTCATCGCCAGCATTGCATGGTCCCAGTGTGTATGGTCCCAGAACTAACCAACACAAATGAGAATTAGTTTTGTAATTCCAGAACTTGGTTCCCTGACTGAGATTTGTTTTCCACCTATAACACTAAAAGACCAGGTGCTGGAGTAATAGCACAGCAGGTAGGGCGTTTGCCTTGCACGTGGCTGACCCGGATTCTATTCCCAGCATCCCATATGGTCCCCTGAGCACCGCCAGTAGTAATTCCTGAGTGTAGAACCAGGAGTAATGCCTGAACATCGCCGGGTGTGACCCAAAAAGAAAAAAAGCAAACAAAAAATTAAAAGACCACATATATGTTATATATATTAAGAAATTATTTAAATAGAAGAATTATTATTTAATGTAAAGATAGTTCTAAGGACTGAGAAAGTGGTTCAGCAATAAGCACATGCCTGGCATGCTTGAGTTCTAGGTTTGGGCTTGAGCACCAAAGAGTAAACAAATAGACAAATGTATTGCTAACTAGACAGTGGTTTGAATAGATTATAAAGAGGCCTATGTACAAATGATTATTTAGATTTAAGTCTGAAAGAATTTTGCTATATTATCATCTTAATCCTCTTTGCTATATAAAGTTTCTTGCCTCTTGCTCAGTATAGGAAGGAATAATTTATGTTGTGGAATGAAAATAAGTTGAATAAAGTCAGTACAGATCTTTACTGTGAAGGATATCATTTTGAAATTTATAGATTTCTTTTGTCCTTTTTATTTCTTGTTAAGTTTAGGAATTATTTTATTGTACTTATAAAGAAAACTTTCTGCAGGTTTGTCTGTTCAGGAGCAGTTGGCTAGTGGTGGAGTCTTGTGGTTTCCTGACCTCACGGCTTTGGATTCCACTTGGATTCTGCCTATCTCTGTTGGTGTCATCAATTTATTAATAGTGGAGGTCAGTGGTTTTAAATTAAACTTATTTATCACTTAAAGAATTTGGATTTTTGTTGTTTCTGTTCTGGCATCAAACATAAATTACATAATATAAATGTGTTTGCATGGTAATGATAGTTCTGAGTCAGGTTTAAGTGTCTCTGATGTGATTCCAATAAATTATTGACAAATGGTTTGTCGTAGGCTAGTTGTCAATCTTAAAATTAAATGCTAATAATTATGACTCTGAAATCAGAATACTTCCTGAGTTTCCTTGAACTTTAAAATTACATGAGCCAGAGTTAGTTCAGCTGGCTGACTGACTGCATGTTTGGTGTGATCCCTAGTAGCACATGCTCCCCCAAGGACCACTGAGAGAAACCCCTGAGCATAACTGGGTGTTGCCCCTAAACCAAAATAGTAATAGCAGAATACTTCCACATGTGACACCTTGCATTTCATCTCTGGCACTGCCAATAAAAGTGTGTTTGTTTGTGTGTGTGTGTGTGTGTGTGTGTGTGTGTGTGTGTGTGTTTGTGTGGCGGGTCTGGGGGGGGGGTTGGAGTTAGGGGGCGGAAACAAAATGCAGCAGTTAGGGTGCATGCCTAGCTTGCTCCTAGCCTCAGGTTTCATTTCTAGTATTACATGGTACCCTGAGTAGTGCCAGTATCATGAAGTGTGGCCTGGATAATCCCTGGTACTGCAGGGCGCAAGCAACATCTTATCCTTGTGTCTCTGCATTGAACCCAGTTGTCCCAGAGTGCGTGTGGGACCCCCAAGCCTCCTAAACACCATTTGATAGGCCCAAAGGAGGGGGAGCATATATATATTTTCAATTGCGATCTCACTGTTTTGTGTTCTCTGAAATTTAATATACCCCTTAATTTTTCAAATGAGAAGAATCGAGATAATAATACAAAGTCTTAGATGAAAGTTTCTTGAGGAAAGATTTCGTGTGTGGTTTTAACATTTTCCTAAAGGTACCTAGCACAATCTTACTGTGCTTGATACTTAGTAAGTTTATTAGAAAATGATAAACTCATGGCCACAATGAATTAATATTCATTATCTTCTTCTTTCCTTCATACCATTTGACACTCGGTGTGCATAAATTTAATAAAAACTTAACCATGTGAGGCGCTGGAGTCATAGCACAGCGGGTAGGGCGTTTGCCTTGCATGCAGCCGACCTGGGTTCAATCCCCGGCATCTCATGGTCCCCCAAGCACCGCCAGGAATAATTCTTGAGTGCAGAGCCAGGAATAACGCCTGAGCATCGCTGGGTATGACCCAAAAAGGAAAAAAAAAAAAACTTAACCATGTGTATCTGTGTGTCTGTGTGTGTGTGATGCTGGGAATTCAACCACTTGAACCCGGACCTTATATATGTACGGAAAGTACCTTGACATGGAAATACTAGTATACAAGTATACTGGCATAAAAACTTACTGTTTCTTTTTTGATTTTGGACCACACCTGGTACTGGGACTATTTCTGGTACGTTGCTTGGGATCACCCCTGGCAGTGGTTGGGGACCATAAAGTTTTAGGAATTGACTCCTGGGTTCCAGCATACATGGCATGTGCACAAGCCCTTTGAGCTATCTTCCTGACTTCATTAAAGCTTATTCTTTATGGAGGGGCAAGAGGTTGGCGCCTCACCAGTGGTGCTCCAAGACTCTTGACTTTGTGCTCAGAAGGGACTTCCCTGGTAGTGCTCAGGGAATCGTACAGTGCTGGGGATCAAACCAGGGGTTGACTGCATGCATGGAAAGCATTTACCTCCTGCACCACTGCTCTAACAGGTAATTCTTACATTATGGACACTACTGTGAGGAATTTACTTGAATTGACTTATTTAATTCAGAGGTAGGTGGGCACACACACTAGGGAACCCCTGGGCTGTTCCTGCTCAGGGGTACCAGGACTCCCAACTTAAGATACTTTTTAATGTAACATTTTTATAAAATGTTTGAAGGTATGAGGCAGGCATCCTTAGTACTTGAGCTACCTCATTTGATTTTTAATACTAATCCTACAGGGTAGATACCATTATTATCCTCCCTTTATTTTTAATGCAGTAGAGCAGTTGTCTTACACATATGGGATGATGTTTCATTCTCCAGAAAACAATTTATTCACCACAAAAAAAGAAAATGCACTGATTGACTTGTAAAGCACTGTCCTCCCGTTGCTCATCGATTTGCTCGAGTGGGCCCAGTAACGTCTCCATTTTGAGACTTGTTGTTACTGTGTTTGGCATACTGACTACAACATGGGTAGCTTGCCAGGCTTTGCTGTGCGGGCGAGATACTCTCGGTAGCTTGCTGGCCTCTCTGAGAGGGGCGGAAGAATCGAACCCTGCTTACCCGGGCTGGCTGCGCGCAAGGCAAACGCCCTACCACTGTGCTATCACTCTATTTTATTTAGTATGAGTCTCCTCTTGTTGTTTATATTTCTTTTAGTTAGAACTCCGTTTAAATATCCTCAATATTTATTCTCAAACATAAATTTTCAGTATTTGATGTTTTTGTGATGTGTTTTGATGTGTTGTGAAAATATAGGTAAAGGCGTGTCAGAAATCAGTTGTTATATTAGAGCTTGTCTAATTCAACATTTTGATACTCACTGTTCATTTATATTCTTTCCCTTCAGATGTTTGCTTTACAGAAATTGAGAATGTCTCGTTTCCAGTTGTATATCACATACTTCCTTCGTGCAGTATCACTGTTGATGATTCCAATTGCTGCAACAGTACCTTCAGTGAGTAACCATCAGCATTATGTGTCGTGTGTGCTGATCTTCTCTATTCTTACCTTTACTTGATCCTGCCTCTTCTTCTAAGCTTCCTCTGATTATTCAATCCCTTGTTGGTTTCTGAATATTTTTAGTGACTACTCTTTCTGTCATCATGTGATTTGGGATTCCTGAAACTTATTAATCTTCCTTAATGTAAATATCTTACCCTCTTCCTCCACTCTTAAATTTAACTCATTTTTTTCCTTAAAAATAAAGTCTTAGAAACTATCACATAGTACAATGGACATAATTTTTTTTTTTTTTTTTTTGCTTTTTGGGTCACACCCGGCGATGCACAGGGTTTACTCCTGGCTCTGCACTCAGAAGTTACTCCTGGGGGTGCTCAGGGGACCATATGGGATGCTGGGAATCGAACCTGGGTCGGCCATGCCCTACCTGCTGTGCTATCGCTCCAGCCTCCAATGGACATAATTTTTCTGCTGTTAGTTGACATTTTGAATTTTTTATGTATACAGAGATTAGACAATGAATTTGACACTTAGTAAAAGGGAAAAACATGTAATAAAAAAGTACTGGAGATAGAGTTCAGTGGACAGGGTGCTTGCCTTCCATGGCACTAATCCAGATTCAATTCCCAGCACCCCGCTTCATCTCCCAGGCTCAGCCAGGAGTGATCCCTCAGTGCAAAGTTGTGAGTAAGTTCTGAGCACTGCCAGGTATGGCCCAACAACAAGCAACCCCCTGAAAACAACAAAAGAAACAATACAAAAGTCTCATCAATTCATATATGATCATGTTTTATCTCATAGCAGTACTATAAAGTATCTATAATTGCCCCAATTTATAGTGATTTTCTTCTGACATAACTTTTGATTACTTTTAAATATATAATAATGATAAAATATTTTGCGTATTGCAAAATGATAAGTTTATTTACTTTCCATCACCATAATTAAAATTAACTTTTTCCCACTGATCAAAAACTTTTTTAAAAAGACCTCTCAGCAACTCTCAGGTATAAAGAAACAGTAATACTAACAGCTATGTTCATGCTGTATATTATGTTCCTAAGACTGACATCTCTAGCCAGGTTTTTTTTTTTTCTACTGTTTTGGCTTTTTGGGATCACACCCGGCAATGCTCAGGGATTACTCCTGGCTCGGCTCTCAGGAATTACTCATGGTGCTTGAGGGACTAGATGGGATGCCGGCGATTGAACTCAGATTGTCCTACTTGCTGTACTGTATAGCTCCAACTGGACTTATTTTTAACTCTTCGCTATTTCACTGTATCTGCCACCACCAGTCTTACCACTACTGGCAACCTTCAGTGTATTCTCTGTTTGGTTTGGGGAGGTTAGTTGTTTATTATTTGTGTTTCAAGTTCTGCAGATAAGTGAGTACATGTGATACGTGGCTTTGACTGTTTCACTTAGAATAATAATCTTGAAGTCTGTTCATATTACCACAATAGCAGGAGTTCCTTTTCTATGATGGGTTAATATCCCATTGTGTATACTAAATATTTTCTTTATATATTTATCTGTCATTAGGCAGATTGCTTTCATATCTTGACTTTTATAAGTAATGTTACAGTGAATGTGTTAGTACAGTTATCATTTGAGTTGTTTTTATTTTCTTCCTATATGCTTATATATCTACACTTAGGTTCTTGCCTCCTTTGTTAAAATTAATTCTTTATGCTTGGGTTTATTTCTGAACTTTCTATTCATGTGATTTGGGCGTCTGGGAGCTGTGTTCCTGGCAATGCTTGTCTTAGCTGTGCGGACTAATGGTTTGCTGTTTTGGCCCAGCATTGCCCTACAGTGCCAGCTATCAAACTCGGGGCCTAACCCATACACAGTGTGTACTTGAGCCCTTTGCATTATCTTCTGACCCTGAATAAGTGGTTCTATGCCAGTATATGTTTTGATTGCTGCTTTCTTTGTAATACAGTTTTTATTTTTATTTTTATTTCTTGTGTAATGCAGTTTGTGCAATGTCCTTAACTTTTTCATCTTCCAAAATTGCTTAGACTAATTAGGTTCTTTTGTGGTTCCAGGTAAACCTTAAGATAGGTTTTTCTGGGGCTAGAGAGAGAGAATACAGCTGTTAGGGCACTTGCCCTGCACACAGCCAACCCATGTTTAGTCCCTGGCACCATACTGTGTGTGGTCCATTGAGCCCTGCCAGGAGAGATCCCTGATTGTAGAACCAGGAGTAAACCCTGAGCACTGTAAGCTATGGCCCCAGAAAGGAACTGAAAAAATGTTTTTCTATCCTACAAAAATGTTATAGGCATTAAGTTACATGGTGAGCTCTAATAGAGAAAAAGAATTGGTTATGCCTGCAATTTTTCTAGCCTTTTTCTCTGTTTCCTGTGGCTCTTTCTATGTTGAACATGAAAACTCTTAGGCACATCTCTTTCCTCAGAGATGATATGTAGATAATAAAGTGCAATTCATATTAGATACAGTTAATATCAACAGAGTGCTTTATACTGTTTGTATTAAGAATCTCAAGCTGTATGTTTTCTGCATCAAAATGTATTTTTAAGCTGTTAATTGATTAATCATCTGAAGTAACTTGTTCTTCTTTAAAGTGGAAATTATGAGCCAGGAAGATAGCTCAGTGGGCTGAAACACATGCTTTGCATGCAGTAGTCTTGGGTTTGGTCTCTAGCACTGCATGGGGATCATCCCAGCATGCCCTGAGCAAAGCCGGGCGTGTCACCTGAGCTTAGAACCACACACGGAGTAGTAGGAGCCCTTGCAAAAGTAACATTACTTAATGCATTTCTTAATGCAAAAGTAACAATTACAGGCAGAATTATGTAGGTAGATTACAGTAGATACACCATTAATATATGAGTAAGACTCCAGTTCAAATAAAGTACTGAGACTTCTCAGTCAAAGATTAAATTCACAGGAACAAAGAGTACAAACAGGGCCTTCAGTACTTAGTAAGTACCGAAGTATTGAATATTCCACTCAGATGTGTGGGAGATTTAGAGTAAAACAATTAAGTGTAGAGTGATGTGGGAGTTCAGTTGAAACTGAGAGGTCCAGTGTGACTTCTCACTGCTCCATCATCCAGCAACTGTCCTTTTATTTTCTCTTCCCTGTTATAGGAATGGGAAAGTGTAGTCACCTTTGAGTGCTGTCATCTCCCTTTAACGTACTGTAGAAATGACCCCTGAAAATGCCGTCTTTATGCAGCCCCCTTTGCAGAATCCTGCCAGGGTCCTGCCATGTACCAGTTCTTGTGTCTTATGGCCCAGCCTAACGGCAGAAAAGACTAAGAGGGGTTAGTTTTGTTTCTGTTTGGGGATCATACCATGAGGTGGTCAGGGGCTACTACCAGGTTTAAGGTTGGGGACCGGGATCACTACTAATGTTGTTTAGGGGACCCTACGGTGCCAGGGTAAGAAGAAACTCATGTCTTTTTTCTTGTGAAGCATATCTTTCAGACATTTGAGCTGTTTCTCCAGTTCCCAAATTAGGTCCTCCCTCCCAATATCACAGTCCTCCCGTTGTTCATCGATTTGCTCGAGCGAGCCCAGTAACATCTCCATCGTGAGACTTGTTGTTACTGTGTTTGGCATATTCAATACGGTCACGGGGAGCTTGCCAGGCTTTGCCGTGCAGGCGAGATACTCTCGGTAGCTTGCCGGGCTCTCCGAGAGGGGCAGAGGTATCAAACTCCTGCGTGCAAGGCAAACACCCTACCTGCTGTACTATTGCTCCAGCCCCCTTCCCAATATATCCCACTAAAAATTAATACTAAGGAAGAAAAATGATCCTTTGTATATATCTCAAAATCTGATGTATTTGGTCCTAGGGTACCATTTACTTAGTGGATAAATGGCTTGGATAAATGACTTGATGATGATTCAATTATTTTAGTCATTTTTAAAATACTAATTTAAGATATTTAACATTGACTTTGCATCATCACTATTTTATTGTCTACATATGTTAGCACTCCAGTCGGCCATGTTGGCTGCGTGCAAGGCAAATGCCCTACCGCTGTGCTATCAGCAGTAGGGCGTTTGCTTTGCATGCAGCCAACATGGCCGACCCGAGTTCGATTCCTCCGCCCCTCTTGGAGAGCCCGGCAAGCTACCGAGAGTATCTCGCCCGCACGGCAGAGCCTGGCAAGCTCCCCGTGACGTATTGATATGCCAGACACAGTAACAACAAAGTCTCCAATGGAGACGTTACTGGGCCTGCTCGAGCAAATCGACGAACAACGGGAGGGCTTTTATTTATATGTTAGCACAATATAATTCACCCAACAGTTTGCTTAAGAAGGTGCTTAGAATCCTTACTGATGAGGAAATTGAAGCTTAGTGAAGATAAGTAACTCATCCAGTGTTGTTCATCTATTAAATAAAAACCTTGACATATGTCCAGACAGTTTGTGTCCTACTCCTAACTACTATGCTAATCTGCCTTTGAGGGTGTCTTACTTTGTGTTCCCAAACTTGCTTAGAACTCTACATGAATTATCTCATTAATTTCTACAGCAATCCTCCTAGACAGGAATAATTCTTTGCCCATTTTACACACTGAAATGGGAAAATACCTTATTAAATTCAGATAAAACATGTTTGTTCCTGGAGTTTGACTGCAGGACCTAAACTCTACCACCACCTGTTCTTATCTCTGAGGCCTAAAAAGAATTTGGAACACAGGTTTCAAACGGCTGCAGAAAGTATAGTCAGTGATCTAAATTGTAGGTTCCTAAACGTTTTTGACTTCCTTCCCTATCTTCAGGAAAACAGAATCTCTCGGCCTGCCCCCTAGACAGACTACTTTTCTGAGCCAAAAAGCAAATTATGGTTCTCACCATGCATCTCTCACCATGGTGCTCACGTATCTTTATTTTGTTGTAGTGCTTGCACACACTTAACTGCAGTGCAACCGGAAATGTGGTACCAGGGAGTAGCACTGCTAGGATTGCTCTGAGTGCATGCGGGGCACCAGGGATTTGAACTCATAACTGCAGTTGCAAGGCAAGCAGTCTTAAGTCACTGTGCTATCCCTCCTGGCCCATTCCTAGTTACACTTGAAACTGGTTGCCTGGGCAAATATGGAAGATAAATGACTCTGGGGGAAAGTGATGTCTTGGGAGGCTAAATTTGGTTTCATAAATAGTGATGCCCCTAGTGTCCTACCCCCATTAGAGCAGCTTCCGAGGACTCTTGGTCAGGAAAAGGTAGGCGAAACTGCCAAAGAACTGTGAGGTCTCTCTTGGGTCTCTACCTGGGAGTGCTCTCTCATCCACCTCCTGTTATGAATACTCGCCCTTTTCCTTTCTGTTTTCTGTCTTATGTCCCCACTGGATTATCCCTGTACCATGGGGCATGGTAGGAGGCAGCAGAGCCCTCTTGGGGAAACGCTGATTGAGTCTTTCAACTTGCTTCACATCTAGTAGAGCTGTTGCTGGTCTCCGATGGCTTCTGCGGGTCTTGGACAGGCCTTTTATTTTAAGTCATGGTAATTTTGCGTATTGTCTGCTTATGTCTTGACTTTGGTATCTTTGACAGTTGGAACAGTTTTAACACTCTTGTCTTTTCTTCTCTTTATAGTCGATTGTTCTCTACTGGTTGTGCTCCAGCTTCATGGGCCTTTCACAGAATTTGCTGCTGCGTTCTCCTAGGTTTCGACAGCTTTGCCGAATCCCGCTGACTCAGTCAGACTCAGTTACTCCTTATAAGGACCTCATTACTGCCTTTAATGCCAAATTCATTTCAAGAAAATGACTTATCTTCCATTTAAAACATTTACAACCATCACTGTCATCTTTATGTATTTTAGAAGATTTAGAAATTCAGAATCAACTTTATTTAAAGTCTTGAGCTCTGTGGAATCATGAAGTACTGTATTAAGATATAGTCCAGATATATTTGAAAATATTAAAAATCTTGACTGGGGAGAGATAGTATGAGGATTAAGGTTGTTTTTCATGCATGCAGCCTACCCCAGCACCAAATATGTTCCCCTGAGCACTGCTGGATGTGGCCGAAAAACCAAAAGGAAAATCTTTAAAATCTTGGGCTGGAAAGATACCCTACAGGGTAGGGTGCTTAACTTGCACATGGCTGATCCGCATTGGGTCCTGACACCCATATAGTCTGCTGAGCCAAGCAGGTGTGCTTCTGAGTGCCGTTCCAGAAGTAAGCTGAGCACTCCTGGGTATGGCCCAAAAGCCAGAAAAATGAAGTCTTTAAGTGTTAGAAATACAGTATGTTTAATTGTATCCCAAGGATATCAACGTGGCAATGTTTTATGAAATTATAAATTACTAGAGATGCCAGAACTATGTTTAATTGTACTAGATACTGAATCATGTTATGCAGAGCAGTCCCAAACATTAAAATATCTGAAAATTCAGTGAAGCAGTTATTAAAATTTTGGAGGAATGGAAGACCATATATCCATTTTTTTTTTCTTTTTGGGTCACACCCGGCAATGCACAGGGGTTACTCCTGGCTCTGCACTCAGGAGTTACCCCTGGCGGTGCTCAGGGGACCATTTGGGATGCTGGGAATTGAACCCATTTGCAAGGCAAGCGACCTACCCGCTGTGCTATTCCAGCCCCAGCCCCAGCCCCAGCCCCAGCCTGTAGATCCATTTTGGCAGTAGGTAAGACAAAGGTTTCCTCGGGATGTGGCTCTGTGGTAAAGTTGATGTTTTTTATGTGTGAGCCCTGGATTCAGCTCCCAGCACTAGTTTTAAAATAAAATGTCTTGCCTTGTACCAGGTGGCCCAGGTTCGACCCCAGGCATCTCATATGGTCCCCTGAGCACTGTCAATAGTAATTCTTGAGCATAGCCAAGTGTGGCCCCAAAACCAAAAATAAAAAGAAACAGCAGAATTTTGGGTTGTAGACATTGCTTATCAGACTTAGTGCTTCTTTGTATGTAGAGGCCTGGGTTTGATCCCCAGTACACAGTAGAAAGTAAGGCTTTCTCCCCAGCACTGCTGGGAACAACTCCCAAGCATGGAACCAGGTTTAGCCCCTGAATACTGCCAGGGATGACTCAAAAACACAAAAATAAAAGTGAATTTAAAAATCTTGAGACTGTGACCAGGGAGATGACCCACAGGGCTGAAGTACATGCTTTGCATGTGAGAACCCAGGTTTGATGTGCAACATAATACTTCACTGAACCCCCGAAGGCTTTCTGGTTAAGAGAATATTCCTTTAATTGGGAGGTAGTATGTGAAAACTTTAAATGAACTTATACATGTAATGGCATAGTTCATAAATGCAAGAAAGTACATAATATAGTAATGTTGCTGTTCAACTCTACTCAGAAATATACAAGATGTGTACATTCCTTCGTAATTTTTCGAAGTCAGGAATACTAAATTCACTGCTAAGTACTGCTTGAACCCAGAGTGAAGAATCTTAAGTTTGTTTACTCACAAGAAGAAAAACACAGGAAGAAGGATGACTATTATAGAGATGATTTTATAAACAGATGTTTGGAAGTACTCTTAGTACATAATTGGAAAAGATAAAACTAATTTGGTTTAAGACATTTAAGAATATTGATGCATTTATATTTTTTTCTATCAGTAAGATAATGAACCTGATTCTGAGGTGCTCTATCTCATTTTTATAATAAATAGTAAAATGAAATTGGTCATTTTTGAGTGTTTTTTTTTTAATGTTTTTTCCTTTTTCGTTTCTGTTGTTTTTGTAGTGACTAAGGTCACGTACTGTTGGGAGTGCTTGGATACTTGATTGTGCTCAAGTAGGGCTTGCACACCTTGTGGCATAAGGATCCTAACAGAGAGCCACTGGGATCATCCTTGGGCGATGGGGGCAATGCAGAGGATTTAGCGCATGGTCTTACCTTTAAGACATGGGCTTTACCTCTGAGCTCTCTCCAGGCTCCTTGAACCATGTCCTTTAAATCTTAGCCCCTTGAGTCCTGCATAACTGGGACTTAGAATTCAGAAGGTGTAGCCGCCAAGTACCTAGACTTCCTTCCCCGCCCAGTCCTGGTGTTTGACTGCTCTGTTGAAATTCTGCTTCCTGTCATAAGGAAGAAATGGTTGTGTGCAATCTGTCCTCATCCCCAGATTTATTTATATATTTGCTTACTTGATAATGTTCATTTTGACCTCATAATTAAGCCCTCTAGTGCCTTCTTTTGGGGGGACACTCTGGTGCCCAGGGACTGCTCCTGTTGCAGTGGTTGGGGGCTGCTTTTGGGGGGCCAACTGGTGCCGTGAATCAAACCTGGCGCCTGCATAGAAGATGTGCTCCTGCCCTTTGAGCCATCTCCTCAGCCCTTCTAAGTGCTCTTTGTTCTAATCCTGGGACATACATAGAGTAGCCCAAAATTTGACTTGCTCCCCAGTGCATGTATTTTCCAGTTAGATGAAACATGCCATGCTGTGCCTCCTTGTGTTTGAATCTTGTGCTATAAACAGGTGTGTCTGGGGGTCCTGGGATGGCTCCTTGAAAGCACACACCTGCTTACAAGCACCAGGCCAGGGGTCAGACAGCAGGGCTGCCCACGTACAGGAGCACGTCCCAGCAGCATTTGCAATCTGCACAGCGATGTGAGCACTGACGTGAGATCATTTGTGCTGAGGATCATAGCAGAGCTTCTAGGATGGCACCTGGCACATGTGTCCAGGATCTAACTTGAGACATCATGCTTAGAACCCAGCTCTTAAGAATTGCCTTGCTTCACGCCCTACCGAGGCCACGAGTTGCCCCTCACAAGCGGCTCTCCCTCCAGCACGGCCATAATGTCAGACGCACAGAAACCAGTCTCGTAATTATCTGGCTTTTGACAGAAATCCCTCCAGACTTAATTAGTAAAATATCAGAAATCCAAAATCATATCATATGGTTCTCATAACCAGCTATAGAAAACAAATTATTTCACAATGCCTTTTCAGCGGTTCTGATTGTTGGAGGGAAATTCTAAACAATGGTGCATCTTTTGTCAAAATAATGTAACCAAAGTAGAGAGAGAGTTAAGTAGAAATCATCTGCCTCATAGGCATCGGGAGGGATGGGAAGGGGTATATTGGGGTTCTTGGTGGTAAAAAATAAGTACTGGTGAAGGGAAGGGTTCTTGATCATTGTATGACTGAGATTTAAACCTGAAAGCTTTGTAACTTTTCCCACAGTGATTCAATAAATCAATTAAAAAAAAAAAAAGAATTACCTTGAGGGACCAGAGTGATACAGTACAGTAGAAGGGGTGTTTGCATTTACACGTGGCTCGCTAAGTTTGATCCCTGGCGCTCCATTTGGCCTCCCAAGTTCTCCAGAAGTGATTGTTGAGTATCACTGGGTGTGGCCCCCAAATCAAGAATCACCTTGAGGCTAGAGGACGTGCCTAACATGTGGGAGGTCTACCTTCCATCCGTGCATGGCACCACATAGTCTCGTTAGCACACCAGGATCAATTGCAATTCCCAGGCACTGAGCTGGACACAACGCCTGAGCATTGCTGAGTATGATCCCCAAACAAAAGCAAAGCAAAATAATAAACAGAGTCTACACCGGCGATGTTCAGACGTTACTCCTGCCTCTGAAATCAGGAGTTATTCCTGGTGAAGCTTGGGGACCCTATGGGATGCTGGGGTTCAAACCTGAAACAGCTGCAAACCCCCTACCCACTCTACTATCTCCAGTCTCAAATGAACTCATCTTTAATACAAGATTGAGCCCTGGAAGCAGGAAAGAAGTTTAAAAAAATAATTTGCTTTTTTCCCTCAAGGATGATAAGATACTACAGAAAGCAAAACTTGAAATTTCAGAGTAATATTTGAATTTATGCAAGACTCTAGATTTCTCTATTAAAGCTAAGTTTTGCAAATGTGATGTGAAACATGACATTGCCATTACGGTGAGTTATTATACAGACTTGGTTCTTTTGGTTTGATTTTTGTTTTTTTTTTTTTTGTGGTGCTGTGATCAAACCCAAAGACATCACACGTGCAAGCCAGGGCGCTCCAGTTGGGCTATATCCTCAGCCCCACATGTGTGCTTTTTATAAGCTACCAGAGCACAGGTATATCGAAAAATTATTTGAATCTACAGAAAATGTTTTGTTTCCATCTTGTAGGTATGATTTATTTATTTATTAGTGAAACACCATGAGGTACATTTGTAGACTTTCAGATTTTTGTGCTTGTTTTGGGTATGTTTTAAATTGTAATAACTACACTCACAGCATGTACTCATATATGCTTAGTTTTTTTAATCTTTGAGCCATGCCTGGCAACGTTCAGAGACTTTTTTGGCAAATGTTTGGGATTGCTCTAAGGACCAGGGAGTACTGGGGATTGAATCCAAGCCTTCTGCACGCAGTTTGAGCTCTCTGCTTTAGCCCGGCATGAGTTTTTTGTTAATAGGGAATTAGAAGTTGCCACATATTTTCTTGATAATTCTTTCAAGCAGTAAAGCACTGCATGCAGCTATCCCTGTTAGATTAGGGTTAGGTTAGATTCCCCTCTTACCACATTGCCCCCTGGAGCACCACTGGGTATATACCTGGAGTACCACCCAGGTGGCCCAGTTCATCCCCAGCACATGTAGCATTGCTTCATTAGGCCCCTGCATCAAACTACCAGCTTACTGGCTGGGTTGGCCAAGAGTCACCAGGAAACTCCCTTTTCTCCAGGCCCTGAGCACTACTCGGGACGTGCTTCTTACCCTCTACTCCCACAAAAAGAGAACTGCAGATATAGTAGTATAGGGGGTAAGGCAAAAGACTTGAGTGTGGCCAACTCCTCTTCCATCCCCAGGGTCACATGGTCCTCTAAACACTGGAGTGACAGGGGGCCGAACCCTGGCATCCTATA